ATCGATTTATTAATGCAGCTGCAATTTTAAAGTATAGCATGAGATGAGTAGATGCAGTATTAAAATATTCCTGACGAAATAATTTGAAGTCCCGTTTAAATCTCCCATTTACAATTTCAATCACCCACCTGCACAAAGTTACACATCTGGACTTGTTGGCAGCAATGGTTGATAATTGTATTTCACCAGCTTGTTTAGATTCAGGCATGTAAGCCTTATAACCACATTGCTGCAAGAATGGAATTGCATCCCTAAAACCTCTATCAAGAATAAATACATCGTTTTCTCTAAAATAGGTTCGCAGTGGACTACTATCGTTGAACAGTCTAAGAATTATAGAAGCATCTGATTCTGTTGCAGGATATGGTCCAAAAACATCAAGGATATAACCATTACAGCACACTATTAAAAATGGCTTAACTAAGTTACGATACTTATGTAAACTATATGTTTGCTTCTGGTATAAGTAATTACTACTTTTTTGCACATAAATGTATGTACCATCACATATTACTATGGCTGGCATAAATTCAGGATCCATATCTGGATTACCAAACAAGCCATTTGGTATTGTCAAGTTATATTGAGCAACTTGTTGAATGCATAAGGTATTTGTCCCTAAATGCAGTTGGATGAATTGCTCTTCAAAGCACTGACTTACAATATTTAAGTGATTGAACACAGTCGATGAAGCTACATTAAATAGAGAAGCTATGCGTTCATTGCTATCACCTGTACGAAGTTTCACTAAGAACATAGCTAGACTTCTTTTAGGTGATTTAACTCTTTCACTGATAGATGGAATTTCAACTAGTAACTGTTCAAATTGGTATTTGGTAAATCCTAACCAATATTTGCATAATATTGAATTATGTTCAATGATATTTAAAATATTATAATTTTGAGTAACACTACTTTTAAGTAAGGAACAAAGGTTGTCTATCTGAGATGCAGTAAAATCTGAACAGTTACTACTCGTGAATAAATTATTCCAATCATTGTGGGGTTCATTTAAATGGTATTCACAAATACGAGCGCACAGTGGCACATAAAATGAGTGATCTATCAGCAATCTCTCTTTAAGTAGTTTAGGTATTAAAAATCTAGATGAATGATTACATGACTTAAAAATACAGTGACGGGAAGTAGAAGCAGCACGCTTATAATTAGCCATAGTAATTGTTGATGCCGCTCTGGAAATGGCAGGGGTTACAGGTGCAGGTATAGGGGGTGGTTGTGGGATGTTACCGATGTCTTCTATATTCATGGATTGTAGCTCAATATCCCTGTTCTCATTTTGTTGTCTCTGTCTCCATACAGCTCTGGAAGCCCTCAGCCAGCAAGGACTGCATACTCGTTCTAAACGATCCACCTGAAAAAAGTTATTTTTTATCAACTAACAAAATGAACTATAGTTTTACAGTGTCTACTCTAAATATTAATAATATTTATTATTGTTCTATTTATTTCAATCTTTCTAACACTAAATAGTTTTAATGTCTTTTAAAATTATAAATATTAGCATGCAATTGTTTCCCCTCATAATATTTTTGTGGCACTACTTATTTAAATAGAAATAAATAATACATCACATATCAGACAAGAAGTAATTATTTTAGAATTATTAACAATATTTCACTAAGCCCAAGTTCTTTAAAGTTTCAGATAACATTGAATGATTAAATTGAAAAACTGTCATTCTTTACGAGTTGGGGTACTTTCAACTAATTATAAATAATTTTGTAAATCTTAACAAAACAGAAAAGATTTGATCTTGATTCTCTAGGGTGAAATATCGATTCACTAGATCGATTTAGTACTATATATCGATATGACATTGACAGATAAAACGTCAAAAACGTGAGAATATTTAATTAATTAGTTGTTTACCAATATTTTCAAAAAATAAATAAAAATACTTCGATGCTGCTCCGGTAGCAAAACTTGCGTGTAGGTGCTTCAGATAAACTCCCTTGACGCCCCCCACAGTAACAGAATCTTCAAATTGAGGCGACCGAATTGTAAACCCAACCCGTTTTATTTATACTAATGTCTTTTAAGGTAAAAAATATTACTTGTATAATAAGTACAAAAGCATACAAATATGGGTGTAAGATAAGGAAGAAGTATCGTTCATCTAATAACTAAAAATAAAAAAATTGGTTATTAATGGCAAATATCCCCCCATAAGACAATCTATGTTCAGCAGTAGACTTTTGGTAGACTGTAAATTTAAAGATAACCTGTTAGTGAACTGCCATGTTGAATGAGCATAAATATCAGACCAAATTGTATGCAAGGTGTCTGATTTTACAAACATCAATCTGTGTACCAAAGCGATTGTGGCAAATCCTCTGGGCTGCCTATTTGAGGCAGGGGACCATTTACAGCCTTTTAAAATAAGGTAAGTACCTGGTGTGATGGTATCCACTGCAAAATAATATCTCTTTCTTCAGAGTTAATAGGCACAATCCGTCTACGGTGTGCTCTTAACATTGAAGATCCACATGGAATACAAATATTCCTGTACCCAAATCTTCTAATGGAGTGAGCTGATGCAACACTTTCTTGCAATATTCTTAGGCAGTTACAACAAACTGCATCAAGTGGGTGTAACTGAAAAAATCAGGAATTAAAAATAAAAGAGTAAATAAATATTAAGTTCAGATAAATGTACATTTTGAGGAGGGAAGCGAAGTTGGCATGAAAGTGAATGTTTGATGTGGAACCCTATATTATTTGAAATACAATACATTTTCAATTAAAAAAAAATTGGAAATCCAAAAGACAAATATCGATTAATATATTATGATTTTACAATATTTACAGTATTTCAGGTATATCATATAGTGATAAATAAACTTTATAATATTAGAGTATTATGGAGTTGTGTAATATTAGTAATATATGGGGGAGGCCTATGTTCGGCAGTGGAGTTTAATTGGCTGTAACGGTAATATTACAGTGGATTGAAATATTTTTCATTGCACAAAATAACTTACTTTTCTATTTACATAATATTTTATCCTTAGAATAAATATTGACACATATATACCTATACTTTTTCGACTTTGATTTCTGATTGACTGACAAAAGATAATTAGACACACATAACATGTGATACATCATACCATGCCACAAAAACTTCTTTTGTGTATATTGTGTGACTTTATTTTATCTATTATTTAAATTAGATTTCACTAATAACATAAAACTTCAATACTTTAACATTTAACACATTAGTAAGACCTGTGTTTATCATTTGTTAAAGGTTAATTCAGTATAAGTTATAGATTTTACAAAATTCTAGGAGGAAAAAATAAACTTTTATATTACTCACATGGACTTTTACTCGTCAGTTTGCATTTTCGAATGTCATTGGCAAATTATATACATAAATGTGATATAGGTATTTAATATTTGACTTACGTGCATGATATAACCCTTAGGTTAAACATTTTTTGCATCAATTAGACATTAACATACTAATCCACTTGTAAGCAGTAAAACTACGTGAATTTTCATTTTTAAACTTTTACTTTAACACGAACACAGTTTACATCAATTTAAACAAACAAGTTTATGCCATATTATATTTTTACAGTCAATGCCAGTCAATGGAGTCAATGCAAAGAACTATGCCTGTAAGTTGGTAAATAGCAGGAAAGAATGCAGTGTCATCTTGTGTCAAAATATAAAATAATTCAATCAATATAATATATCATTTATCAATTTAATATAACGAAAGATTAAAATTATAGCTATAGAAGGTATGAATTTATTAATAATATGAAGGGATATTTATTATTACTTTTAAAAACTTAAAATAATTAAGTACTTAATCATGTATAGATCGTTATGTGTGCCTGGAGTCTGTGGATCGTTTTCTTTCGTATTATTTCTAAAAAATCGTACCATATCCCATATTATTCAACAAAAATAAAAATATTAAGTAATACATTAATAAAGAAAATATATAATTTTCGTTTCCGCAGTATAGTAATATTGTTGGAATAAAATCGAGAGTAACAAAAATAATATATATTTCTCATAAAAGTTTAAATCTAGATAATATGTAAGTAGATAGATTGTATAGTGCAGTGATTAGCTTTCCATGAGATAATATTATACCTACCTCATGAGAAATCCACACAGATAAAAGTTGGCGCACATCAGCAGTTGTCTCGGCCAGTAATTGTCTTCGCACACTGCGTTGAAACCTGACTCCACAATTGCAACATACACTTCTATTTTCATTGTATGCTGATCTAGCAGATTCCATTTTCTTAAAATCGCATATAAATACAAAAAAACAGTAGCGTAACGAACGTCAATGCCGTTAAGATTAAAGACGTAGGTAATACCCCGCCGCCCCGCCCCGCCGTACCCGGCCGCCGGCCGCTGGGAATTACCGGAAGTCAATGATAAAATAACGTTTTGGTTCACAGTCATTTAGAACTATGTTATAACGTGATATTAGCTAAAATTTTTAGAAATTAAACATAAAGTTCTTAGTGGTATCTTTTTTAAGTCAGCTTTGTGAAAAAATAGTTTTCTTTTTATACAAGCTGCAAAATGACTAATTAGGTACACGCATTTTACCCATATTACACTAATCAGAACACGAATATCAAAACAACTAATTTTTTTTCGTATTTCTTGATTCCGTTTACATTTTCGAAAAATCTGTAGGCCATTTACTATTATAATTTGGTGTCTTTTTTTTGATGTAATACCATTAGTGGACGTTAATATTTTTAGTGGGCCCAAAAATGATTGTCCCCTTTACTAATTGTATTTATTGTCGATTGTACGTATGGCTATGGTTGTTATCATTGTTTGTCAATTCTTTTCAGGGTTTGCTAAATACATAGGACCCTAGTGCCGGACAGAATATAAAACATACAATCACCAAAAGAGTTGCAACCCAGGAGAAAACTTCTTCAAAAAAGAGAAGATACGACGAATCCTACTTGTCCTTTGGATTTGTTCCTGTGGGAATGACTGAGAACTCGGATGGACAATGTGTGATTTGCAACAAAATAATAAGTAATAGCTCACTGGTACCTGCAAAGCTTAAACGACATCTTTACACGAACCACCCAGAACTGAAAGATAAAAGCGTCAGCTTTTTTGAAAGACACAAAGAAGTGCGTAGAACTGGTGCAGCTGCTATACAAAAATTTGTAAAGACCGATAATGAAAATGCAACAGAGGCATCATTTCTGCTAAGTTACAAAATCGCTCGTGCTGGTAAACCACACACGATTGCAGAGGATTTAATAAATTACAGAAATTTTCACTTGTGTACTTGGAGAAGAAGCAGAAAGAAAGTGTCAGCAGTGCAGTGTTCAAATAACGTCATTTCTGATCGAATTCATAAGATTTCTGATCGAATTCATAAGATTTCTGACCATATTCAAGATGAATTAATTAGTAGATTGAAGATCAGCGAGATGTTTGCAATGCAACTGGACGAAAGTACAGATTTCGTCGGGTTATCAATACTGCTTGTTTTTGTGAGATATCCCTTTGGAGGATCTATTGAAGAGGATTTGTTTCTTTGTACTCCTTTAGAAACCAACACAACCGGAGAAGAAATTTTTAAAGTTATCGATAGTTACATGACTAAGCACCATATTGATTGGAACAAATGTATTACATGTGTAGTGATGGAGCGGCAGCTATGGTTGGCAAAATAAAAGGCACTGTAACAAGAATCAAGGAGGTTGCTCCTAAATGTAGTAGCAGTCACTGCGTTTTACATCGCCATACCCTTGTCGCAAAAAAAATGCCATACGAGCTCAAGACACTTCTCGACCAAGCAGTACTAAGTGTAAACTACGTGAAATCACGTCCACTCCAGTCGAGGCTTTTTAAAAAAGTGTGTGAGGATATAGGAAGTCAGCATCAATCACTTCTTCTTCACACGGAAGTAAGATGGCTTTCAAGAGGAAGAGTTCTATTAAGGCTGTTTGAATTGCACGACGAGCTTAAGATATTCTTTACCAAACAACCAGTTTCTGCACACGTTAATAAGCTTGTTGAACTGCTGCATGATGAGCAATGGTTGATGCAATTGGCTTATTTAGCTGATATATTCGATAAGCTCAACGTAAATGATAAAATGAGTAAATGATAAAATGTCTTCACTGAAAAACAAGCTTGCGTTCTGGATTGAATGTGTTGAAAAACATAATTACGAATGTTTCACAATATTAAATGACTCTAAAGGAAAATGAGCTGCGGGTATCTTCAGACGTGGAAAAGAATATACATGAGCATTTGACAAGCCTTACAAAATCTTTGCATGAGTATTTTCCGGAGCAGTTGCAGGACATGGACTGGGTGCAGAATCCGTTTGTAAATCACACCAAACCTTCGATGCTGTCGGTGTCAGAGTATGAGAATTTGATTGACATCAAATTTTCATCAACGCTAAAACAAAAGTATGAAGAAGGAACTTTTAATTTAAACGCCTTTTGGATTGGACTCAAAGATGAATACCCAGAAATTGTTAATAGAGCCATCTCATTACTGTTACCGTTTGTGACGACTTACCGATGCGAGACTGGTTTTTCCGCATATGCTTACACCAAAAGCAAGTACAGAAATAGACTGGATGCAGCTCCAGATCTTCGCGTTCAACTGTCGGACATTAAGCCTAATTTTAATGCTATTTTAAGAAAATATGTAAAAAAATTTCATTCGTCACATTAAATTCACAAACGTGTTTTTATGAATTTAATGTGACGAATGAAATTTTTTGTACGTTTTATTACTTTATGTACCTACCTACATATTCACAGTAAATGTATAAAAATAATTTCATAAAAACTTAATTGTTTTTCATTTATACCTTTTTTAAGGTAGGCAAATTTCCATCTATCAACGTAGGGTTCCGCTAGGAAAAGTATAATCAATTAGGGTTCCTTGACAAAAAAAAATTGGGAACCCTGTTCTAGAGGATTGAAATAATTATAAAAAACAGAGGGAGTATGAATTAAAAATACTTTCTCTTTTAATGATTTACTAATCGTCCACTTTACAAGTAAAATATCGTCTAAAAACGGTGCATGCCGTATTAAATTCTCTTGATGCCTTGCCCAGCTTAGGTACTATAATATTATGACATTACATGGCAACAGCAACATACAGTTCTTTTCCTACCAAGCAATTAAAATAATACTATTTGATGGCCTCTCTACCATTACATTTACATTACATTACAGAGAAACGTCAACTAAAATATATGTAAAATATGTTATTGAGCTGTCTGATTTGAATGTCTCAATTTCATTCGACCCCTTAATAGCCAGAAAGAATGGTTGGATATTCACTGTTCTCATAGTAGGCTGCTGTCCGTTTCTCAACACACTTCTATTTCATATCTCCACAATGGGATGGGATGGTATGTGTTCTCCACAATGGGATCTAGCCTACTTAATTTGATAAATACCTCAAGATATTTTTATTAAATCACTATGTGTGAGCTAGGAAAAATCATTTAAGTTATCATTTTGTTCATGAAAATAAACCGTCAGAATCCTTTATACGTAGCCAGTCATTAAAGATCAGAATATTATTACAGCACCCAAAAATAACAGAAAATATTCAATACCACCGCAAGCTCAGAGCCAAACAAACGTAACAAATGATTTGATTGACGTTTGAGCTTTTGAAGTAACGTTGACATTTCCGCTTTGTGGTCATTGCATTTATAATCGATTGTGAAATCGATTTATTAATCTATTTAGTCAATTTATTTTTACGACTTTTTTGAAACGTTGAAGTGTCTCACGAGGAAACCATTATTTAAATAATAAGTTTCTTAATCTTACCTAAAGAAGAAAATACTGAATCACTTTTATTGTCTTTTTTCTATTTTTGTATTAAAATCGATTAACTAACCTATTTCATCTGGCACCATTGTTTAAAAATGAAAATGACGGAAGTCAGTATTATTTTTTTTTAATATTTAATTTCTTTTGCCATGATAAAACTGCTTAATACTTCATTATTAACTACAAAAAAACTGTAAGAAAATATTGATAAATATTTCACTTGTGTAACGTTAAGCCCAAATTCGCCCGTCTCCTTTACGCCACCATAATATTCGACAAATGGCAATCATGTCATCCCCAAAGCAGAAGGCGCTATGGCCACGTGAGTTTTGGCGCCAGTTTACAAACGTTTTGTCAAGAATAAGCTAATAAAGCACTTGTTTTTATTTCTGGTACCAATAAATGCATCCTGGAAAACTCCAAAAAGATATTTTTTAATAAATGGCATTAATGCAGATCAAAACGCTGCTCTTCTAACAGAGGCGATCAATTTGGTAGAAGAAGCAGGTATAAACGTCATAGCCGTTACACTTGACGGCTGCCCAACAAACATTACTATGGCTAAAAATTTAGGCTGTTTGAAGTTAATAAAATAAACTCCACTTTTAAAACTCCCTCTTACTCTTTTCAGATCCGGCACACATGATCAAGTTATTGCAAAATGCATTTGAATTTTATAAAAATTTGAAGGACGAACGGGGCAATATTATATCGTGGGAATATCTGGTTAAATTACATAATATACAAACAGCGGATAATTTTCATCTGGGTAATCGACTCAGGACTGCTAATATATTTTTTAAAACTAAAATTGTTAAAATAAGCTTAGCAACCCAAACTTTTAGTTTTACTACAGGAAGTTTAACTCGTTAAATCTCCTCGGTATACCGGATTCATAAGATTTTGTGTGTTTAACTCAGGGTGCGCCTTAAAATATCTTCTTCTACATAAAATATGCCAGGACAACCTGGAACACCTTTTTGGAAGTATAAGATGCAACGAAGGACCAAACAACAATCCTAGTGCTAGGGTATTTGAAAGCATATACAAGTAGCTGCAGCGCTATTGGACAAATATCAATTTTGCAATGCATTTCTGCGGTTAACCGCATCATTATTACTACAAGATATAAAGACCAAAAAACAGATCTTGAGACTCAGTGCTTGGATTTTTCGGACCTTGAAAATCTGTTTCCTTTTTCTGATTTCGGTGAAAAAGTAATAGAATATATGGCCGGATACATTGTTCATGCTTTGATAAAGCAAATAAAATGCCAAACTTGCATTAGGGCGCTGATTGGTGTACCAAATTAGAACGCCTTACAATCTCAAAAGACAAATTATTGCACGGATCCACCACAGTAATAGACATTTGTCGTCGTTGTGAAACTTTTATTTAGAGGGCGATCAACGGGAATGGTTCGAAAGTGCTGTCTTCGAAATACATATAATACCAAATTTGAAATAGAATCAACAAATAATTTAACGAAAGGCATAATTACGCAACTTGACCATTTGCAGCCGAGCGTTCTTCCTCGTCCGCCGGCCAGCAGTAGTAAGTCATGTGCTTAGAAGAAATCTGCCTATTCGCTCTCTAGTGGTTACATTCTCTATAATAGTATCACATGAAATACTTATTGAACGCGCAAGAGCGTTTGCCGCACAGGATTAGTGAGTTATTTAATTAGTATTTGCATAACTTTCCCTAAAATTCAGCAGGCATTGTGTTAATTAGTTAAAACAACGAATTAAAATTTTTACCAAAAAAGTTTTTAAAAGCAAAGGCCTCAAAGTATAAAGTAGGGGAGACTGGGGCTGGTCGTGACAGGGGTAGGTAGTTACAGCGGCAACGGTGGCTAAACAGAGAACGCTATATTGACGTGAGAAAGAGACAAATGATCACGCCACCACCGGCTGGCACGCCGCGTGAGCCAGTGGCGCCAGCGCTTTTGTGAGAGGAGCCCGTACATGTTGCCGTAAAAACCGCAGGTTAGTAACATTTTCGTTTTTTCGTAATATTGGTCTACAACCTGTTTTCCTTTAAAGCAGATATGTGTGCCTTAATGCTTTCTTTTTTGCAACGAATCTACGTTTATACAGTTATATTTAGTTGCGTTTTCACTACTTAACCTTGAAATGTCAGTTTTGGCGTTGGGGCTAAAAGTTTCGGGGCAGGTTGTTATTTGTTACTACCTGCCCCGTAGTGCTGCTTGCCGACTGATATAATTGGAACTACATAATTTGTTGTTTTTTTGTAGGATGTGGACGTATAAAAGAAAAACTGAGCGTAGAAAAATATCTAAAGAGGTTTACGAAAAAGCAGCAGCTATTTTGGAAGAGGACAAAACTAAAAAAATTCGTGGTATCGCAAAAGATCTTGGTTTATGTCATATGTCGCTAACAAGATATTTGAAGAAACGAAAAGAAGCAAAAGAGAAGGGCACACCTATAGAATCTCTCACAGTTGGCTACCAGAAGAATAGACAAGTTTTCAACGATGAACAAGAGCGCATTTTGGTGAGTTACTTGATTAAAAGCAGTCAAATTTATTACGGATTGACGCCAAAAGATGTCAGGCAACTAGCATTTTCCTGTGCACTTAAGTACAATATTGTAATGCCGCAATCATGGCTTGACAATAAAGAAGCAGGAGTTGATTGGCTGACAGCGTTTTTAAAACGGAACCAGTCTTTGTCTATAAGATCGCCAGAGGCTACTAGCCTAAGTAGGGCTACGTCATTTAATAAAACTAACGTCGATAATTTTTTTTCTAAGCTGGCAGACGTGTTGGATAGATATAAATTTTCTTTGTCACGCATATGGAATGTAGATGAGACTGGCGTGACAACGGTGCAGAAACCTAGAAAAGTTTTGGCTCCAAAAGGGTCCAAGCAAGTTGGTTCCATTACGTCAGCGGAGAGAGGGACTCTTGTCACTCTTTGCGTAGCAGTAAATGCAGTGGGAAACTCGATACCATGTATGTTTATTTTCCCACGAATGAAATATAGGGACTACTTTGTTCGCGATGGACCTCCAGGCTGCATTGGCGCTGGGAACTCGAGTGGTTGGATGACTAGGGGTGAATTTAAAACATTCATGAAACATTTCATAGACAATGTAAAACCATCTCCATCCAATCCTGTGCTCTTATTATTGGATAATCATTCTTCGCACTTGGATATTGAAGTCGTCGAAACAGCTAAAGAAAACAATGTGGTATTGCTGTCCTTCCCACCACATTGCTCTCATAAACTCCAGCCCATGGATGTGGGGGTCTATGGACCATTTAAAAATTACTGTGCCAGCCAGCAAGATGCTTGGCTTAGAAACAATCCGGGTAAGACAATGACTATTCACAATATTCCATCTATAGTGAGTAAAGCTTTGCCCTTAGCGCTAAATCCGGCTAACATCATCAACGGATTTCAAAAGACTGGTATTGCACCATTTAATAAAGATATTTTTCAGGAAGATGATTTCTTGTCTGCTTTTGTTACTGACAGACCAATAGACGAAACTGCTAACTCAAATCTTGAAAACACGCCTGTTATAACAGAGATTACTCCAATTAATTTCCCTGGGACTCTATCTCCAACTCCTCCACATTCCTCCAAAGATAATACTATACCTCCTATACCTGGATTTATTGAAGAGGCCACTGAAGTAGTAGATGCTGCAGAAGAATGCGAAAGCTCCCTTTATGGTTCAGTTGCTGGTTGTAGCAGAGATCTGTTTCACAACGAATGTACGACTTTTTCTCCCGATACCATTCGGCCTTATCCAAAAGCTGCTGCAAGAACAAATAAAGTAACACGAAAAACTCGCAAATCAGCTATTTTAACGGATACGCCGGAAAAAAATGTATTGGCACAAGAACAGAGCAAGAAAAAGGAAATTACATCAAAAAATAGAAAGGTAACTAAGAAAGGGAAGTCAACTGAGCCAGGAAAGATGAAGAGAGAAAAAACGCCTAAGGAAACAAGGAAGATTGCTGTGAAAAGGAAGGTCTTACATGACTCTGAGTCTGACGAAGGAAGTGTAGATGATTATTTTTGCCTGATATGTTGTGAACCGTTTGATCAAAGTCGAGCTGGTGAGGAATGGGTACAGTGTGTTGTTTGTAAGAAATGGTCACACGTAAGATGTGCTAAGGGTAATGTTATATCCTACATATGTTTGAATTGTGAAAGTGATTGTTCAGACTAAAGTGACTGAACTGTTTTTTAGCTTTTAGGATCTGATTGTTTTTTTAAAGAGAGACTTTATTTATTTTTTGTTCATGTGATGAGGCATAATAAATGTTTTGTTAATTCATACTAAGTTTTTGTTTGATAAAGAAATTTATAATTTTCTACCGGGTTGGAAGTTACCTAAATTTTATTTTTATGAGTCGTAAGACTAAAAGATAAGATTATAATTTTGTTCAACGAAGTTACTGTTTTTGTTATAATGAGGCAAAAGACTGCTATATAGATATTGTATTTTGACATTGTAGACATAATAATTGTAGTAAACTGTCATTGTTCTTAATAAAAAGTGTTATATTACGTTTGGTTTTTGTTGTAACATTTTGCCCCTTATAGTGTAACAACCAGCCCCTGGCGCGGGGCTGAAAGTTACACGCCTCTTTTCCTAGAATTCATTCATTTATGTCACTTCTAATAGTCTGATACCTAAAATTGTTTTTAAATTAATAACCCGAATAGTTACTTAATCAAACAAACCTACATTCCGGTAAAACAATCAAACAAACAAAAAATTACGACACTTTATAAAAAAAATGGCACGACCAGCCCCAGTCTCCCCTAAAAGTAAAGTAAAGTTACAGCCTATATACGTCCCACTGCTGGGCTCAGGCCTCCCCTCATTTCTGAGAGGCAGTAACTTCACATGTCTTCATATTTTTTTTCTTATTCCTCAGACATGCAGGTTTCCTCACGATGTTTTCCTTCACCGCCGAGCACGTGGTAAGTCAGCACTTAAAATTGCAATTAACAATTTCATTTGTGCCGGCGGGGATCGAACCCGGGTTACTCGCGTTCTGTTATATTCACAGCGAGCGTTAACCACTGAGCTACCACGATAAAAGTATGTTGTATTATTATATTTAAAAAAAATGTTTTATGAAGCCGCTTCCATAATTTCATAGCCAAAAATGAACTTTAGGTAAATATGCATCCGATTATCCTGTCACTACTTATTACACAAGAAGAGACGTTATAGTGAGGTCCGGATAGACGAGGCTTTAATGAAACATCCAGGCGAAATTTTATTAGTGTGTTTATTCACAAACTGTAGTAATTTGCATATGTTAGGAGACCCCGACCAAATAGGTTATATTAATAGGATAGGGTCAGTGTGTATAAAGTATGGTGATTCTAGAACATTTTTCAGACCTTCAAATTTTTTGAATATATCGTATCGTTCAGACGTCCAGTCGATGTCCTGGCGATACTATTCGGAAAATACGAAGGAGGAACGAAATTTACTTCCAAGTTTATGAAAAGTATGTTCAGCAAGTCATACACTGCCTTATCTAATGTACCACTGGACAACAATTTATATAAGTATTTGGTGTTTAAAAAATCCGAAAGACTTGTTGAAGAAAGCGGGTTACGATATCTCCACTATACACGAGTATCAAGGGGGAAACAGGCGTAGAACATTATTATAGTGCGTACATCGACTAAACTTAAAGAAGAGATTTACCTGTCTGAATCTCATATACTCGTCGCTATAAGTAGACATACTAATTCATTAGCATATTATACACCTGTAAAAGACACTCTCAAGACGATAATAGATAAACAAGTTGACTCTAAATTACTTAACGAAGTAAAAATTAATTTACGAGGTGGAGCTAAATAAAGCGATGATATTTTTACATATAACAGACCAGAAGAGAACACTTAATGCATGCACGTCAATACATTGATACTTAAGGCTCTTGAAACTAATGTCATTAAATTAGAAATTTAAGTACCGATATATACAGCTCCTTTAAAGAATTTGTTTTCTGGACACATTAATACATTGATACTGGTAGTAATACATTGATACTGGTACTACCATGATTTGAAATTACCTGGTAATTCTTACTATGATCAGTATTTAGATGCTACAAATATGTTGAATAATGAATTGGACATTGAATTGGAAGGGATTTTCATAATCGAAAGCAAAAGACCACGGAAATTAAGTAAATTTGAAAACTTTGACCTATACTGCAAACCTTTATGCCCTGTTCTAGAAGACGATCACAAATTTAGTCTTAGATCGCTTTGAACAAAAGAAACATGGCCGTACCTGAACTGGATAGTATGGTCAATGCTCACGCCTTAGGAGAACGGTTGATAACTCAATTCAAAAGTTCTTATTTTAAAAAAGATAAATTATAGTCATTACATGAATTTAAAAAAACGCACCCATAGTACCCAATACAAAGGATATTGAGGAGTAGTTACAAACTCAGGCCCCAGTATTAGGAATCAAATTGATGGACCAGACCACATCATATCAGAATGGGATTGGAATCGTTACAAGTTCATGATTAAACCAACAGTAAAACCTACTCTTGACTTGACCGCCCCGTATGTTAATAATGCGCTCTAAATAATAGCATGACAAGAAAAATTTCATAACGCTATTTTTGAGGATAACATACATGTACAAAGACAATTTTAAGGTATTTACACGTGTTACAAATGAAGATTTCTCTGCTGCGATGGACGATATTATCCCATCTAATGAATTTGAAAAACTTTTACATCAAGGAGCACAAATGTTGGAAATTGACACATCAAAATATGATAAAAGTCAAGGTTTGGCAACATTAATTTTTGACTGCATACTTATGGATCTCTTCGGGGTAAAACAATTTTATATAGATTTATTGTATCATGCACACGCTCATATCATTTTGACATATATCGAAAATGGTGTGAAATATAAGGTGGACTACCAACGTAAATCAGGAGACGCTTCAACCTTCTGTCAGAATACCAGATTTTTGGTGGCTGTTGTTGCTACAATGTTAGATATGGATCAAGTGCACTCCGGTATCTTTGCTGGTGATGACAGTTGGTTGTTGACGAAACACGAATTTAAAGATATGAACGCTTGGTGTCCTACTTTACTAAACTTAGAATCAATTTTTTAAATAAAAAAGATCCATATATTTTGTTCTAAATACTTCGCACATGATAGGATCAAATGGTACGTTGTACCTGGATCCTGTTAAATTGTTAGTGAAATTTGGTAGGAGTGATTTGTGCAATTTTGAACATGCTGAGGAGTATAGAATTTCATTAGTAGATTTGAGTTAAATACTCAAGTGTATGATAAATAATAAAAATATTGAATATCGCAATAGCTGGGCAGTGAATTACATAAAGAAATAATAAAAAAAGAAAGAACGACCCTTCCAGATGTTATAAGGATGAGAATCTTAGATTACGGTCTTAGGCTGGTATCCACACAGGTATACTCAATACACATCTTACTTTACACCCATCCTACATTATCTGACCTTATTTTCTTTGATTTGTAAGGAATTGAGTTTAATAAAGAATAAGACTTGTCTAGTTTAATTTAGTAATATATGGAGACTAATTAATAATTACTAGTGCTGGATGCAACACGGCAATTAGTTATAAAGAAAATGTAATAGTTATGTTAATTTAAGTTATAAAATTCATTCCTCTTATTTGTTTTCTTTTAATTAATGTAAAATATAGGTTTATATCCAAACAAGTATATTTAACTAGTTTTTTTTAAAATGATTTTGCTTTATATACTTCATTACAACAATACTCAATAAAGACTTGTAACTATAACAATAATCACAGCACCCAACAATAAATAATGCTGAACATCATAATGCAGACTGTAAAATACAACTCATTAGTAATGCCTTGTATCCAATAGCAAGGCATTAATGCAATACTTATTCAATATAATGTGACAATTTAAAAACAAATTATAAATTTGTACAATTTTTTTAAATATAATAAGGAATTATACAGTACAACTTTGGCTTCTCTATTTTGGAATTGCACTTTTGGCTTCTCTTTTTGGACTTAGATTATTGTGAATTGGACTTGTTGATTACATACCGGGCAACTTTAGCTTCTCTCTTTTGGAATTGCACTTTTGTGTTGGCATCCTTGTTATCTACCATGCCTACGCGCTACACTTCACAAGAATATGCCAACATGCACCTCATTTATGGGGAATGCAGATGCAACGCAAGTGCCGCCGCTAGACTTTATCGTGAAAGATATCCAACTTTAGAGCGCTATCCGGATCACCGCGTGCTTGTTAATGTGCACCGTTCACTTACGGAGGGCGGCCATTTCCCGAATCAAATAAGGGCTGGAGGTAGAGCTCGCTTTCCTTACGAGGAAGAAGTGTTGCAAGAGGTCGCAGATGATCCAAGTATTTCCGTTCGTGGAATTGAAGAAAGAACGGGAATACCCAAAAGCACATCACATCGTATTTTACAAAGAGCCGACATGCATCCGTTTCACGTACAACGCGCTCAAAGTCTTCTTCCTCGAGATTATCCTGAAAGGATTTCATTTTGTAGAACAATGCTACAGAGGCATAACGAAAATCCCCAATTCATCCAAAAAATTCTCTGGTCAGATGAATCTACATTTAAAAAAAGATGGTTACATAAACTTACACAATTTTCACGAGTGGCATGTGGCGAATCCACATTTAATGCGAGAAGACAGATCCCAGTATCGCTTTAAAGTAAACCTGTGGACCGGAAAATTGTTGGGCCTTTTGAGCTGCCTGAGAACTTTAATGGCATGAATTACTTACATTTTTACGAGAAAATTTACCAACTTTGTTAGAGGACGTACCACTAGCAGATCGTCGCCACATGTGGCATCAACAAGACGGCTGCCCAGCGCATTGCGCGGTGCAAGTAAGAGATTTTCTTGACCAGGAATATCCGGGAAGGTGCATTGGACGTTCAGGCACTATCTCGTGGCCAGCCCGTTCCCCAGATTTAAATCCCCTGAATTTTTTTTTATTGGGGCGTTCTCAAAGAAAAAGTTTATTCAAAGCCAATTGACAGGGTAGCCGAGCTGCGTGAACGAATTTCTCAAGCTGCCGAGGACATCAACTCTCGAGGATATGCCCGACTAATAACTTGTTTACTTAGATCTTTTTTAAGAAGATGTAGGGCGTGTATTGAGGCTGATGGTAAACTATTTGAACACTTATTGTAATAAAAAAATGTTATTTCCCTATCTGACTTTTATTCCAATAAACCTAAACTAAACTAGGTCAAGATTTTTCATTATTTTGTTAATTTTACTTACTTTTGTTGACTTTTGTAAAATTGGCGTCACTATCTGTCTTGCTCGCTCATGGCTAACATCTCCACTATCCATCTCTCAAATCAATAAAAACATTTGAACTAAGTAAAACTAGCACCAAAGTTACCAAAAATCGGGTTACTCGAGGTTTTTATTTATTTACTTGTTTTTTTTTTTAGAATAAAACCAACAAGTATTGTACTACCATTTTACAATCCTGATTAAATGCGCAAACTTTTAATGGCACTTACCAAGGCACTTTAGTACATTTTTTTTAAAGGAGGACCTTTCAAAGTCGACAAATGTTGAAAATTTTAAATTCATAGTTTAGCAAACAGTCTTAATTCTAGAAAACTCGGGGCAGTTTTGTCATTATTTTTGACTGTTGTTCTAGAAATCTTATTTAGGGTTACGGTTCCAAAGTTTAAATGAACAAAAATAATGAAAATTAACCACTAAAACCGAAAAATGGTTACAGTTTCACCAAAATTCTAGATTTTTCTTAAATGCCCATAATTTCCGAACTGCATGGGATAGATTTTTTTTTCTGATTTTTCTCATGATCGTAACAATCATTCCTGTCACCCTGTTTCGGCTTGACGTTGAGTTCTGGGACAACCTGTATAAGCAACCAATCTTTATTGAACTGTATAATGTCATAATACTACTATATAAGCATCAATTGTAAAACAAATACATGTAATAAGCAAACTTTGTGAACTGGACAATAAACTCTCACCAAGGATGGGGTAATCCCTGGTGGAATACAAAAATCTCCTTACTGGGTCTGACATAATGGTTTTGTTATTCACATTGTGGCTTCCTAGTTAGGATGATAGAATTTTATGAACATTGATGTCCTTGATACAGGTAAATTATATACAGAGTCCCATTACTACATTCAGCAGAGCTAGCATGGGCTAGGGACAAAGATTTTATTCCCCGATTATATCCACTGACAAGAGACAAAATTATCCTGTCCCTATGCCAGATCACGGCAACAGAAGAAAGGAGAAGTACATTCCCGGTTGACATAACGAGTACACATATATCCCCCATCCGTAGCATGGGGCCAAATGAAAGAGAAAAAATTAAGCTTTTTCATTGGACGTGATTTAAGTTTATCTTCAAAGCAATTTAATAAAAAAAGATTCCTCGGGCATACTTCAACTACATTTTCGTATAAGAATTACAAAAACAAGAAAGAAAATTACATCGGCGATCGATACTTGATCAAAGTACTTAATCCATTGGAATTCCCAACGGTTTTGGATGCTCAAAACAATGTGTTTTGTATTTTTGTAAAAAAAAACTCTGTGAGGCTTTAAAGCCTATTAACTTTGTGGATTGACTGCGAGTGCATATTAAAGTAAGCATCTATTACAACCACCTTGTGCAAAAACATCATATATTAGCGATCAATATATGTGGCTAACTTAGTAACCAGAAAGGTACGAGTCAAGTACGAGACAAATCAAGACCATAGAATGGCTGTTGATCAAACAACAAATAATCAGCAAAGACTTGACCTAAGTTATTGGGTCTATATATATACATATAATATATATATATATATATATATATATATATATATATATATATATATATATATATATAATATATAATATAAAATAAATCATCATTACAGCCCTTCACAAGTTCACCGCTGAACACAGGCCTCCCCCAAGTAATGCCACAAAGCACGGTCCTGAGCCACCTGCATCCATCGACTTCCTGCATGTCTTACCAGGTCGTCACTCCATCTAGTGGGGGGTCGCCCTACACTACGCCTACCGGTACGAGGCTGCCACTCGAGAACCTTTCTTCCCCATCGGTTATCGGTTCTTCGAGCTATATGGCCGGCCCATTGCCACTTCAGCGTACTAATCCGTTGGGCTTTATCGGTCACTCTGGTTTTACTACGGATATCCTCATTCCTGAGTCTATCACGCAGAGAAACTCCGAGCATAGCCCTCTCCATAGCTCGCTGAGCGACCTTGAGCGTCCTCATACGGCCAGCAGTGAAGGACCACGTCTCAGATCCGTAAGTCATCACTGGCAACACGCACTGGTTGTACACTTTAGTTTTCAGAGATTGAGGTATACCTGATGAGAAGATGTGTCGTAATTTCCCGAACGATGCCCTATATATATATATATATATATATATATATATATATATATATATATATATATATATATATATATATATATAATAAATATAATATATATATATATATATATGGTTATTGGGTATCCTAAGTCATTAGAATGTGGGGAACAGTATACTTTAATTAGCCTCTTGTGTAAGTAAATACATACAAGTTGCAGTGCATCTACTTCATTCATATTATTTTTGATTAATACCCAAGTGAATACTCGTATTACTTCTGGGCGTATAACAAGCAAGGCAAAATGTAGCTAGAGCATTCCCAGCAGAGCATGGTCTACCAGATATTCTTGAGGCTATTGGCTGTACCCGTGTTGATACATTTCGCCCACTATTCCCGACTGGGAATCACTACAAGAAAAGGGCGGTCTACAATAAATACTATAGTATTTAGAATTTTTGTTCAGTAATTTTGAATGTTCTTACATTCTTACATCTTGTCTAAGTATTTTAATAATATAGAATTTTTATTGCGGCCATATAATTGTTATCAATTCTGAAGTAAGTCATGGTTGCAATATATTGTGGCACCATCATTTTATCGTTTTGCTTTCTAGATATGAATTGCATCTACATCCCTCTATCAGATCGCCAAATAGAGGATGAACTAGAAGAAATATTTTCAATTCCAGATGGAAATATATTCGATGATGATCAGGAACAATCATTCTCGGAACCACAGATTCATATCATATAAATAATATTCAGAATGATGAGGATCAGCTTTCAGATTTCTCCTCGTCATCTGAAGACGTTTCAGATGCTGACGAGATCGACTGGAAGAAACAGGAATGGATTCAATATCATGACACAATTTTCATTTATTCCAAGACGATACAGTCTACAAGACAACTACCAAACAGAACCAGAGCTGTCATTTATTCCGATTTGCTTCTTGATGAAGCTATTATAGACATATTAGTAGGCCAAACAAACCCTTATGCATCTCAGAAAAATTTCGGAATTGGACAAATGTGACACGAGAATGAGATCATTTATTGGAGTCTTAATCCAAATGGATATACGTGTATTGCCGAATATTGAAGATTATTGTTCCAGTAATTCTTTGCCGCAAATTTCTGAAATAGCTGAAGCTATGCCCTTGAAAAGATACCAGATGATTATGAAGTATTTATATTTTAACGATAATTCAAAAATGCCAGCCAGAGAGGATAGCAATTATGACAAACTATACAAACTAAGACCAGCATTGGATTGTTTGAACAACAGTTATAATGTAACTTTACCGCTTATACGAAAACATGTGGCAGCGGGTTCCATAATTCATACCGATTATTGACGGGCATATGATTGCTTGGCCGAACACAGGTACACCCATAAAAGAGTTAATCATTCAGACCCAGACAATCTATTTGTGGCTGAAGATGTGACTCATACACAGCGAATTGAGTCACAGTGAAGACCAGTGAAGGTTTTTTTAAAAAACAAAATTATAATAATTCCCAAAATTTTGCAGACTTTTTAGTGGAGTAGTTGTGGAGGCGAAATATAGAAAAATATAAAAAGTATTCATTTAGATATTATGCGAGCAATAAAGCATGTATATAAAATATATTAAATAAATAGAATAAAAAATGAAATTGTAGACATAAGATATAAATTGAAAAATAAATATTAAACTCGCAAGCTTTCCGATTGAAAAATGGCTGTATTCACTTGTTCACATAAATGAACTACCCAATTCAATACTACTAACGCAATCTCTTAGCGTATTCTAGCAATTATTGACAAGTTGCGACCAGTACCTGTGCGTGATTTGAACTGTGCAGGTGAGCTCTTTATTTTATTTCTAAAAAATATAAATTAGTGCAAGAAATCATCTGGAAAAATTATGAGCAGAAGTCTCATGTAATTGAGGTCATGTGTAACGTAATATTGGTGTATTTTGTTATCATTTTATATTGGTAATCTCGATTTTTATATTTGTGCTCAATTGTTCCCGTTAGGACTCAACTGAGTTTTTTTTCTAATTGTTAACGATTTTTTATGAAAAAATGTTTTAGTTATATTTTTACTGTTTTACTATTTGTTACTAAATTTAGTGTACACAATCAATTGTAATATTGTTTACTTACATTTTCAGATGAAAAAACACCAACATGTTCTCACCGGAGGCGTTACAGTCACAAGATGATGGAAATCTTTCTGACTTGTTGTTATCTTCTGATGACGAAGATAATTATGGAGATTTAATTCGTCCAGCACCCTTACCTACCAGAGTTGTCGAAGATGTAATTCACCAAAATCAAAGGGAATTATTTCCACCAGAATCTGATGACGACGAAGGACCTAGCGAATTGTATGACGGCGTCCCTGATCAGGAACCTTAAGATCCGGTCAACTCCTGTGAAATGGGCGGAGAATCAATCAGAAATACCTTCCACAATTGAAGATATTTTACAGAAACTCACACCAAAACAGAGGATTGCATGGAGACACCGAGAATCGGTAAATACCATACCATCAGATTGGCTTCCACCCATATCTGTTGATCCGACTGTCAAAGCCCCAATAGATTATTACTATAGATATGTCCCAAAGCAACTGTTTAGTGTAATGGCAGAAATGACTAACTTACCGTCACCCCGAAATAGTACAAAGAACGGCTGAAGCTGTTACTTCGGCAAGTGCCAATGTATCAGAAGAGAACATCAAAAAATGGTGTCAGCAAATTGAAACTTGGTTAGAAGAAGAAGATTTCCTGCATATCCTACAAGATCCTAAACGTATTTTAACGGCGATGAAACAAATTTCTTGTTATGTCCAAAAACCTCCAAAGTTTTAGCCCTAAAAGGTACTCGCGACGTGTATGAAGTGGATAACGCGACTGCGAAATGTGGACTGACAGTGTTGACAGTTTGACATGTTCACATTTTCGGCTACCGGAGTTATTACACCACCGATGATTATCTACCCACTCAAACGTAACAGAGCAGATATTACGGCGTCTGTACCACCAGAATGGGGTATAGGTCAGTCATCAAATGGATGGATGAACAAAGATCTATTTTTACAATACATTACTAATGTTTTACATCCATATCTTGTAATAGAAAATACAAAATTCCAAATTCTTCTGTTTGTTGATGGACACAAAAGTCATATCAATTTTGAACTTGCATGCATGCAAAGAAAGAGGTATAATACTTATAGCATTATACTCAAACGCGACTCGCATCTAACAACCCGCAGATGTAGCTGCCTTTAAACCGATAAAAAGTTCATGGAAAAAGGGAGTATTAGAATGGAGAAGGGAAAATGCGACAAAAAATTTGACAAAAATTGATTTTGGACCAATACTATGCTTAGTATTGGTCCAAAATCAATTTTTAAAGAAATATATAGATAAAAAAATTATTATAAACGGATTTCCAGCTTGTGGATTGTATCCTTGGAATCCAAATGCAATTAACTACCGAAAATGCCTTGGCAAAAATGTGACCCAATCGACCAGAATTCAAGAAAAGAGACCACAAAGGGCAATAACATTCACAGACTTTGAAAAAATCGTGGGACAAAACATCGCATCCCGTCTTACTTCTGAGACACCCGATAAATCAAATTGTTTTTACAAAGCATTAAAAGACATATACGACCATTTGAAAGGCAAAGATATAGAACAGGAAGACAGTACTATTTCAAGCGATTATTTAGTAATTGAAAATGAATTGATGGCAATAAATGACATACGTCGTAATTTCAAACTCCAATAATATTGAAGAATCTCATACAGGGGCCTTCCATTAATCACGTGAGGCTTGAAAGGGGGGGGGGGAGGAGTTTGAATAAAAACACCAAAAATCACAAAGGGGGATGGGGAGTGTAGTAAAAAAACCCGTGTATTTATTTTTATCAACGAAACGAAAAGGGTGGTGTGACCTTGACTTGCCAGGTAACGAACGAAGTACTCACGCGCCGCCGACAACCGCCGGGCTCGGCACGCCAGTCGCCAGATATTCTGTTGTTTTGGCGCCGAATACACGCGTAAACCGTTACCCTTGTACGTTTTGCATTAAAACAGTGTTTAAAGTGGTCTGGTGGTGATCTGTATAAAGACCTTTTTGCGGAGTATAAGAAAGGAAAAAAACCTGGTATAGCTCAGAAAGAATTTAATGAGTTGTGGGCTGATGCGAAACAAAAATATACTACAAAAGAAGAATTTATGAAGTGGGCGAATGATCTTTTACTAGATTACCGCCGAAAGCACCAAGCAATGAAGTCTTCCAATATTCTCTATTATTGTTCTAATTCTAAAAAGGTAAGTTAAAACTAATAGGTATCTATTTAAGGGCATTGTCCTAATAAATAAGACTTCACCTATAGTTTATTTGCAGTATAACTGTTATTGTTAAATCTTACAACATTTTTGATAATTTGAGAAAATAAATACATATAGATAAAATATGCATAGCGTATCTACTTTAAGTGTTACTAACTTAATTCCAAAACATATTATTTTATTTTTCTAATAAAAATGTTATTCAAATAATCTCTTAAGTATAAGCATCACGTGGCCCCATATGCCTACATATCACGCGTATAGGCGTATTGAGCTGAACCTTGTTTACGAGGTATGGGTTTATTAAACGTAAAAAAACAAAGTAAAACATAAGTCGTGGTGGTTGTAAAGTGAAGATTATATTACTTACTATTGTAACACATTTGGCGCTTTTTTATATATTAATATCACGTCATCTTGTGAAAACCTACAATATTTTTATTACTATTCATAGTTCATATTGAACGGAGAGATTCACTAATGAACATCCAACACTAATTACATATCCCATTAAAATATTGTGTATGGTTTGTGTGCCACTTTGAATTCTTATTTTAATATCAGAAAAAAATAAAATTACTGGAGAAGGTCAATTTACTTGCACCGATAATAATTAAAATCTTAATTTTTTTAGAATGCCAGCGAAAACATTCCTATTTCGTCAATCACATCCAATGAGCCAAGTCTACCTGTAAAACTTACGCCTACGATATGCGTCTCACCGATCTGTGATGAAATTACTGACGAAGGCAATGATACTATTAAAAGTACCTCAACAGGTAGTAAACATCCTAAATGTATTACGAATTCATGATAAAGAGAAATTTAATATCAGCATTAATTTATAAATAGATATTTAATCATTCCAGGGGCTCGGAAACGTAATTGTCAAGATTTGGAGTGTAGCGACGAGAATTCACCGGATACACCAAGTGCAAGCAGCTCTATACCGCAGCCTGTACGTGCTACTCCTGCACAGAATAAGTTGAAGAATCAGATTTCCCTTCTTCAAATGGAACTTGACTTAGCTGTTCGTCGTAGGGATTCTCTGTGCGTCAGTTAAAATGAGACGCGTGATGTAACGAAACTGCGCCGAGAAATTGATAAATGCACAAAAGAACTACGGAAGAAGGAGCAACATATGCGTCACTCCCAGTCACATAGATTATCAATAAAATCAAAGATTGAACTTGCTTGCAATCAGAGTCCGAATGTAACTAATCTTCTTAATGCGCGTTCTGCCGCAGGTTGCCCACGCCTGGAAGAGCAACAACCGCAATTGCTAAAAACTATCGTCGATTTGGCTATGTTTGGTGCTTCTGCGGAGGAACGGCGTCGCTCAGAAATTGTTCGCAGTTGCCGAACACTTACTGATCTCCATGAGAAGCTAAAGGAGCACGGATTTCCAATTTCGAAGATTGGCACGTACCTTCGGTTGCTCCCAAGAAATTATACCACCTTGGAGGGCAAAAGGCATGTAGTCACTGTGCCTGTCAAATTGAGTCGCCCTGAGGCAGATCACCATAAGGCTCACGTCGATCAACATTTTTGTGTCGCTACAATAAGATCCTTGGAAACGCTGGCATCTATTCTCGGGCCAAAACAAGTGTTTTTTTCTGTCGCAAGATGATAAAGCCCGGGTACCTATAGGTTTGACAGCGGCAAATAAACAAGCTCCGCTCCTGATGCATGTCGAATATCGTGTTTCATTGCCTGATGATGATTGGATGATTGCTGCAAGGCATAAATTAATCCCTAGTGTATATGCCGGGTGCATCATAAAAGGAAATGATATGGGCCGTGCTGAAGCAATTACGTACTCAGGGCCAACATATGTGGCGATTAAAAGTGGCAAACATTCCTCTTCGACAGCTTCTACTCATGCTGTGGACTTCAATCAGCTTGCTACTCTCAACAATTTCAAGGAAATTATGCGGGATGAAGAAGGATGCCTGAAACCAGTTATTTTGATTTCATCTGATGGAGGACCCGACGAAAACCCGAGATATCCAAAAGTTATTTCGCATGCCATACACCACTTTGTCAAGCATGATCTAGATGCAATATTCATCTTTACGAATGCACCTGGCAGAAGCGCGTTCAACCGTGTTGAGAGAAGAATGGCGCCTCTAAGCCGGGAATTATCTGGACTCATACTTCCGCATGATCCTTATGGAAGTCATGAAAAAAAATTAACTTTCAGAAAGCTGGAAAAGTTCTTGCAGAAGTATGGGATAATATGGTTATCGACGGCCATGACGTCGTAGCAGAGTATGTCGAGCCCGATGACAGTTCTGAAAGCTTTATTCCAGACCTGCCTTCTCCGCAGTGGTATAGCGAGCATGTGCGAGAGAGCCAGTATTTGCTTCAGGTACATTAGTAAAATCTCACTTATTATTAATTTACCATTTATTCTTCTTATCTAATACGACAATACAATTAAAATATCTTAATATCATTACCAGGTGGTGAAGTGTGATGACCGCGCTTGCTGTGGACATATGCGGAGTTCTCTTCGATCTATTCTTTCGGAGCGCTTCGTTATACCTCCTTACCCAATTTTACAGTCATCTAGTGGCCTATGTATTCCGAACCCTCAAGAGCACGATGGCAACACCTTTGCTACATTTCTTCTGCGTCGGTCTCTTGGAATTACCCCAACGCATGAGGGCTTTAAAAAAATTGCCTTATGACTTGTATTGTCCTAGTCTGCAGAAGGATCGTCAGCAACTCTTGGAAAGGACGTGCCAGCGGTATGGATTGTACTTCTGTACAAAGAAGAAAGTTAAGGAACATGTAAATTCATGTCACGAGCAACTTAATCCCAGCAATAATAGTATACTTCACGCCTCCACACCCGACGATCGATCGGTAAATCGAGAGAGATTCTCTGCGTTGTGCGCGAAAATGATGACACCGAGTGACTTGATGAAACCAACGTTGATCTTCAACAAAGCACAGTTCCAATAACTAACCTGCAAGATGCTTATCCAATTGTTAGTGCTGAAGATTGTCTTGCTAATTCGTGGTTCGAGGATTAATATACATTAAATATGTTCACCATATGTTTTCCCCATGATTACGCCACTCGTTTATTATTATTTTTATGCCAATTAAAAATAACCTACAACCTTTGTGTCTAGACATTTTTATCATGGTCCTTAATTTCAGAATGAAATAAGATTATACTTTATACTTGTATTTAAAGATAATATTCTAAAAATTTTAAGATTCCTTGTAGGTAGTAAAAATACACGTAATGTTATAGTCTTAAACCTCACCACGTATCACCAAGGGGGGAGGGGGGGGTAAAAATGCCAAAAAAAAGATCACGTGATTAATGGACGGCCCCACAGACACTATTGAAACTGAAACTACAGAGAGTACTGAATTACTTACAACAGACTTATTTGACGATTTGGAGACCCCAAACCTAACAGTCCCACAATTTGTCAGCAGATATTCGGAATACTATTGAAATGAATAATAATTACAAACAGAGCCAACTTATAGCGAATTCAGATTCAGACACTCAAAATTATTTAAAAAATGAAATATTAAATGTTCTGGAACCTACCAGTGATAATGTCCTCAAAGGCCGTAATCAATTGATGTCACCTAAATTAACAGCTATTGCTGAAATGCATAACGTTGACAAACCCAGCGAACGTACAGGGACTGTTAATGTTCTAAACAAAGAGTCAAATGAAATAACAAACCCAAATTTATTAGTAATAGATAACGTTACAGAGACTATTAATAAATCAAATATTAATAACCAAAACCAAATAGCAGGGACAGAAAATAACAAAAAATATGATTTTAATTTTGACAATGCTAAATGCGATAGTGAAATGACACCTCCGAAATTAAAAGAAATTCTCAATTGGCCCCAGACACCACAACGGAAAGGGAAAATTATGACCCACAATCCCATTTATGTCTTGACTAGCCGCAAATGGCTTGAAATCGAGGAAAAGAAAAAAATGAGAAAACAAAAGAAAAAGAGAAAGGATAACGTAAAAAAGGGAGAGAAGAGAAAAGAAAACAGACAGTAAAAAGCATCACAAAAATATCAAAGCATACCAAAAATATGAAAATCGATTCGGAAAACTTAGAAAACATTGAAATATTAAGACAAGAAGAAAAAGTTCCTAGGCATCTATTAAATAAAAACTCAAAAATTGAAGAAAATAACAGAAAAAATAAAGAGGAAACAAAAACCGAAATAAAAGAACGAAAAAGAAAATATGATAAATCAATAACCACTGCACACAATAAAAAAATTTAAATAGATGTATGTGATAAAGAGACTGAGAACAATATTTTTAAGTGTGGTGATACCAAGACGAGTTATTAGATATAGACCAGATTAAAAAAACTACTCCGAAGCCTAATAAAGAAAGTAACATTAAAATTTTGTCTGTTGTGAAGGCGCCAGTTGTGCATAATCCAAGAAATATTTTTAATGAAAACAGTTGCGTTGATACAAAAGTACCATTCGTTTTATCCAAACCCAACTCTATACTAAACAGAAGAGAGACATTCCGTAATGAAGAGGAACTTAGTAATTTTCTTAATGATGAATACCTAAATATGGACGAAAGCTCGATGTAAATATAAATCGATAAAAAAAATTATACCCTGCACATCACTATCTTTAAATATTATAATTTTTTTTAGTGATTGGCCCTAACATGGTATAATAATTGGCAGTGCTAATAAACACAAAGTACAATGATTGACATGACATGACATGCCAATAATTATACTTTGGATATGTCAATTTCTACACACCAATGGCCAATGATTGTACCTTTGGCTCCTGTTTATGTTTATTGCAATAAAGTTATTAATTAGATGCAAAACGATTATGGACAAACGAGCAAATGTTATATGATTATGAACCTTATTTAGGTATAAGAAATTTTCAAATTCAATGACCTTAAAGGGCGAATCAATGTACTCCTTACCCTGGCTCGTGACGGTGTTGGGCATTTCCCTGCACATGACGATGGAACTGGGACTAGGTGTAAAATGGTGGGATGCAAGGGAAAATCGCGTGTCAAATGCATAAAGTGCAAAGTTCATTTATGTCTAACCAAAGACAAGAATTGCTTCTTAGCTTTCCACACGTAGATAAAGATATTTTTTGTTCCTAATTATAGTTTTCATTGTATTGTTGTATTTGTGCCGATGACTGAATATGCCAAAAAACTGCCAAATGTTTATTTTATTTCATAAAAAGAATTTAACTATGTTATTTCATTCATAATTTTGTAATAAAAATGATCCTAAATAAACATTATTTCATTTCAGAACAACGTCACATACCTTATTCTTATAAATATGTAGAACGGGTGTCCGCATTTGTGCACATTAAGAAAAACTATTTTTTCACGAAAAGTTAAAGGCTAAGATTAAAAAACTCCTTACTATACTCCTTACTATACTTAAGATGCATGGAATTTACCAAATCCATCGGATAAAAATAATAATTCAGGTTTGAAAGGGTTAAAGAAATTATGCGAGCAATAAAGCCTGTATATAAAATATGTATATTAAATAAATAGAATAAAAAATTAAATTGTTCATTTACCACTATCATAGCAGAGTTTAGGGCAATCTGACTTTATAGATACGATTGGTCGAATCGGTTCTAAAACCGAATTAGCACGCTCCGACTCTATGTAATCTCGTCTGCCCTACCCATACTAGACTTGAGCATACATATGTAGACTTGATGACATGAGACATAAATAGACTTGAGCAAGATTAACTTTACTTCTAGTTTAAAGCTTAAAATATCTAATTTCAGTACTAATAAACATAGAGTAAGGAGGGAGTAAACTAATCCGAATCTACTCTCGTAATAAAAGTTAATCCTTGGCGGTTCCTAGTTTAACGACTGAGTAAGCATATACATACTAGTCGCGTATTTTGACATTTTGTAAAACTTTACGTTTACGCGCGTTGTTACCCGTGTTAAATTCGTAAGTTGTAAGCACTAGTAACAAAAACAGCATAATGGATTAAAATGCGAAAAGTGATGTGGAGCAGAATAAAGTGATTGCAGGTTTTTATTCGTTATGTGGATTTAGACAAGTGACTGGGGCTTTTGATTGCCACATATTCGAATACAGAAAGTCGCTGGAAACATCGGCAATACTACATAAACAGGAAAGGATACAGTTTAATAAATGTTCAAGTAAGTTTTATAGCACCTGGCTAGACCATCTTTGTCATATAGTGACTTAGTTATTTCCTTAGATTCAGTACAATCACCTCAATCTATTGCTTCATATTAAAGAAGTTATGATTGCTTTGTTCACATGACTCAAGAATATTTAATGAAAGTCGCATTAAAACAAACGTTTGAGCAGCCAGAATTTAAAGGCAGACTTCTCGGAGTTTCTGGTTATGCTTGTACTCCTTATTTATTCACTTCTATCTTGCGTCCTAATAAACAACAAACAACCGGTCGCACATCAGGGCCCGTAACACTGTAGAACGATGCTTTGGAGGGAAGCGAAGATTTCGGTGTTTACTGCGAGGATAAATACTAAATAAGAGCATACAAAACTATATACATTGCAATGCAATAGCAAGATCTGCTTGAGGATGTAGAATAAGAAGATGATGAAAATGTGCCAGTCACACAAATATTAAATAAGTCTGTACGGGCAGCATTTATTAACGATTTTTTTTAAATAAATATAGAATAATTACATGTACAAAAAAATTTGTTTATCCCCAAAAGACAAAACAAAAATGGTTATAATTTAATTATTTTGCACTTCACGCTCTTTTCTTAGTTCTATAATTTCGTTGCAAATAATATTAAAAACTATTATATTTAGAACTTAGTTTTTCCACCGAGACCTAAAACAACACGAGGAAGAAGGAACAACACGTAACACATATCTCTTGTCAAACTCAAAATATTGCCTTTCTATAGCTAAACTTTCGTTACACTTAAAAGCTATATATAGAATATGGAGGCACTGAAACGCTTCGCTTTAACTAAAGATTGTCCCATTGCTAAAGTAAACACAATGAAGAAGCGAACAGCGATGTTGTCGTTGTCCGATGGATGTTTAACTCAGTGGTGACGGTAGCTTTCACTGACAACAAGTATTTTCAACCGCTAACACAAATCAAACAATTTCTTTACTTGTGGTGTAAAACAAAAACATAGCGATAGGCTAACTGCAGCAGCTAATCTTCGGCTAGATTAGTTTATTTAAAGGATTTTGCGTCAAAATTAAGTATACTTTCTGCCCAGGCTCTTCTTAACGCATTTTTCGAAGAGGAGTAAAATATCCAGAAAGAATAACGAATTCCATCAATTTTATCATGCAACCGCGTTTGGTATTTATTAGCCGCGCGCAAAAACTTTGTCGATGACTACCCCTCACGTCTCCGCCGACCGTGTCCCGCGCTCACCTAATTAGCACCGTTAGTAACGCTGCCGTGCGCTTACGTGTGTAACGTCTTTAAATTTACTGTTCTCGCTCTTTTTTTTAAGTTTTTTTTTGTGTTATTGTTTTATTTCATCAAAATGACTCAACGGAAACCCTACCGCGGTGGAGAAGGTGTCATTATTTTAAAGGTCCTAACCTTTTTTCGAGAAGAAAAAACAAAAAGTTTCGCCTATAATTCCATTACAACGTGCGTTACGTCGCGCTAGTGAAGCCACAGGGGTGAGTATTCGAAACCTACGACACATAGAGAATGAAGCCAAGAAACTTAGGAGTACTACACCTACATCAGGCACATCGGTTGATACACAAGAATTGAAACTTAGAACGCATAAGAAAAAGAAGCCAAGTGAAAAGAAGCTAGACATTGACGATTTACCATTTGTGCTATTAGAAATATTGTGGAGTTTCCATAGCGTAAAAAAAAGAAATACCAACTCGTAGAAAAATATTAGCAGTTCCGAAAATCGAATTGAACTTTTCCGGTCAAAAACTATATTCGTAATTCGTAACTATAAGGAAATAAATTAGCTACAAAAATTTTATTATATAAACGCACATCTTCGTTCAATTTTGGAGTATTGCAGCCCGGTTTGGTCACCACACTACGAAGTGTATGTTAATCGTATTGAAAGTGTGCAGAAAAGATTTTTATGGCATGTCTCATTTCTATCTAGTCTAGCTAAGCAGTTGCCTTCGTACGTCGATAGACTTTCAAAATTCAAAATGAACAGGCTGCAACGACATTGACGATTTACCATTTGTGCTATTAGAAATATTGTGGAGTTTCTATAGCGTAAAAAAAAGAAATACCAACTCGTAGAAAAATATTAGCAGTTCCGAAAATCGAATTGAACTTTTCCGGTCAAAAACTATATTCGTAATTCGTAACTATAAGGAAATAAATTAGCTACAAAAAATTTTATTATATAAACGCACATCTTCGTTCAATTTTGGAGTATTGCAGCCCGGTTTGGTCACCACACTACGAAGTGTATGTTAATCGTATTGAAAGTGTGCAGAAAAGATTTTTATGGCATGTCTCATTTCTATCTAGTCTAGCTAAGCAGTTGCCTTCGTACGTCGATAGACTTTCAAAATTCAAAATGAACAGGCTGCAACGACATTGACGATTTACCATTTGTGCTATTAGAAATATTGTGGAGTTTCTATAGCGTAAAAAAAGAAATACCAACTCGTAGAAAAATATTAGCAGTTGCGAAAACCGAATTGAACTTTTCCGGTCAAACAATATATTCGTAATTCGTAACTGTAAGGAACTAAAATTAGCTACAAAAATTTTATTATATAAACGCATATCTTCGTTCAATTTTGGAGTATTGCAGCCCGATTTGGTCACCACACTACGAAGTATATGTTAATCGAGTTGAACGTGTGCAGAAAAGATTTTTATGGCATGTCTCATTTCAATCCAGTCTAGCTAAGCAGTTCCTTCGTACGTCGATAGACTTTCAAAATTCAAAATGAAAAGCTTAAAAAATAGAAGGCTTATATTAGATCATTTGTTTTTGTATTAAATAGTTAGAGGTGGTCTGGATTGCCCTGGACTGCTGGAACAGGTTCGGCTTAATACACCCTATAAAATCCCAGAAAAAGGAAAATACACCATTTTCTACCAAGGAATCCAATCTCGGCCATCACGCAATTATGAACAGGCTGCAAAGACAATACAATGAGCTCCAGAAAAAAAACGTACATAGACATTTTTTCAAATAGCCTCCCAAATTCAAAAAGATAATTTTAGGTACTTACACCTAGAAGTATCTTTGAGTACGGAATTATTTTGGATAAGTTTAAATATTTTTCTTATATGTCATCACTTTTTAAATAAGCATTCAGCTATTTTATTTATTTTATTTTCTTACTATATACTTATATTATAATACATAATAATAAATCTATGTCATAAGTCAAATGTTTCTTATTAATTACACTTAACTTATAATAAATATTTTGAATTTGAATTTGTCTACCATACTATAATGCACGCAGATTTAGTTGGCCGCGCCTTAGATATGTGAGCGGTAGGACGGAGAGGCGGGGGGTGCTTACTCATTTTCAGTGCTCATTACTCAGTACGGCGCCGTACTTCGCGACGGCAACACGCGTTGAAAGTTCCGGCTAGTTTAGACAAAACGCACATGAGATTGCAATAGCAAGATGAGTCCGCCGATGAAAAGACAATCTAAGGAAATAATATTTAAAGAGCATACGTTTCTTAAAAAAACGGAAATCCGATGTCAATAGTTTAGAATATAAAACTGATGCGAATATACATAAATTAGTAGCAGAAGCCACAGGGATATCAGAACGAAGTGTAAGGAGAGTGATTGTTGAAAATAAAACTTCCTTGCAAAATACAGGGGAAACAAAATTTAGTTCTCCGCAGAGACCAAAAGAAATAAAAAAAGAAAATAAAAGTTGATGATTTTGATTTAGGAGTGATAAGAAGAAAAAGAAATCAGTTTTATACGGTAGAGAAAAAAATTCCAAGTCTACGAAAACTAAATGCTGTGTTTAAAAAAAGGATAATATTTTAGATTGCGAATTAACTTTTTTTAGAGAACTTTTGCACAAACTGGTGTATTCTTTTAAAAAATGTAAATCGAAGAGATCCCTTTTAATAAAGAGACCAAACATAGTTGAATGGCGAGTGAAACATTTGAGTGCCATAAGAAAATTCAGAAAAGAAAAACGAAATATATTCTTTTTGGACGAAACTTACGTTAAACAGTCACAATGACCAAAAATGTTGGCAATCTTCGTCGGAGCCTGGAATATATCTGGATACAGCTATAGGCAAAGGAAAGCGTTTAATAATAGTTCGCGCTGCTAGCCGGAACGGATAAGTTGACGATTTCAGATTCAATAACGGGGGATTATCATGTAGACATGAACTCTACAAATTTAAATTAATTTTCGACCAACAGGGTTGGTCGAAAATTAATACTTAAACTTCCACCTTACTAAGTCATAGTTAAGGATAATGCTGCCTATCATTGTGTGCAAGTTGAGAAGAAACCGACTATGTCCAGTTTTAAAATTAATATGCACTACTGGTTGCAAAATCATAATGTGCCATTTTCTCCGAAGCCGAACTCTTCAGGTTGATAAATACGCCCTAATCAGAAAAAATATACACTGTTGATGAACTTCTGAAAGCTGTAAGTCATACTGTTCTAAGACTACCTCAATGTTATCCAGACCTCAACTTGTTGAGCTTGTGTGGGCAAATATTAAAAATTGCCTGGCCTGCTACTTTGGACAAGAAAATTACAATACTAACAAGGTTATTTTCCGAATTCTCTGCCGAACAATGGCAAAAATGCGATGACCACGTACAAAAAGCGAACAAGAATACTGGAATCATGATATGAGATTTGATACCATGATGAACGAAATCATTACAAACTTACAAGATGATTCTGAATCAAGTTCAGAGAGTTCAGAATCAAGTGGTTCAGAGGATATGTCGGAATAATTTCATATATTTAATTTGCTTTTGGTTTATTTTATTACAATATAATTAGATTGGTACAATATAAACTTTTAAAAGGTTTAATTGTTTTGTATTTATTCTTTTCAATAATTGAACAATTACTGTTCACGATATCTCGAGATTGGTCATCACCGTCTAATCACATGTGCGTTGCGAGCAGTAGGCAACCCGCCCCGTCACCCCTGTCGCCACCTAAGTAAGTTTTAATAAGTTGTATATTACGTAATAATATATTAAATTAGCACAAATAATATACAAAATAAATGACAAATTTTAAAAATTGTACTCGATATAACCTTTACCTTTGTACGAAAATTTTGTGCGATATTTTTAGTCTTTTATGCAGATGACATATTTTATGTAATTTCTCTACTCGCTTTCGTTTATGATTCGGTTTCGAAATTTTAATTTTAATTTGATAATTTCTTTGTTTGATGTATATATAATTTTTTAAAGGTTGTACTGTTCTTGTTTATTAAAAGAAGTGCAAAAATATTATAGAGATGTTAAGTAGGTACTTGTGGCGACTCACATTTGTTGAAATGTTAAAAATATTGTGGCTGAATGGGGCCTCACTGATAAAATAATATATGCCGTGGCTAACAACGCTGCTAATGTACAGAAGGCCATTCATAACATCGGCTGGAAGCAATTTGGATGCTATGGCCACACTTTGAATTTAATAGTTCAGGATGCCCTCATAACGGCTCAAGCAATTTTAGAAAAGGTTACAAAAATCGTTCGCCATTTTAAAAACAAGCTCCACAGCTTTGGAAAAACTTTTAAAGGCACAAACAGACGATACAACTGGTTGCATCGCGAAGTGCCTTATACAAGAAGTCTCTAAGCGTTAGAACCCAACGTTTCTTATGGTGAAACACTTCGTTGAAATGAAGCAATACACTAGATTCACACTGGCCATACTTAAAAAGATCTGCCTACACTTACAAATGATGAATGGAGTCTTTTTTCAGACTTGATAAAAATTTTACAACCACTTCATCAAGCCACTGAAACAGTCAGTGATGACAAATACATGACCGGTAGACTGGTCGTTGAAATAAAACGCTGCCTTACAGCGGCGAGTGATAAACTCATAACAAAGCCAATTTCGGAAACATCTAAAGATGTAGTCTAACCTCCAGAACAGGAATGGTGACAAGATTCGTTCTTGTGGAACGAAGTAAAACGTTCAGGACATGCATGTTCACGTAGATACAAATTATTTGTTTTTAGTGATCAGAATGACGCCAAAACACAAAAAATCATATCCAGGATATGTTAGTTGCGATGATTGCTCAAGAGAATTTACAGGAAAAACATTTATCTTCTATAGTAGTAATACAGAAAACTTTCGTGCTACCCTGCACAAATAATAGGCCAAATACACATCACACTACTTAAAAACCTACAGCCAATCCTCCATGGCGACAAATGGAGCTGTCCTCTTCAGCGGTAACGAAAATATAACCAATATTTGCGTTAATTTCCTCTAGCAAAGAAATGTGAAATGTTATAAAAAATTTCTTGCCGTGATGAAAAAATATCGCACGAGTGAGTTGTCAACTTCTTTAAATTTACCAGCATCATCATCAGGTATTTTTTATTAACTTCTATATTCTTTACTAGGTATTATTCTTTATTTTTCACTATATTTTTGATTTGATTACGTGGCACGAATTTGATCATTACTAAATATATATTAAATGAAAATTATTAAAAGTAATAAATAATATAATAGTAACTATATGAAAGTGCAAATCAAGATTTAATTAATAATTATTGATTGAAATAAAAAAATCACGTAAAAATAAAGATTATTGTTAATTATTAAATATGAATATTTCAATTTTTCTTTTGATTTATAGAAATGTCGACATTAATATTGAAACAGTGACAATCGCCCCTCCAATTGCTACTGAAGCAAGCGGAGCATCAACATCTGGTGAAGTGTCCGTTAGTAAAACTAGCGATGCAGATAAGCGATAGCGATGCTGTCGTTTGTAAGAATAAATATAAACGAGTGAGAGGGCGATATCAACCTCTTCACTCGTCACAAAGATCAAGTTTGATGCAAGTTTTGAAAGAATTCGGAGAAGATAATGAATTTTATGAAATAGTTAGCGCAGATTCAAGCTCATTGATTTTTTATCATAACATAACATAATACCGATAATACTATTACTGACACCTCCGCAGACTTTGTCTAAGCCTCTAATTCACCATCAACCAATTGTAACCACTGGTGTTCCATCTCAAATAATATTAAGGCCTTCACTGACACGATTGCAACAGTATGAGTATGCTCCACAAGACACAATATTTGATAAAAATAACCAAAATAATAATATAACTTCTAATGTTATAACAATTGAAGCCGTCGTACATGTTGAGTATACTCCGAAAGAAGATTTTTCAAATTTCTTTCAGTCTTTTAAGTAGTTGTGAATATATTAAAATAAAAACTACAATTCATTACCACTTGTATTAATAAAAATGATTATAATATTTTATTTGTTTTACTTCAAATCAAAATCAAAGTCACAAAAAAACAAAATCAAAGTCACAAAATCACAAAAAACAGTAAAATACACATACATAGTAATGGTAGTATAATTATTATCTAAGTGATTACCAAATACTATAACGTAGATGTTTAAATATAGGTAATTACTACTTACTTTTAAACAATCTTGTAAGATGTAAATTAACGTATTACAAGTGTCCAGAACAGCTCCGTTTATAGCCCTTGGGGATATTGAAGTGGAATACTTCAAGTCTTCAAAACTTCTGCCGGTCGCTAAAAAGCGTAAAGTAACTGCCAATTTCTCCTTAGACGTTAGCGATTTTCGCATGTGTGTATCTTTTTTCTTCAAGTAAGGTGAAACTAAAGATAACAGTTTTTGGAAGCTGGTATCTCTCATTCTCATGTAATTTTTAAAATCATTTTCTTCTGTAACTCGTAGTTCATTTATTAGATTAAAGTGATTTAACTCAGCTTTTTTTTCTCACCCAGTCCTTAATCCATCGTTTCTTTCTTGATTGCTTTTTTTTAGATAGTAAAATTAATGCAATACTCAATACAACGATTTTTTTCTTTCTATCCATTATGTTAACGCAACAAATGTTAACGCACATAATCTAGCTGTCGAGCGACTGAGTCAGATTGTACCATGAAAAATTGGCAATAATATTGCGTGGTGTGCGGGGACCATATATTGATGAAGATTTTTGACAATCTTGCATTGACAATATTATTTTGTGTGTGCGGCTAGCCTAAAGAGAGTAAAAAATACAAAAAAATAGAAAAGGATTAATTTTTCATATCCAAATGTTGACGATGTATGCGAAATGACGCACTTCGATGATATTATTTTAGTTTTACATCAACCAACAATTTCCCGACGAGGGCATATAATGTTTAATATTGATCTAAGTCTATATAATAGTCTATAATATATAATAAGTAAGTATATAATAGCCTCGCGAATGATCCTTGGAAGGAATTGGTGTTCTTTAGCGAGGATTTGTGGTCTATCAAATCTGATGTAGTGACGGGGGCGATCCTGTACGTGTTCACAGGCTGCAGACTTCCCACATACAATAAAAAGACGGAAATTCAACCATAATAAACACTAAAACAGTTTTTCAGTTCAATTCATAATGCCTATGTGTTCTATTAAAAACCTAAGGTTACGAATATATTAGTGTTAAAATATTAAAATCTTTATTGAAAATGTTTCAAATGAAACTTTAAAGAAACTCGACTAATACTATATAATTTATTGGAATGACGTGATCTCTTAAAGTACCTATAGTGTTCCTATTAAGATTGATATGAGATTCGCAATATTTGTCTTTTTTCTTTAAGTGGCACTCCGCTTTAGCTAGTAACAAGTCTGTAGATAACATAAGTACAACAAATAATAATAATTATTATTATAATTACAAGTTTTTTGTAAAATTATCACATTCCGATAGTAAAAACTTCTTCTATTACAGTGTTTTAATATCAAGAAGTGACAGACAGCCCCATTTCAAAGTTCGTTTTGTATGAATATCGACGCTTGAAAGGCAATATTTACCAAACGACATGTTGGACGATATTGAGTTATATACATCATTGAATTCAGCAAAAAAATCTGCGTCGATTGATCATACTCTCGTACCGCTAAGAAGAGTTTTGTTGTCGCTTGGTAACTTAAAAAAAAAAACACATTTTCACCGTTTTCGGCGACTAAGCGACAAAAATCTTACCGATTTATGAATAACTTTCACTTGGTAGGTATTCGATTTTAACTTTTTACACTTAGTAATTTTTGCCTTGACTCAAATTTATGCGTTTAAACAAATTATTTTTTCCTTACGATATCTAGGGTATGAGCATTGCTTAGGAAATTTTACCTGATTATTATTTTTATTTTTTCTTCATTTAAGACTTTCTAACACTCCTTAATTATGTACTCATTTTCATTTAGGTTTTTCTTCCTAAATGCAATGTACTTTAAAACGTTATATAGTAGTATTTTTCCTACTTAAAAAGAATAGATTTTGTCATTTGGTAATATTTTACCTGCCGTTTTTTTACTGTTTTTGTTACTTAGATAATTATTACTGATATGAAATTTGTATAAAAATGAGCTTATCCCCGTTACACCTATTTTGTTTTATCGCATAAACGCGTTGTAAAGCAGAATTTGAATGGCTGTTGGTAATAAAAATATCGATTGGTCTTAACAGATCTGTCGCGTGCTCGCGCGCACCGCACAAAGTACATCGCGTAGCTTGAGATAAGTACTCGGTAAGTGTTTTCATTATAAAGATCGTATGAGTGTTTTTGCAACTTATTTAACACGCATTTTATAAATTGCTTTTATATTTATTGTTTTAGTTACATAATGAATCGTAATAAGCGAATAGATAATATAAATAAGCAAGATATTATGTCAAACGCGGGTGTGGATAGCATGGATTTGACCTTGGTAATGTACCTGCTTAGTTAAAAAATAAATCATTATTCTCTCAATTGTAACTATTAGAAGCAACTAAATTTAATTCAATTTTTAGGGGCCAAGATATCGAGAAAATACTCGTACGTACAAAGATAAAAATCTGCAACGATTGGAACAAGTTCGCAAAAAACTTAATATTATGTTTATTGAGCCGGTATGTTTTTAATTTATATTAAATTTACTTGTGACTCGATTCGATTCGATTATTTTGACATCGCTTCGTACACATTTTTGTCTAGTATTTTATCGGATGAAGGTTGAGAAATCTTCATCTGATAATATTAATGAACGTAGTTTTACACCTATCTTTAAGACCTTTCTCAGACTTTTACTTAGTTTTGATACGTCAGACTGAAAGAATGGTAGAATTTGCAGAATTAATACTTTCTTGGGCGTTGCTTGTTACCAATTTGTATAAATTTTTCACGCTGTAGTATCACGTTACGAGCAAATCTGTAACATGTGGTGCACATGCTCTATTTTCTCTTGCTCTACACGCTTTTAAGTGTAAGTTGCTAAATTTGTACTGAACGAACTAAACACCTTTTTTTTTCAGGATGAGACACTTTCAGATAAAGGCCCTGAAATGACATCCTTTCAAAGTACTTCTGAGACTGTCACAGCTGGAAATAACATGGAGATGATTGGCCCAATAAATAACGATCAACAGCAGCAAAATTATAGTCAATCATTGTTGGATACAATTTTCAGTGGCTCGTCAGGCCCCACATTAGAATTGGTACCTGCACATCTAACTATAGAACAGAGTAGAGTCCCAGTAGATTATTTTTCAGATTATTCTGTACACTGAAAACTGAAAACCGGAATCGGACGGTGTTGGCAATGATACACTCGACGTTACAGCAATGCAAACATTTAGAAAACGTACAAATAAATTACTTACTAACTGGTCATACGTATATGCCGGTCGACAGTGTTCATGCTGTTATTGAAGCAAATCTACATAAAACAATTATTTATGCACCATCTCAATGGTATACTGTTTTCACCACAGCTAGAAATGACCCCTTCCCCTACTAGGTTAAAAAACAGACATTTGAAGATTTTTATAAGTGGGATTCTGTTGCTGAAAACTACTTCAAAGGTAACCTTACGGGAAAAATAAGTAAAATCAGAATAGCAACATTCAAAAAAAGTAATCTTTCAAATATTTCCGTCAAGTTCCATGGACAAATCTGCTAAGTCGAGCGTAGTTGAAATGCAATCTAAAACCAGGGTACCTCTTATATCGTGTTACCATTCACGTCTGCCGATAGCAAAGGCAAAATATAATGACCTTGTTAAATTTTGCAAGGACAAAGTTAATCATCATCATCATAATTACAGCCCTTCACAAGTCCACTGCTGAACAAATAGTTGATTTAAGCTATCTTTTAACTATTCAACGACAGCCCACATTCTTTAAAGATCAGCTATCCACGTTACGAGAGATTTGTCTACAATATTTGTAAAGAGGTCTCTATAGAGTGCTACCCTGCACGAAATAATAGGCCAAAAGTAGCACATAGTCGGGACTCCTTTATCAAAGGCCATTAAGGAGATCGACACATACTTAAAAGACGACCTACAGCCAATCTTCCATGGCGACAAATGGAGCTGTCACCTTTAGTGGTGGCGTGGCCACAAATTTACATATCTACATCTTGCCTTGAAATAAAAAAATCACGTAGAAATAAAGATTATTATTAATTATTAAATACGAATATTTCAATATTATTTTTGTTTTTTAGAAATGTCGTCGACATTAATATTGAAACAGTGACAATCGCCCCTCCAATTGCTACTGAAGCAAGCGTAGCATCAACATCTGGGAAGACTTTGATGTCAATTTTAGTATCCAGCGGTTTGACGCTAAATTATTTATAGATACTGGATAATTTCCTTTAGCTTAGGGGTCTAACCACTAACCATAACCAGTATTGAAATAACAGACACAAAATACACCCCGACCTTCAAAGTCTAATATAACATTATAGTTTTCAACCACAAGTGTGGCATAAAACTATTAACCCATAATTTTGTATCAAAAAAATGCTATAACCCTTATGATTAGACATATAGAGTCAAAATTTGTGTAATAAATTAAAAGAATGTATTCTTTGGATTAAACTTTGTTTATCATGTGGTCTATTGCTAGTGTTTGTGTTGTTTACTATGTACTACACAAATCACCCACTAAGAGCTTTCTCTTTTGTTTAACGCTACATGTTATAGATTTACTTTACATTTTTACTTTTTAATTTTAGACGGCGCAAACTAAAGCTAACAAAAGCAAGAAGAGTAACCACACTGCTGATAACATGCTTAGAGCAATCGAACTATATAGGCTAAGACTGAGCATCAGAAAGGCAGCTGAGGAGTGTAACGTATGCCATCCGAAACTACGTTATTTAAAAAGAAAACAGTACTACGGATTTACGAAACCAGCGACACCCAACTATGATGTCAACAAAATATTTACAGATGACCAAGAAAAAGTACTGGAAGAACATATAAGGAATTTGCATCAAAATTTTATGGATTATCCACTAAAGATGTCCACAGCCTTGCCTAATATCAAATGGCAACTATATGTAATATAAAAACTCCTGATAGTTGGGATCGTGAGAAAATGGCAGGCCTAGAATGGCTTCATCAGATCAGTTATCATTTAAAAAACTAGAAGCCAGCGGCCTTGATAGTGTCACCACTTTTAATAAAGAGTGGATGTTGGTGGAGATGGAGTAACGACCTGGTAAGCCACATGAAGTCGATGGATGCAGGTGCCACAGGACTGTGCTTTGTGGCATTCAATGGGGAAAGCCTATGTTATATACAATATACGATAATGATTACAATACTTATTATTATTAATAAAGTTACTGATAATAAAATATGTCGACTAAGCTGGTTTTATAGTGCTTTTTCATGATAATTTTGTTGATTTTATAACTATTAAAATTTTAATTTTTGTTCAAGTTTCTTTAACTTTAATTAAACTTAACCGAAATAAAATAGTCTGTATTGTTTGATTATGATTAAAATAAACTATTAAAACGAAGTTTATAAACAAGAAGCACTGTTTTATTAATGTACTATTGCGCACCTAAGTTGACGTCTGGCACTAGCGCCATCTAGTGTCGGGTAACAGAGCGAGAAGAGCATTCCAGAAAATGACATGACTAATCTTTCAACCAACAGCGCCATCTAGTATCGAATTGAAGAACTAAGCTTTCTAGAAGCCCCACACTCGAAGTGTCTGAGCCTGGTCGGTCAGCGCCCGTATTTACTAGAATATTCTGGATGTTTCGGTGGAAAATGTGTATTTAAAGCCGCTGCAACCCGCTATCGGGGCAGTATTGAATTTGGCGAGACAAGCGAAGCTTCGGAGCGAAATAAAGTGAATCAGTGTGATTAATTATTAGTGTTTTAAGTTTTAATTGGTGTTCGGTAATAAAAGTGTAAAGTTCAATCGGCAGTTTTTATTGTCACGAACAGTACTTACCTTATTAATTGTAAGACGTACAAAATAGTAAGTACATCGTATCCTAGTTCATTGTTAAATATAGCAAGGCTCATTGGAATCATCTGTATCTTAATCCCTATAAGTAAAAAATCGCTAGTTAGCGGATTGAAATGAAAATACACTAAGCTCGACGGTGTACGGGTAAACAAAATAATAAAATACCAAAAACACAAGAGTCTAGTTAGCAATTTAATGATTTGGTAAGAGAGGTTTTTTAGTTAAAAATCTATATAAATTTTTTCAAAATTGGGTTTTTTCAAATTTGAATGTCTTTTTTTCCAGAAATCAGACGTCACCTTTTAAAATTACGTGGCCGGGAAAAATTAGGAACCGGAGGAAAAAAATTACGTCTGGTTGGAATTGAAAGCTGATATTCATTTTAAATATGGCAGAACATCGTGGAGGAGTATTTTAAAGACTATCGGCTGCAATTACAAAAAGTGCCAGTCTAAACGAAAAGTATTGATAGAACGCCGTGATATTGCAGCTTGGGGGCCAAATATATTCTGAGGCTGCGCATGAATCCTCAGGAAGACCCGACTTAATTCAAGAAAAAACAAAAACAAAAAATCGACCTGGTGACAGACCAGACTTCAAGACCAAAACCCCAGTATAGACCCACCCCCCCACAAAAAAAAAGCGGGCCCCAAATCATTTATCTTACGAAACGTATATACAAGCTTCACACCACCTTCAAAAACGTTGGCTAGCGGAGGAACAGCCAGCTATTCTTGCCTCTGATATCGGTGGTTGAAATCGGAATGCTACTGTTCACGTCTAAATCCAAATCGAGTGACTATCAAGACGATATAAAGTCCGCTTACGTCGTGCGATAGATGAAAGAAAAATATGTGCCAAATTTACGAACTAACTTCATTGTAATGCTAATGCGCTATACTACTGGACACGGACAAACAAGGCGCCTACAATTGGCAATACAAAACAGAGCTTCAAGAGTGCCTTACGAGAAATGGTCGATATTGAATTTGACTACTTTTGGACAAAAGCACAATTTTTCGAATGAATCAAAAGACACAAAGACCACACAGTATGAAATAAAACAAATGTCAAATCAACATGGACACGAGGCTCTCCGTTGTCCACCTTACACTCTTTGTGTTTTTCTCGTTTTTAATTGTTTTTGTTATTTCTTGTTGTTAATTATTTTTGTTGTTATAATTTGAGTGTTCATATTTTGGTCTATATATGTAGAGAAGAAAGAATTCGGTGTTAAATAGACAATCTCGACAAATGGTCTATTCAGTGTTTTGTTACATGAAAAAAATTAGGTATTGAGAAAAACATGATAGACGTTTATAAACAGACTACGTACGGCGTATAGTTAAAGGAGTTAAAGACTCTTTATTTTTAGTCGTATTTAGAACGCCAGCCAAAAAAGACCACGAAAGCAATCTGTCACTGAATTAGATAACTTTGACCAGGGGGGTTGTTAGAAGATGTGTTCATATCTACCATCTTACCAATAAAGAAATGCCTACTATTGGAAAACAACGAAAAAAGTTACGGGAAGATATAAACTTTCAAGGGTCAGAGCACAGTCTTTGCCATATAATTATAATGTTTGGGAAGTACGCATGAATTTTAGCATGACACTGGGAAATTAACAACACGTAGCCATTCCACACAAGCGCGTACTGTTAGCTAGTAATAAGAATTAATGAGGGAGAAAATATTAATTCAGCTGGCAACATTAGGTATAATTGCCGACACGAGTCGTGAGCACTTTTTATTGGTGGATATGACGTTGACTATACTGACGCACTCGTACACTTGAGAGAAATTTAGTGACAACTTTTTAACTAATATATTTTTGTTAACTGTTTTTTTTTTACTTCGTTAATTGTTGTTTGTGTATTTCATATTTTTAATTATTTTTGTTATTTCTTGTTGTTAATTATTTTTGTTGTTATAATTTGAGTGTTCAGATTTTGGTTGAAATGTGCAGAGAAGAAAGAATCCGGTGTTAAATAAACAATCCCGACAAATTTAAAAACAAGATAGATGTTCATAAACAGACTGCTGAGGCGACGAATATCTCAGTAGCTGTACGGCGTATAGTTAAAGGAGTTAACGACTCCGAATTTCTAGTCGTATTTAGAACGTCAGTCAAAAAAGACCACGAAAGCATTCTGTTACAGAATTAGATAACTTTGACCAGGGGGTTGTTAAAAGATGCCTTCATAACTACCCATCTTACCAATAAAGAAATGCTTACCATTGCAAAACTACGACAAAAGTTACGGGAAGATATAAACTTTCAAGGGTCAAACTTTCAAAATCCGAGAAGAAGGAAGGCAATTTTTTGTACGGACGAGTTATATATAGATTCGTCCCATTCGACGTCCCAGGCATGGTCAGACGGGTCAACCAAAGGCCTAAAGAAACCCTATATAACCTATCTGAAGAGGCCCAAGAAAGTAAGAACTAAGATATTAACAAATATCGTGAAGGTTTTACTAGAAAATTCTCCAGAAAACTACGGAAAATTTATTTTATGACCTTTTAATATATTCAGACCCACACATCACAGGTTTCAGAAAACTACCACAAAGAAAATTAAAGTCCCACACCCACGATGTTATAATACTCTTAAAAGAACCTCAAAAGTTATGATTTAAATGTGTATTTTCTTTTTTGTTTTCTGACAAATATGATATCAATAAAGCTTCTATTTTCATAATACACATTTAAACTATTATTTTAGACTAACTACAGGCGTTAACATACTTAATCTCTAGTGGACGGCTAGGTCGCCGGCGAACCACGGCGTTGTCTACGTCAAGGTCGGCTGGCCAATTCCATACCGGCCTGTTTAAAACCTTATAAGTTTTAAACTAAGATATATTATCACATGTGCTATATATTAAATGATAGATAAAGAAACTAACTATTCACTCATGCCACAATAACATAACTAAAACTAGTCATTCAAATCAGATTTCATTCTAAGCCATTCGATGCCCTTGCGTCCTCGACTGCGCTTTAGTGCGAAGGTTACTATAAAAAATATTGTTTTGTTTGTGATGTATTGTTTTTTTGCATTTTTTCTCTGAAAATAAGTGTGAGTACTATAAATATTCTCTATATGTATAAAAAAACTAAATATTTACCATTCCAAAAATATTTAAAAAATTCAAACTAAATGTTTGCGTAAGCTTAGGTAGTTTACAATTTGCATAAAAAAACAATTTGCAAGTGCTCTTATTTATTTATAAATAAGTGTTTTGCGTCGTTGCTCATGGGGGATATTTATATATTTTATTTAATTATATTGATATTTATTTTTATTTTATTTATTTATTTAAGTGTTTTGCACATTTTTACATGAAAATATTACAAATTTATTACAAAATTACATTTACACATAAAATCAACTCTATTACTTACACATACATCGTCTCTCATTTATTGTACGTGAATTGCTCTGGCTAGAACAAAGGGTCTTTTTGTATATTTCTAAGCCTACTCTATATTGTGTTTAATATCATTAGAAAGCCTATTTATAATTCTTTCTATGTGTATACTTCATTTCGTTACTTGTGTCGGTCATTGTAATAGTGGTGTAACTCCATAATATTAAAAAAAAATTATTTTCCCATAGTGGGCTCACAATGTATCATATCTTTCAATATAAAAATGAAGCAACTCCACTGATACCACTAAAGTGACGTAGATGTCGCTATTTTGTTTAGTCTAGGAACAGATTTGTACTGTTATTCACTATAAAAGTGAAGTATGTCCCAAGTCACTTTTTGCGCCCTCCTTTCTGCCAAGGAGGGTCGCGTTCGTATACGGCTTAGAGATCTCTAGTCAGATCGTTAAGCTATTTCCTAAAAGGCGGTGTTTAGTGGGTAAAAGTCTCCACATAACCACGCAGCCGGCTGCGTGGTATGCTATGAGCATTCACCGCCTCCCTCCCCCGCTTTCCGGAGGGTTGCCCATATTTGCTTCGGGCGCAAAAAAAAAAAAGTCACTTTTATAATGAAGTAAGTCCGGAGTTGATTCACTTCCGATTGTTGTCATCCGTTGTACGTGTTGTGATAATTATTAAAAAAGGATTTTCAAAGTCGGTGTTTTTGTGGGGTTTTAATACAATATGTCTAATACAGAAGATTTTAGTGATTCTGGTTCCGAATATCAGCCTATTCCTGGAGAAATTCATACAGAATCTGGTAAGTTATATTTTTATTAGTTGTTTTTCTAACCTAAAAATATTGTGATAACTTTCAAGTTTATAGACAAGAAAATACGATATCTAAGAATATATTTTCTATTTAGTTATGTCCTAGAAATCACTATTATTTTATTGGATTCGTTTTTATACTTGTTTCAGAAACAGATACAAGTTGTGACGAAAATATTATGATGCCGTCTAGTCTATCAGAACCTGGAACATCTAAATCTAGAAAAAGATCAATCAACAAGGAAAATTGGACAGTTAATAAAAGAAAGTTATTGCGTAATAGTGGAAAAGGTTATGTAACTAAAATGGGAGTGGAGAAAAATACCGAAATCTTCGAAAATATTGACGAAATATTGACTGTGGATGTCCTAAAAAGTGTTATACGCTTTTTACAGAAAATGAAAGGCAAGAAATGTTCGAATCATTTTGGAATTTAAAGGACTTTAATCAGCAAAATGTCTTTCTATATGCATTAGTGCAAAAAGCATCTGTTAATAGAAAACGACCTAAAGATCTGTCACGAGCAGGAAAAAACGTTTCGTTTAAGTATTTTCTCAAATCTCATATTATGACACAACTGGTATATAAAAAATATTTTTTGAAAACATTCCAAATCAGTGATGGAAGATTATATCGCTGTCTATCAAAAGGCGATGTCTCGCAATGTAAAGATAAACGAGGCACGACTAGTACTCGAAAATTAGATGATTCTGACATTATTGTTCATATACAAAGCTTTCCCGCGTACCAAAGCCATTACACAAGAAATGTAATCCTAACCGGATGTTTTTAAATGCTGGGCTAACTATTCGAAAGATGTACGATCTATATAAAGAAAAATGTTTGACTGAAATGACAGAACCTAAAAAATTAAAATATTATAATAAAGTTTTTAACACCAAGTTTAATCTACATTTCAAGGCACCGCACCAGGATACATGTAAGACTTGCGATAGCTTGAATTTTAAAATTAGAGGCACCGATGACGAGAACGTGAAGAAAGAGTTTGAAGTTCAAAAGGAACTTCATCAAAGAAAGGCAGATTCGGCAAGAGAAAATCTACAAATTGATGCTAAAAAGATTAATGACGCATATGTACTAACCTTTGATTTGCAGAAAGCTTTAGCTTTCCCAAAATTAACTACTTCGGTAGCATACTATAAAAGGAATCTGTATTTATATAATTTGGGAATACATTGTTTTAATAACAACACAGGGTACATGAACGTCTGGAATGAGATAGAAGGAGGGCGAGGGTCTCAAGACATTGCAGTCTGTCTCGTGAAACATTTAAAAACTCACGCGGTAACACAAAATCACGTCATCATGTATTCCGATTCTTGCACTGGACAAAATCGAAACATTAAGACTACCCTTTCCCTTTTAAAGCTCGTACAAGACCCGGATACTAGTATAACCACCATAGACCACAAGTTTTTAGTGTCCGGGCATTCTTATTTGCCTAATGATGGGGAATTTGGGATAATTGAGAGCGCAAGTCGCCATCATGGACAAATTTATAGCCCGGATCAATGGATTGAGATCATAAAAACAGCCAAATGCAAAGACCCACATTTTATTGTAACCGAAATAAAAAATTCCGAATTTATAAGCACTGCGGCATTAGAAAAATCTATTACCAACAGAAAAAAACAACCTGTGGTTACGACTTCAACTGGCTGAATATTAGATGGCTGAGGTTTGAGAGGAATCATCCTTTACAATTTCAATTTAAAGAAACGCTCAACGCTGACATGCCCTTCTACAAAGTAGATCTATCAAAAAAGCAACAAGGACGACCAGCTTACTTGTACAATATTCAACAAGGCCCACTCTATCCTTCAAGAAGACCAGTCACTATTGCTAAGAAGAAGGATATGCTTGAATCTTCTCCCATACATTCCACCAATTTACCATCAATTTTACAAAAACCTGTAGACATTCCAACACGGTCAAGCACACGTAATGCTGATGAACGTTCGTCTGATGACGAAATAACCTACGATTAACCACTTAACGAAATCACAATAAGTATAACTCGTCACTTTAACAGTGAAGTAAGTCCACAAAAAAAAATTATAATTCGTTTCATTAAAATAACTTCGTCTTATTTTTAAGTAACTATATACTATTATAATATTTCATTTGTTAAATACAATAAAAAATATAAAGCATTGAATAAAAATTTGTGTTTTTTTTTCTACGCGTTAATTAACAAAACTCTTAATTTCTCAAAACTTCATTGCATGGAGATAATTCACTATTACAATGAACGACACATTTATAGATAAAACACAACACAACTAAAAAAACACATCACAATATTTTTATTATTTTATTATGAAGGGTAACATTGTGATTAAGACGATTTTGATATATTGGTTATAAGGCATTTAATTTAATCTTTTTACGTCGTGAAGAAAGAGATTTTGCCATAAATTAATTTTGGTTGGTATTTAATATTTTTTTTTGGTTTATAATTTAATTTTGGTTGGTACTTGAAAAAAAAAACGAAAAAAATAAGTCGGACCGAAGACAGGACGTGAACCAAGGCATTACGATTTCGCGACCGCTCGATATACACTTGAGCTGTTACGATCATTAACACAGTGTCAAAATTTACCTTCTTATATTGTAGCAGTTTTTCATTGTCTGAAAACACGGACAAAAGGACATTTTCTAAAAATAAATCCTAGCTAGATCGATTTATTGCCTCCGAAACTCCCTGGACACCATCCAATCCTTTATTTAAATCCAGTGATTTTAGTAGCTTCTTTAATTCACAAAAAATAATTTCAATTGAATAGATATCATTAACAGTTATAGAAGCTATATTATTTAGGTTTACTGTTGAGTTACTAGATTGAATGAAGTCAGAATTAAAATATTGAGCAAAGAGATTACAAATATCTTCTCCTGAATTAGCAGATATACCGGAGTGTGTCATACAAAAAGGATATGAAGTATTACTCTGTTTATTTCTGATATAGGCCAAAAACATTTTAGAATGGCTTAAGCTATCTTTAACATTACTAATATACTTGCCATACAGATCCTTATCAATTCTCTTTGCTCTTTCTCTTAATATGATAAATGTATTTTTATCACTTAAATTACCATGAACTTTTAACTTCTTATGATACTTACTTTTTTCATTAATTAATTTCATAAGTGCACGGTTAAACCATGGTTGATATTTTATTTTGTGTTTAAATGATGGGGAACATATTTATCATGAATATTATATATTATGTTGACCGCATCATCAATATTACCACTACTAAGAATTTCGTCCCAATGAGTCGAACCTATATCTAACCTAACCATAATTGACTTTGTTGTAAGAGAATGAGACATGTTTAGAGTATGGAAGGGGTTGAAGCTCGACAAAATTAATACAAATTGATAAAACTTTGTGACGCTGGTCTTCCGGCACCAAGGGATCTTGGCAGTATTCGACTTTTACATAGTCATTGGATAAAAAGAGATCAAGTAAATGGTTATAAGTATTATACGTGGTAGAGCCATGCTGTAGTTATATCAGTATAGTTGTAGCACGAATGGGTCAGCTCGACCGGGGAAGGACCACGCTCTTACAGAATACCAGCGTAAAATAGAAGCTTAATGCTGCTGTGTTTCGTATGGTGAGTGTAGAGAACCGGAGACCATTTTTACTGGAAAAGAGGCATTCCATCTTAGTCCTCACGGGTGACAACGCATCTGCATTTTGATTCATAATCGAGGATAGATGTAGATGTCTATGGGCCGCAGCGACCACTCACCATCAGGTGGACTGTGTGCTCGTTTGTCACCCTATCCTATAAAAAATACACTTGATTAAATTGTTGTAAGTTACAGAAGAGTTTCAATAAAATATCGCACATGTTCACCTTTAGCACCGCAAGCTTCGAGACCTGTTTGAGTATTGTTGTAAGGATCACATAATATTATGGTCTCCATAAGGTCTGTGAGAGAGAGCTCCGATAATAATGATTTATGACTCAGTTCACAAGTTTGTAATGGCCCAAATAAAATATAATTATTTGTATTAATACATATTTGCTTATCTTAACTACGACTTATTTAATTTAAGGAATAGAATTGTTTTATTTAAAATGTTAACCTTTCGTTTTCAGGATACGACAATATCTAATCTGCCAGATCAAACTGCCATATTTGAACCTATTGCCGGTCCATCCAGAGTTTATCCTTTAAGAGAACATAATCCAAACATTATTGCTCCAACCAATTATTCAGAAATGTTTGTGTATGAGTCTTCAAAACAAGAAGGTGATCAGAAAAACAAAATGTTAATAAGGAAACTGAAAAATAACATGAACAAAGTATATAGGTTACAAAAAACTATAAAACATTTAAAAAATGAAGCATTTTTAAATGAAATTTGTAACAGTCAAACAGTAAAAGAAATCCTCAATAAAAAAATGAGTTCATCATTTGCACTGTTACTGCAAGGAGAACTGCAGAATTATAACAGGAAGAAACCTGGGCGCAGGTGGAACATGGAAGCTAAAATAATAGCATTGAGGCTCTACAAAAGGTCACCAACATGCTACAAGTTATCAAGCAGAATGATTTGTTTACCAGCACCAGCACATTAAAATCCCGCTTAAGTAGATTTCAGATGAATGTGGGGACACACAAAGCAACACTTACCATGTGGAAAAACATAACAAAATACTTTAGACCATCCGAACGAGAGTACATATTGTTGTGGGATGAAATGTCCTTAAGAAAAAATTTATGGTACAACTCGAAGGCGGATTATATTGAGGGTTTCCAAGACTATGGTACACAAAGTAGATCTCCACAGGCAGCTTCATATGCCCTTGTGTTTATGGTAGTTGGAGTCAGGAAGCAAATTAAGCAGCCTATGGCTTATTATTTATCAAGTGGGTTTGTCACAGCTGACTTCTCTGCTCTCTCTGCTTTGATTAAAGAGGTATGCGTTTTTTCTTCATTTTGAATGATGATCAAGTTTATTTAACTCTGCTAAACTATGTCAATAATCTGCATTAAAATACTTTCAGGTATTAAGTTCTTGCTTTGATGCTGGACTTAATATATGCGCTTCAGTTTGCAACTTGGATGGTGTCAACAAGAAAGCTCTAGGTCTGTTAGGAGCTTCTGTAGAGAATCCCTGCATAGAAGTGAGCAATCACAAAGTTGTCACTCTATTTGACACACCACACTTGCTGAAGTGTTTCAGAAATCTTTTTATGAAATATGATGTAAAGTTTAGGACCAATATAACATCAGACAACAAACAAGGAATAGGTAAGTCATTATTAATTCGTTAAACAAATTGTTTATTAATAAATATGTACATTAGTTTATAATTATTATTTATAATACTTTTAATAATTACAGGAATCGCTAAATGGAGCCACATCAGGCAATTCTATGAATTGGACAATGATAATCCCAACTTTGTATATGCACCTGCTTGACTAAAAGAGCACCTTGACCCCAATACCAAGCAAAAAATGAGGGTAAAACTGCAGCACAAGTTTTAAGCCACTCAGTTGCAGCAGGAATATATTCCAAAATAACTAAAGGTAAGACATCTTTAATAGTCAAAGTCAAACTCATTTATAATTACGCATGATACTTATGAACATTTAACAACAAGCTAACAACACCCTTTCTTACAAATTTGTTTCAACAGGATGTTAATGTGGGGTTGTCTCTATTATAAAGGGTGAAGCCGTCTAGTAATTATATTGGCCTTTTTTATTAACTAATCCTGGTTTCAGCAAGGATAAAAAATGGTTTAAAAAAAAACTAGCCAGAAAATATGCTTACTTATATTGATTTTATTTGTTTATTGTGAATTTTCAAGAGTTATGCCGACTGAATCAGTGGCAACAACCAATTTAATTACAAATATGGATGAACTGTTTGATGGTGTAAACCATTGACACCAGACCTAAGGAGGAAAAAATTTTTCGACAAACATAAAAAACTCTACAGAACATCTGCAAATGTTCAATAGAATAAAAATTTTGAATTTTTAGGTTGCAGGGGTAATCCTCCATCAAAAGATGGATGGGTTTGGACCCTCAATGGCATCGAAATGATTTGGAGAATCCTTAGTGAAAAATATAAGTCAATTAAAAGTCTGTCGATGAGAAGACTCCAGCAAGACCCACTGGAAATTTTATTTAGTTGCATAAACTACAACTGTGGATCTAATAGTAATCCAACAGTTGGACAGTTTGTTGCTGGGTTAAAAACTGCTGTGATAAGTAACATGGCACACACCTAGCTCAGGCAATTGTGAGCTGGATGGCAACAGTGTCATTATAAAAAAAATTTAAAACATTGCTCACACCAGCCACAGACATATGCACTGATACAGAGCCATCGGAACATGCATACCAAATAGAAAAATAAATTGAAGAAAGTATTTCTTCCTCTCTGGAAGAAAACTTGGAGGAAGGAAGTAGCGAACTACAGGGTGGGCCATGAATTAGTTAACATTTGAAAAAATCGTATAAAAAAAACCATTTACAATATTTTAGAAATCGTTTATTTACGAGAAAGCTAATTAGTTGTAATTTATTTTTTAAAAATTATTTCGCCTAAATGACCACCGTTTCGGTTTTTGCACTCATCTAAGCGAGTCCTGAAGTTTTCGAATACTCTTCTGCAAAGAGACCGCGAGATCGCCGACATCTCTTCGATGATTTTTTCTTTAAGTTGACGCAGTGTATTCGGTTTATCAATGTAGACACGACTCTTTAAATAACCCCATAAAAAGAAGTCTGCTGGGGATAGATCTGGACTTCTGGGTGGCCATGGGATGTCACCCCGTCTGGATATCAGCTTTTCCGGAAACATGTCTTTGACCACCGGCAAGGACTCGTTCGATGTGTGACACGTGGCTCCATCTTGTTGAAACCACGTGTTACGATTATAGCCAGCAAATTCCATTAGCATCGGTGCTAAGAACTCCCGTAACATTTTCACATACTCGGCAGAATTAACAGTAACTGAACGGCCTCGAGAATCTTCAAAAAAGTAAGGTCCGATGATTCCTTTTGCTTAAATTGCAGCCCATACAGTTACCTCAGGAGAGTGAAGTGGCCTCTCATGTTTAGCTTTAGGATTTTCGCTGCTCCAATACCTGCAATTCCCATTTAGGTGGAAATGGGCTTCGTCAGAAAATAAGATGTTGTGAAAATTACTGAAACGAGTTAACATTGTTTCGGCATATGACTTACGCAAATTTAAATCATTAGGGTTTAGTTCTTGCACTAGCTGGATCTTATATGGATGTAATTTCAAATCTAATTTCAAAATACGGCGTAATGATGTGCGGGATAATCCTAATTCAGCCGAACGTTTGCGTGTCGATAAATCTGGATCACGTCGAACAGAAGCGGAAACTTGCTGCACGTTCTCTTCGCTCCGAGAAGTCCGTGGGCCGCCGGTTTGTTTCACATTTAGTGTAGGTCCCGTCTCTTCGAACTTCTTCACCCATTTCTTTATTAAAGGAGCACTTGGACACTGACTTAAGTCGTGTAAACCATATTCAACGCGAAATAAGCGTCTCACAGTAATGAGCGAAAAGTCGTTTAAATAAAACTGTTTCACGCAGTAAGCGCGTTGCGGCCCCGTGAAGCGATCCATTGCGACTAAATTTCCAAGAAGCGAGCTAGTGCTCCCGCCCGCGCCCGCGGCCCGCGCGGCAATAGTTTGCGCGGTAAGTTACATTTAAATGTTAACGAATTCTTGGCCCACCCTGTACAAGCATGTGCTTATGTCTGTGGCTTCATTATTAAAAAAAAATAAAAACAGTTGTAATAATTGTAAAAAAAATCTAGTCTCCGAAACGCCAGAGGGAGTGCATAATTTTATAGAGTTCAAAAATTATGAAAACGTAAAAAAATCTCTTATATACGCCTCAATGAATTTAATAGCTTGTGTAGAGAAAAGTGCATGCTTTATAAATATATTTTTAGAAAAAGAGGCGTATAAAGAAAACATTAAAATGAGAATAACGCATTCTTAAAGGACTCTATAAATTATGACTTCCTCGAAGATTGCATGGAACACAAACAATTAAATATTACATTCATACTTAATAGTGTCTTCCATATTTCAATTAAAAGATACTGTATTTTAAAAAACAGAATGTTTTCTGAGGAGGCGAGTAAATAATAACATACATAAATAAATGTAAAACTAGCACCTTTGCACCCAAATTCATCCGCCTGAATTTTAGAATTTTTAACCCAAGATGATACAACACATATTTATTTATTTTTGTATTAAATACTCTAACTATTCATGTTCAATACTACAAAATTTCAATCCTCACGCTTTAGGGTTTAAGTTTTTTTTTTTTTATTGGATAGGGTGACAAACGAGCACACAGTCCACCTGATGGTAAGTGGTTGCTGCGGCCCATAGACATCTACATGTATTCTCGATTGATTACAAATCAAAATGAAGAAGCGTTGTCACCCGTGAGGTCTAAGATGGAATGCCTCGTTTCCAGTAAAAAGGGTATCCGGTTCTCTACACTTACCACACGAAACACAGCAGCATTAAGCTGCTATTTTACGCTGGTATTCTGTGTGAGCGTGGTTCTTCCCCGGTCGAGCCGACCCGTTCGTGCTACAACTATAGTACTAATATAACTGCTGCATGGCTGTACCACGTACGAGTTTCCGAAGTCGCTCAAAAACGCATTTTATTTGTCGTCCAAATACCGGTTCACATTGATTTTACTTAATAAGTGAAGGACTTTTATGTAAACTTCTGTTCTATCCCCTATATGAATAGAATTTCCAAAAATTTTTTATAGTGGATGTCTATTTCACAAAAGGAACTTGTTCTGTGTTGATGTGCAGTCAGTTAGGATAAGTAATTATACATGAATAGATTACGTTCATTTTTCTTTTAGTGCAGATTTACCTGCAATGAGCCAGCATGGTAGTTTACAGCCCACTGCATCTCACAGAGAGGAGGCGTGCGTTCCAGCTGTGGGAACATTATAGGTTGATTATGCTTTATTATATTATATAAAGTTCGTCCGCTTCTGGAGCTGCTCAACACGGCCTGCCAACGTTCTGCAAAAACTACAACATCTCAATCAATAGATGAGTCGATGATTCAGTTCAAAGGTATCTCATCACTCAAACAATATATGCCACTAAAACCGGTGAAAAGAGGCTACAAAGTGTGGATTAGAGCTGACAGCGAGACAGGCTATGTTTTCAAATTCCAAATTTATACAGGGAAACGGGACGATCAGTCTACAGAATTCGGGTTAGGAGCTAACGTTGTAAAATCCCTTACACAGAAGCTGGTAGATGAAGGATACCGTGGACACGTAACCTTCGATAATTTTTTCGCATCGTATGACATACTACAATATTTATACAATAATGGTATATATGCCACAGCAACAGTCAATAGTAACATTCTACATAAAATAAATAAATAAATAAATAAATATACCAAGGAGCCAAAAAATAAACTTAGCAAGAGGCGAATTCCGATGGCGCACTAAAAACAACGTGGCGTTTGTAATGTGGCAGGACACTAAACTCGTCACACTTTTGACCACTGCCTTCCACCCAAAAGTAAATAAGACTTTTTGCGATCGAAGACAGAAAGATGGTTTGAAACGGGCTTTTCTGTGTCCATCAACTGTACTTCAATACACAGAGCGCATGGGCGGTGTAGACCGTTTTGAGCAGAAGCGGACCACCTACGAAGTTGGCATACGAAGCAAGAGGTGGTGGCTTCGTATTTTCTATTTTTGCGTAGATTTAGCCATCACAAACTCCTTTTTACTATATTCTAGCAACACAAGAGTACACAACCCACTTTCACAATTACACTTACGGTTGTGCCTGGCTCGTGGTCTCATCAGTAATTATTCATCAAGGAAAAGAAGTCTGGACAGACAGCCACAATACTCCGCAAAACGGCCAAAGCTCTCCACAAACAGACAAAAAGAAGTAGGAGTGGTTGATGAGATACGTTTGAGTAACGTGGGTATTCATCAGCATGAGCAACTGAACTCATGGCGACGCTGTCGTATGTGTAGCACGAAAACTCGCAATAAGCGATCAAAGATTCAGTGTTTTACATGTAAAGTGCCACTTTGTGTAGTTCCCTGTTTTGATTTATTTCACAGCCAGCAAGTATAAATATAATATGCGTTTGATAGAAATCAAAACAGGAAATAACGGATGAATCAACATTTTTATTTGCTATATTTTTGTTTCTTTTTAATAAACTGAGTACAAAAAAGTCGCTTTATTGACAGGCGGTGGCAACTATATTGCCACCGCGTTTTCCATAAATTTCCCATAAATTTTCATAAAATTTTTATCGTTAGGGTCATCCTAATGGGTGCGTTTGGCAGAAAAAAGCGCTAGCAAGCGCTTGTAAGCAAAATGGCGATCGTAAGCGGTAAGTGCTGTCAAATCGTAAGTAGCTATTTTCCTTTAGGACACGATGTTAGTTTTAACCGGGGAACCTAACCTAGTTTAAATATATGTTTCTAAAGTATTCATATTAAAAACTTACCAATCATGAATTTTTAATAACATCTATATGTTTATTCATGTCATTATATTACTTAAAACTAATATTGCACAAAACAACTTATAAACTCTACTTCAAAACAAACACATTAAATAAGCAAAATGGCGGATTGTGTCAGCGCTACTGAAGTAGCAATCGTGTCCTGGCCGAAAACTATTTTAGCGCTTGTAAGCGCTTGCTAGCGCTTTTTTCTGCCAAACGCACCCATTGGTAATACTATTCACTATCCATTTGCTATACATTGCTGTCATCTTTATTTTTCTCTGCCTTATAAAGGGTTAAGCCCTCTAGCGAAAAATATCAATACTACGCTGAATATTTATTTGGAAAACATTTTAGCTATTCCCCATTAGGTGACGCTTCTAAACATAAGGTAAAAATCCGTTTTAGGCACATCGTCAATTATTAACAGATTTGTAAATAAATAGTGACGTTACTAGATAACAGAGGGCACTTATTACAATAATTTTTCTTTCTTCCAGAATAATCTACCAGAAATAATAAAATTTAAAGATTATTTGGTAAATATACATTATTCTTAGGATAATAAACCGAAATCATGTTAATTTTTTGCTCCATATCGTGACTTACTATACCTTAATGCACAACCGGGCATATTTTCTTTAAAAATATTTTTTAAATTTATGAAACGAATGCGTCTCGACCTTTCGGTGATGTCACTTTGGAGATATATATCCTATAGGACCAAAGTTACAGATGACAATTTTATTGCTGATGTCCGGTCTATTACTACTACGTACTTAAATGTCTTTGATATTAAAATTGTATGCAATAGACCTGTCCATATTTGTAATTATGTTCGAATATGCTAGCTGTATTTTCAAATTATATGCATAATCTCATTTTTAGATTACGATTAATTTTTGTTTAAGATTAACTGATTAAATACACGTTACCTGTGACTTGTGAACATCTTTTGTCCCAAATGAATATATAATCCAAAAACATTTATTTATGTAAAATTACTCATAGTTGCCCAAATGAAAATCTGATAAATTATAATTAATATCATGCGAAATAAAAAGGTCAAATATTAAGTTTGTTTTATTAGACTGTTTCTTTAAATATTGCTTTCAGCATTGTATGCACATGTGCACTGAGTTTCTCGATAATGATTTTGTTCAGTGATTTCCTTCAATTTGGTCAATTATTGCTGAGCAACAATTGACCATCTTGAATAAAATATATCGAGAAACGCACTGTAGTTGTGCATAAAATGCAATGCAACGTACCTATCTGTAAAATGCACCGTGCTTTGAAATTCCTGCCCTAGCTTCTACTGTTTAGTTTTCGTGGGCGGTACACAGATGGCGCCGGTCGGTAAGAAAAAATTTCCTCATACAATTTGTATGGAGTCGTTATTCCTCCCCTTTAGGGGTATATGTGTTCTGTGGCTATCACAGAACGGGCGTTACGTCGTCTTATTTTGCGATTACCACTATCTAGTGTCGCAATATCCGAGTTAGATATAAACTCTGAGGACTTATTTTTTTTAAAAGTAAAGTTACAGCCTATATACGTCCCACTGCTGGGCACAGGCCTCCCCTCATTTCTGAGAGGGTTTTAGGGCAAGGAAGTGTCCGACGCGCTGCCCCAATGCGTGTTGGCGAACTTCACATGTCTTCGAAATATTTTTTTTCTTATTCCTCAGACACGCAGGTTTCCTCACGATGTTTTCCTTCACCGCCGAGCACGTGGTAAATCAGCACTTGAAATTGCAATTAACAATTTGATTGGTGCCGGCGGGGATCGAACCCGGGTTTCTCGCGTTCTGTTATATTTACAGCGAGCGCTAACCATCTGAGCTACCACGGCTCTTTCTCTATTTTTTTACCCAGGATAATTTATGTGAAATTGATATACTAGAAAAGTCGTTGGTGTGTGAAGTAAATCTGATATCTGATAATGTATACGATTTAGAGGAGAGTGGAGATGAGATTATCCATCCCCCCCCCCCAAAGAAAAAGACGTCTTTATATAAGAAGCGATTCGGAAAGTGAATGTAATTCGGTGGGAAATTTTTTCACTGAAAATTTAGCTCTTATGTCTTCAAGTAGACTACAAAATGGAGAGAACCAATGGGACACCAATCATCACTGATTGCATTCACGGAGCCAACAGGTACCTATTCATGATGTGTTTTTATTCATTAACCGATTTTTAAAATGGAGGAGGTTCTCAATTTATCTGTACTTATGTTTGATTGAAACTACTTTTACGGATTTTATCGCGTTTATTTTTACTTTTTATTTACTTTTATTTTTAATTCCCGACGTTTCGGGCGCTTTCCAGCACCCATGGTCACGGGGCACTGAGATGACTGACGTCCCGATGTCATTGTTAAACCCGGAGTACCTTCAGCTTTTTTAATTATTGTTTATGGTCCGATCTATGCAAAATGAACTGACTATGTCCTGAGGTCTTGCAGTGGTATGCATGGTTTTAGTTTTAATTTTATTGATTATAGGATCCCAAGCAGGTGGTAGTACTCAGCCTCCTTCTTTATTGAAATTAGAATGTTTTTTGATTTCAATAGCCTCACGTATCATCCTTGGTAGGAATCGGTGTTCTTTCGGGAGGATTTGTGGTCTATCAAATCTGATGTAATGGTTGGGTCCGTCTAGGATCACAAACTGCAGACTTCCCGGAACGTTGATGCTTCACATCAGCTATATGTTCTTTTACGCGGGTCCTAATTGATCTTTTTGTTTGTCCTATATAAGTGACCATGGGTGCTGGAAAGCGCCCGAAACGTCGGGAATTAAAAATAAAAGTAAATAAAAAGTAAAAATAAACGCGATAAAATCCGTAAAAGTAGTTTCAATCATGTATAGTGTTCGCGTAAATATAAGAAATCATTATGTACTTATGTTTTTTGGGTTCCGTACCACGTTTTTTGTGTTTTTTGTGTATAAGATTTCAATAGCCTCACGTATCATCCTTGGTAGGAATCGGTGTTCTTTCGCGAGGATTTGTGGTCTATCAAATCTGATGTAATGGTTGGGTCCGTCTAGGATCACAAACTGCAGACTTCCCGGAACGTTGATGCTTCACATCAGCTATATGTTCTTTCACGCGGGTCCTAATTGATCTTTTTGTTTGTCCTATATAAGTGACCATGGGTGCTGGAAAGCGCCCGAAACGTCGGGAATTAAAAATAAAAGTAAATAAAAAGTAAAAATAAACGCGATAAAATACGTAAAAGTAGTTTCAATCATGTATAGTGTTCGCGTAAATATAAGAAATCATTATGTACTTATGTTTTTTGGGTTCCGTACCACGTTTTTTGTGTTTTTTGTGTATAAGTATGTTACCTGACTTTCCCGTCAATTGTATTTTTTTTTAATTTTTAGAGTCTCGTACCTCAAAATGAAAGAATCGAAACCCTTAAACTCAAAAGCCAAGAATGTTCTAACTTTTTTAAAATGGTAGGCTACTGGCTTTCTGTTTGTATGTTCTTGAATAACCAAAGAACGGCTTTGTTCTAGATATCAAGAAACCGTATGATAAAGAACTACGAAATGCAGTCCCAGGAGCCTATTTTCCATTATTAGCCTCCAGACTCATTTTGAGGGTACAGCAGTGCAAACCAACTTGTATGCCGAGCGACGCAAAAGCACAAAGCCTACGTCGCGTTTGAACGATAGGAAACCAACAAACAAAAATGAAGTTAAGAGTCTTTTTGGACTTATTATTTACATGGGACTAATCAAACCCCCAAAAATAAATCTATACTGGAGGAGAGTTTTCAAACAAACTTTTGCACGTTCGGTCATGAGTCGTAATAGATTCAAACTGTTGTTGCTGAATCTGCATTTCGTTGACAATGAAATAGCAGATGCCACCGACAGAATCTATAAAATATGCAGTCTGATAGATACATTAAGGTGGTACCTCGAAAATTTGGTGCTTTTTCTATTTAACATATTTTTTAAGTTTTATAGATTACAAAACAAAATTTGGTATATGATTTTTGACTATATGATCTTGAATTGCATAAAAGGAAAACAGGATATCATGTAATTTTCTGGAAAGAAAAAAAATTGTTCAAAGTAGGCTCTAATTATTTACATTTTTCCATGACACCACAACATTCTTACGAATAACTTCATGGAATTATTTTTAAGGCATAGTAAATAATCATATCTAAGTTCTCATAAACCACTTTTTTAATCCATTAAGTAGTTTTGTTAAAATGAATAAAAATGTTGTAAGCGCCAAGCTTACTTAGTTTTTTTCCGAGCGCTTGCTCAGTAAAGCTATCTCATAATTTGCGTACTACGAAGTCATTGCATCACTTTCATTTTGACACTCCCTCAGTCGTCCGTGAGCTTCACCGACAAAGGAATAAGCCACGCCCCAAAAACATCGATTCATTTTCAAGGTATCTTCTTAAATAACTCATTTCGACGGTACTATTCTCCCAACGAAGTTTTTGTCGACGAAAGTCAAGTCAAAGTATGATGATATAAATGAAATGAAAATATAATATAATGGTTACCTGAAACATCTTCCCGCACACCTCGCACATAAAATGGCTCCTCTTCGATGCGTACTTGGTGCGATGCATGCCCGGGTGCTCCCTCCTGAAGTGTCTGAAATACGCCAAATAGTCCGCCAGTATCATTTCACACTGCGAACAAATTAATAAAGTAAAAATTCGTGTGGCACTCGGGGACTGTCGCGGTAAAGCTATTGCATAGCATTTTTTATCAACTTATGCAATTATAATTATTTGTTTATTTTATTTATGCAGTATTTTTTTCTGTTTTTTTTCTTCTTTGATATTAATTCAAATTATACTTTTTGAGCGTGGTGACCGATAAGAAAACAATTTTTTTCTTTTACTGAATAAATGAGAAGTTAATATTGTATAAAATATATTTATTGGGTGGTTTGACAGTGCGGGTAGGGCATGACCTGTCACCCATGTTTAGCGTCCAAGCGGGCGTAAAACAGGGTTGTCATGTCTTCCTGGCTGTTCATACTGTATCTCGACAGCTGTTTACAGACGCTGAAAAATAGCTGTTTGGGTGTGAAATTGGGTGACATAAAAGTTAATTGTCTGCTGTATACTGACGATGCAGTGCTTATTGCACCATCAGAAGCAGAACTGCAGGCATTAGTCACGTGTATGAAAGAGGAATGTGAAATTAAAGGTCTCCGTTTGAATGCTAATAAAACTAAGGTTCTGGTATTTGAAAAGGACGAAGAGAGAACGAAATGTGAAATATGGATAAATCAGGAATGTCTAGAACAGGTAAATGAAATTGTATACTTGGGGAGTGCTTTCAGCCGGGATGGAAGATGTGATTTAGATGTGGATAGGCGTGTCGCTGCCGGAAACAAAGTCAATGGTGCCCTGAATGCATTAGTAAAAAAGGCAAGGCGTGGTGAAGAGTGCACGCCTTGCAATACATAACGCAGTGTTGGTACCGACTTTGTTATATGGCAGCGAAACCTGGGTATGCCAGAAGAAGCATAAAAGCAAGTTGAATGCAGTGGAGATGCGATCTCTTCGTAAAATGTGTGGCGTTACCTTAGCCGACCGAAAGCGAAACGAAGAGATTCGCAATATGGCAGGATTGAAAGATGACCTTATCACAAAAATTGATAGGGGCGTACTCCAATGGTTTGGGCACATTGAACGAATGAGTGAAGACCGAATGGTGAAGAAAATATATAGAGCGAAAGTAAATATTAAAAGGTGTCGAGGTAGACCGAGACTAACTTTCGAAGACCATGTGAGCAAATCGCTCGAAGAGGGGAGGGTCAAGAGTACTCGGATACCTAAACGTGCATGTATGAAGAAGTTAATGAACCTGAAAGAAGCGAAAGAGGTATGTAAGGATCGTGACACTTGACGATCTGTTCTCTCTGGCTACCCCGTTAAGGATTGTGCGTGAAGATAAGTAAAATAAAGTAAAGGTTTGACAGAAAAAAGCGTTAGCAAGCGCTTGTAAGTAAAATGGCGATCATAAGCGGTAAGCGCTGTCAAATCGTAAGTAGCTATTTACCTCTAGGACACGAAGTTAGTTTTAACCGGGGAACCTAACCTAATTTAAATATGTTTGTAAAGTATTTATATTAAAATCTTACCAATTACGAATTTTTAATAACATGTATATGTTTATTCATATCATTATATTACTTAAAACTAATATTGCACAAAACAACTTATAAACTCTACTTCAAAACAAATAAATTAAATAAGCAAAATGGCGGATTGTGTGAGCGCTACTGAAGTTAGCAAACATGTCCTGGCCGAAAACTGTTTAGTTTCGCCATTTTGCTTACAAACGCTTGCTAGCGCTTTTTTCTGCCAAACGCACCCATTATCTTGCAATACATGTAGGTTATTCAGGAATTTTTATCATTGAAGCTATAGCTACACGCATACGTCTAGTAGCACGCACACAAACACCGTGCCGAAGTTTGCCGAACTGAAACGACGTTAGACGATCGGCTTTCAACGCCGCACCGCTGTGCCGGCCGGAGTGGGAGGTGTTAGTGTTTATTTTTGACTGACAACGTCTTATAAATTGGTTTGCCGGGTGACACTTCAAGAAACTGCGTTACGCTCCGCTCACGTTATGCGCTCACAATGAGAGCGAGTGAGAGGCACGCGTCCCTTCCACTCGGGCATGGTTAGCCCGCCTAAGAGCGAGAGACAGACATAAAAAGTGAAAGGCACGCGTCCCTTCCACTCGAGCACAGTTAGCCCGCCTAAGAGCGAGAGAGACAGAGCGAGAGAGAGAGAGTGAGAGAGTCGTTGTCACGTAAAACTTTCGCCCGTATACCGACTTTACAGGCAACCAATATTTTTTGTTACGGAATTTATTGATTCGGTCGCCACGCTCAAATCCCGCGATAAAAGCTACGCAACAGCTTTTATCGCGGGCATAAATACTCAAACGGTATATCAATTTTAAGACGCCGTGTAGTCGTTGTGCCGTCTCTATGACTTTGTATCAAAGTGACCGTGACACAAGACTTAACGACCTTTTATTATAGAATAAGGGTGACACGAGCACACAGTCCACCTGATGGTAAGTGGTTGCTGTGACCCATGGACATGTACATTTCTTCCTCGATTAAGAATCAAAACGCAGATGCGTTGTCACCCCTGAGGACTAAGATGGAATACCTCGTCTCCAAGAAAAAGGGTCTCCGGTTCTCTACACTCGCCACACGAAACACAGCAGTATTAAGCTGCTATTTCACGCTGGTATTCTGTGAGAGCGTAGTCTTTCCACGGTCGAGCCGACCCATTCGTGCTACAACTTTACAGTAACATAGGTTACGGCGGCTAGTCTCAAAGGAGACTAGCCATCTGCGAAGCACAAGTGCACTTTCTATTGCCTCCTCACCACGTACACACCGTACGCCCGCGTACCTGGGCGGTTCTCACCGCTCAGAACTTCGATCGATACGAGTTGAGCATATATATATATATACATATATATATATATAAATATATATATATATGTATATATATATATATATATATATATATATGTGTATATCATAACACGCATATATATACTAAAAGTATTTAAGTAGACAAACTTAATTCTAATAATAAAATAAAATTCAATATGTAATATTATATATTTTAATTACATCTACATCTAAATTTGTTTGAGAAATCGTTGCGTTACTAAATTACACTTCTCTAAATAAGGAGGATTTACTTCAAATGACGAGTTTCCGCCTTTACCTAACCGTCGCGTTAACTTCATATACTTCAGTCTATTTTCTTCACCGCGTGAGTGTAAGAGACCACTACATTAATAAAAAAAAATAGAACGTATAAAAAAAGTAACTTTGTTGTTCGTTTTTTAAATAAAAGGTAAAGAAATTATCTGTTTTAAAAAGCTATTTGCTTATAATATTTTGTCACGTAGCAATTTATAAAATTTACATTTCAAATACTGTGTCGTTCACGTGAGAAATAAAGTAGTCAGAAGTAACTAAAATGAAATGGTAAAGTGTTAGTTTTCACCACAAACTAATAAGAAGTAGCACTTCGCTATAAATCATGTCAAAAAATACAAGTTTTTATATTCTACAAGGCCCAATGTGCGAAAATAATAAAGTAAAGTAAAAAAGTCGGTTAGAAACCACACTATATTTTTTTATTCTAAGTCCTTATGAGGAAGTCGCTGCTACCCGTCTCCTGATTTATTTCTCTCTGTCGCGTCTTACGACACCCACGTGATGATATGGGCTAGTGGATATTCCTTCACCGACACTGCACCGTAACACATACTCAGTGGTAGTGGTCAATTTCAAAGATATAAAACGCATACAGAAGACAGAGATTATCACAATCAAAGTACGCACCTGCTCGCAAGGAACGGGACCTTCCTGTTTCCTGCTTCTATATCTGCGCTTCTTTCTCTTTCTCTTTTCATTACGAGGCATTATGTTATTATCACTCAACGCATCGAAGTCCGTCGGTGTCCGGCCCTTTTGCACCTCTGGCTTCAGTCTGCAACAATTGGTATGTAAAACAAAATAACGATTCCTTATGTTAAAGATATTGAATGAAGAGAGCACCTCCCGCCCTCCCTCAATTGCGTGCACCAATCCCGTCACCACCAATCCCAGCACCAGTACTCCCAACACCACAATTCTAGGAAAGAGACACCGTCGACGATAGTACGACACGTGTTTCGCCTCTACACGAGGCAACTTCAGGTTAAGTAGACTCTACGGCGGCTGACCGCTAAGACTTCTTACGGTGACGGTGACAGGATTAGTGCACGCAATTGAGGGAGGGCGGGAGGTGCTCTTCAAACTAGGTGAGACAAATCATTTTAGTTAGTTGAGCGGATAGTTGCAAAGTAACTATTAATATCTTTATTATAATGGATTTCCGTAAAGTAATGCCTGATTCTATCGATTCTGTATGTGTCCCACCGGAGGCCCATTTCTGACCGAAGACGAAGGCTTACAAACCCTAAAAATTCAGTTAGAGATTTCCTAAAATTAATAATATAAATTATTTTAAACTTAAGTTATAGGTTTACATTGATTGTATTATATAAAGAGGTTATTTTAATCAGCTCTAGAAGTTGATCTAGAGTCCATAGCGGTTTCGCTTATTCGTAACAGTTCTTTCGCTTTCGACGTTTACTAGAAACTCACTCACGTGCAAACAGTTTTGAAAGCCAATTTTGTGTGAAAGTGGTTTTCTAAGGCGAAACTAAAGCTTCGGTCGGACATTAGATTTGTTATATTTTCAATAACGTAGAGCGGCAGAAGACCGTGAAATAGCAGCTTAACGCTGCTGTGTTTCTTATGGTGAGTGTAGAGAACCGGAGACCCTTTTCACTGGAAACGAGGCATTCCATTTTAGTCCGCAAGGGTAACAAAGCATCTGCATTTTGATTTTAATCGAGGGCATCTGTGATATCTACATCTATATGTAAATATCACAGCATCCACTTACCATCAGGTGGACTGTGTGCTCGTTTGTAACTCTTATTCTAATAAAAAAAACCTGTGACCTAGATCTGCAGTCGCGTTCGCCCACTAGACCAACAAGACCGTCAAGTCAAGTCTTATATTTTCATGTCAGTATTTACTAATATCAAGGCATCCCATCGCATCAAGGCATCCCTCAGTTAGTCCTAAATCTTCGACGTATGACCATATGTCGGTTGGGACTGAGCTGACTGGTTCGAATCCCGAACAAAAAAAGCGGTCTAGGTGCAACCCGAAAGGTCCACACGGCTAACTTCCCAGTGGAAAGAATAAAAAAATATCATAAATGTTATAATATTTTATACAATTTTACATTCGGCACAAAAAATGACTCTTGCTCAAAATTTAATGAAGTCTAAGTTACATAATTATGCGTTAAATGAAACTGGTCCCATGTCAATATCACTCTTTGTTCTCGAGATACACGAGGCGAAAATTGAATCAGAACATACATACATACATTCATACGTACATGTGCACACACGGACATCCTCTTTAAAACCATACTATTCGACTCTAAAGACCTTGAAACGTGGAGATATGTTAAAATTTCCAATTTGCAAAATCGGCCCCATTACAATAACTTCCCACTGGGAAGTTCAAATATCAAAAGTTGGAGGAACTTCACGCACATGTCTTAGAAAGCACGTAGAGCCATTCCATCCCATGCTTAATTTCGAGAAAAAGGGGCGAATAGAGAGTGAACCTGTGCTTACTCATACACTCTGGCACTACAATCTCGCCAAAAGATGGCTAGTAGACCTGTGTCGATCGATCACTTGTGCCCACTCGTATGGTAATCGGGTTAAAAAAATTCGATCGTTTCGATCATTTGGGTCGCAGCTCGTTTGTATACTTTGTATGACCGAATGAAGAATGCTGAACAGGTGCTATAATAGTAATAGTACTACGATTTGTTTATTGGTTGAATTTCATGTAAACGAAGGAAACAGAAGACATTTTGTTTATTAAGTCGTTGTGCGATCGATTGCACGATTCGATCGATTATATTTATGTAAACAATGCAAAAAAAAGTAGAATTTGGTTTGTCTTGTCGGGAAAAATAAGATCGAATCTTTTAGAGATCCATGATTCGATCACTCGTGTAGAGGTTGCAACCGAATCATAAAGAGTCGATCAATCGCGATCGACACAGGACTAATGGCTAGTCTCCGTTGAGTTTTGACGCCATGATAGTTCGGTCTGTAGGACATTAAATATTTATTTACTATAATTAAGCAACCAGTTCACACTCACTCGTCTTTATGCCTGCTGGATAGGTTCAAATGTGTCTGCAGCGCCTCTTTTGAAACGAACCGGATGTTACACTTCTCGCAGCACGGACCATCTTCCGGCACCTGGAGCAATATTTGACAATAATCAATAGACAATAGACATGCATTTATTTAGCAACTTAGACTCATTTCTTTTATAATATAAGGGTGACAAACGCGCACACAGTCAACATGATAGTAAGTGGATTCTGTGGTCCATACAATGAGATTCAAGTAAGAATAGGAACGTCAATGACAGCGATCTGTCTCTGTCACTTGAAAAGTACGGCTTGCAATGAAAATTAGTTTTTTTTTTAATTATTGGCGTCTTATAATTACCAAATCAATCATAAATATTGATACTTGTCGGTGGAAAATTCTTAATATGTACGTAAATTCATGTTCATTTTATAATGGAACGCAACAATCATGATAATGATGACAATGATAAATACTCAGACCGTGATGTAGGGATAAGCAAAATTGAAATGCTAGATTTAAATAAATTTAAAATTACATTTTCGTAATGATTTCTTAAATTTACGCGAACACTACACGTTGAATAAAACTAAATTTACGGATTCTATCGCGTTTATTTAACTGATTTTTTTACTTATTTTTAATTCCCGACGTTTCGGGTGCTTTACAACAACCATGATGTTTGACGTCCCAATGTCATTGTTAGCCCGGCTACCTTCAGTTTTTGAATATTAATTTTTGGTCCGATTTACGCAAAACGAACTTACAGTATCATGAAGTCTTGCAGTGGTATGCTTGGGTTTGGGTTTAATTTTGTTAATTTTAGGATCCTAAGCAGGTGGCAGCACCCATCCATCTTCTCTATTGAAATTTGGATGTTTTTTAATTTCAATAGCTTCGCGTATCATCCTTGGTAGGAATCGGTGTTCTTTTGCGAGGATTTGTGATTTATCAAATCTGATGTAATGGTGGGGACGAGTTTGAACATGTTCACAGACTGCAGACTTCCCGGAGCGTCGGTGCTTCACGTCAGCTATATGTTCTTTCACGCGGGTTTTTATGGATTTAGTTAGTATTACTCAAACACTGCCTCACATCTGGCTATCTATTGTGGAAGGAAGAGTTCTACAAGCAAGTAGATGGTGTGACGATGGGCTCACCTGTATCTCCCATAGTCGCCGACATATTTATGAAGGACTTCGAGGAGAAAGCCCTTCTTACTGCTCCTGTAAATCCAAGATTCTACAAGCGGTACGTAGACGACACCTTCACATTTTTACCACCTGACAAAGTAACTGCATTTTTAAACCACACTTACTCTATAAACTCTAAAATACAATTCACAATGGAGTTAGAGGCAAATAATTCTTTAGCTTTCCTAGATGTTTTAGTTATTTGAAATCCTGATAACACTATTGGTCACACTGTGTATAGAAAAAAGACCCATACCAACCGATATTTAACTGGTGAATCTCACCATTTAAATATCGTAATATAATATGCGATGATAGTTTAATTTACGTGGAGATCGGCCGCCGTGACCGAAATTCCTAAATGATATTATTATTATTATTTAACGGCAAAAGTTGGTAAGAGAGTCGCACCTACCCTGACTATATCCTGGGCAGATAATAATAATGTCCTCCAGACCGAATTTTGGCCACGGCAGCCTGCCTCAACGGAGGCTAGCCATCGGCGCAGGACAGGATTATAGTGCCCAAGTGTATGCGCAAGCACAGGTACACTCTCTATTCCCTCACTCTCATAATCCGATGCGACGGTAAACCGACACGACCGGAGAGAGATCAGGCGCAGGACCAACGGCTTTACGTGCTTTCCGAGGCACGGGGGTGAGACACCGCCAACTTCCTGACTCCGGGCAGCTACTGAGAATTTCTTGACGGAAAAACTCAATAAATAATTTTTTGCCCCGACCCGGGATTCAAACCGAGGACCTCATGATCAGCAGTCGCACTACTACAACCACTATCCTCCTATTGAACAGTATATAATGAAATTGAAGTGCACCCAGTGAGAAACCGTTTACTCACCGCCAGTTGATCGAAGCGGTGCTTCAGATTCTTGTGCTGCGCCAACCCTCTCTTACCAATGAACGAGTTCCCGCACAACTCGCACACGAAGTCCGACGGGTGCTTTATTCGCAAATGACCCAGGTACGTGGTGGATTTGCTGAAAATTTGCAACCAATTAGAACAAGTTCACAGCCGTAGCAGCTCAGGGGATAGGCGCTCGCTGTAAATATCGCGTACAGAACTCCACCGGCACCAATGAAGTTTTTAATTACAATTTTAACTAATTATTTCTTAAATTTACGCGAACACTACACATTGAATAAAACTAAATTTACGGATTTTATCCCAAAACTCAGTCTGTGAACATATTCATCGTCCCCACCATTACATCAGATTTGATCAACCACAAATCCTCGCAAAAGAACACCGATTCCTACCAAGGATGATACGTGAGGCTATTGAAATTAAAAAACATCCAAATTTCAATAGAGAAGATGGATGGGTGCTGCCATCTGCTTGGGATCCTATAATTAACAAAATTAAACCCAAACCCAAGCATACCACTGCAAGACTTCAAGATACTGTAAGCTCGTATTGCGTAGATCGGACCGAAAATAAATATTAAAAAACTGAAGGTAACTAGGCTAACTATGACATTGGGACGTCAAAATCTCATCCCCCCCCCGTGAACATGGTTGCTGTAAAGCACCCGAAACGTCAAAAATAAGAAGTAGTTAATTAAATGCGATAAAATCCGTGAATTTAGTTATATTCAAAACAATTTTAACTGCTGATTTATCATGTGCTCCACGGTAAAGGAAAACATCAGAAGGAAACCTACAAGTCTTAAAAATGTAAAAAAAAATATCGGGCAAAAAAGGAAGTGCACCAACACGCATTGGAGCAGTGCGGCGGACATTTCTATGCGTTAAAACCCTGTAAGAAATGAGAGGATGCATGTGCCTAGCAGTATGCTTGGGTAAAAAATATCGATATATATCGTAGAAGTTTTTAAATCTCGAAATATCGATATTCGATATTTATTACGGAGTATTGAATTCGTATCAATTACGATATATTTCAAAATGTTGTATTAATCGACTAAATATTAAGTATCAACACTCAAAAATAGCTACGAAAGCATAAATGTGCTGTTGTCGTGACGTGACTAGCTCTACGGGAGAAGCTCTTACCATGCAGTGGAGTTTTACGAGCTGATGACGAAGGAAAGAAAAATTAATAGCTGGTGGCTCGTTTTATAACGTGGTAGAGCCATACTCTATCTATACTGTGGCTCTAGCACAAATGGGTCGGCTAGACCGGAAAAGGACCACGCTCTCACAGAATAACAGCGTGAAATAGCAGCTTGACACTGCTGTGCTTCATATGGCGAGTGGGAACCGGAGACACTTTTTAATGGACATTCCATGTTAGTCCTCAGGGATAAAAATGCATCTGAATAATGAATTAGATAGATGTTTATGGGCTACAACATCCACATACATAGATATATAGAATACTATAATACATACATAATAAAACGGGGGAGTGCGCCGAGCCCGTGTAGCCACAACATGTCACCAACACGTCAATTCACAAGTATAAATGTCAACACAATCAATCGTTTCCAATTTTCGTGTCAAGCGTCGCTGCATGCAAATTATTTTAAAAAAAATTGCAAATTGTGCAATAATTACGTGTCGAAAGAACAGCGGGAAATGGAATTTAAATAAATGAGACATATCCTACAACCAGTAAGTCGAAACTATTTATATTTTGTGAATATTAGAAACAAAAATATAGAAATATTTATGTATCAAAAACATTAATCAAAAATCTAAAATGTGTTTGTAGTAGTGATAACACGACGTAATTGCTTGTATGTGTGTTCCCGGCGACACCGAACGTCGTACAAAATAAGGTTGACAGCCATTCTATTGTGTATTATAGTACTCTATGGGGTGGACTGAGTGTTCACTTGTCACCCTTATTCTATAAAAACAAAGTAAGCTTACACAAAACTTTCCGGGCAGTGCGGACACTGGTACTTGGTGCCGTTATGGTAGGCCTCGTGCATCTTCACCGCGTTTCTGAAACAATAACGTATACAACAAATCACTTGGTGGTAGATAACAGCTTAGTGACGGTGTAAGGATATCCACATCCGTGAATACTGTGGCTCATATAGGATTCTTTAGACGAACATTAGCTAAGAATCATGGAGCAGGTGCGTTTTCATCCTAAGGACAAAGGTAAATGCCTGATCTACGATCTCAGTCAATAAAAGCAAAACAGCATTTATAAAACTTAGTACCTGGTTGACCGAGCTTTGCTCGGCATTTTTTTTAATTCATCTGTTTTGGAAATTATATTTAGATACAAATTACATACTGATGAAATATGAATAATATTTTTTGATCTTACCGTAATAATAGAAAAAACTGAACTGGTTATTTGAATAAAAAATCATGAGTGCAATTAGTTTAATTTAAATTTTCGTGTTTTTAACAAAATAAGTACTAAAAATGGGCTCGAAATAATAGATTTTCTCAAAAAAAGAAGGAAACATGAAAAAAATGAAAAAAGTCGGACTGAAAACAGGACCCGAACCAGGGTACTACGATTTTGTGACCGCCCGATATCCTAATTGAGCTATCATAATCATTAATATACTATCAAAATTTACCTTCTTATTATAATAATATTGAAGCAGTTTTTCATTGCCTGAAAACACGGATAAAACGACATTTTCTAAAAATGAATCCTAGCTAGATCGATTTATTGCCCCCCGCATTTCCATAGAAATGCTTACTTAGCTTTATGATACGAAGTTACTTAGGTAGTTATTTTCGAATGAATTAACATATAATAGTTTTACAAAATTATTGCTAATATAATTAATAATAAAATGGATATATGTAAGTGGTAAAAGTACTATAATTTAATATTATTAATGGCTATGAAGTCTAATAAAGTTTGTACAAAAGGAGTGTAAACTAAATTTATCAAAAACTTAAGATTTATAGGACGAGGAATTATTGGGAAGGAAATTGCATAGTGAAACGGAGTTAGGACATTTAAAAAATTTATGATCGATCGTACCTTCGTCTAATCTACACTCACAAATTGAGCTATCTTTAATCTTAAGTTTTGCCAAAAATACAGGTGAACAAGTGTGTCCCAATCTAATTCTACGTATGACAGATGTTCTATGTTTGGAGGCATTTCTGAATTTAAAAAACTATGGTTTGAAGGGGATGTCAGGTTGGAGTTCTGCATAATATTTACCGATAGACTTCTGAGATTTTTTCTTAAGAGAGTTCCAATCTGACATCTGATGGATTTTCGCAAGAGAAATAAGGTCATGAGTATATGTTATATGATGCATGAGCTTACCGGAAGTAGATGCTTGTTTTGCTAAGAAATCGACAATTTCGTTGTCACATATGCCACTATGACTTGGCAGCCAAGCAAGTTTCAAGTTAATACCTTGACAAAAACATCTATATAGTGCATCTTTTATTTTAAAAATATTGGGAATTTTGATTTACTTCGAAACCGGTTATTTGAAATGCTTTGTAATGAACTATATGAGTCGGTATAAACAATACATTTGTTAATGTTATGCGCTTCTATAAATAAAATTGCTTCTAAAATAGCAACAGCTTCACCAGTGAAAATTGAAGTAGCGTTTAAATTTTTAAAATTTAAATAATTTTATATTTTGGTATCCAGACAGCTAAACCTACAAAACTATTATGAGAAAGCTTAGAGGCATCAGCGTGACATCCGTGAGGACTAAGATGGAATGCCTCGTTTCCAGTAAAAAAGGATCTCCGGTTCTCTACACTCACCATACGAAACACAGCAGCATTAAGCTGCTATTTCACACTGGTATTCTGTAAAAGCGTGGTCTTTCCTCGGTTAATCCGACCCATTCGTGCTACAACTATACTACTAATATAACTGCAGCATGACTCTACCATGTATATACGAGTACCACACATACATAGTAAAGGGCAAACAGTTGTTACACCGCCACTACACGGTAACTATACATATAACACGGTGATTATATACTTAATAGGAGATAATTAATAAAACTATAAACACTCACGCCTGTCACACAGGGGTAGGCAGACACTACAGACTTCCATTTGGCACGATCCTGACACACCTCTCTCGCCTCTTACACATCCATATACCTAAGCATACATGCTCGTCGGTTAAGGGTACTCTTAATTTGGCCTATTTTTAATATATCGCCAATTTGGTCGACATACTTCCGCCTAGGACGTCCCTTTTCGACTCTTCCATTCACTTCTGCAACATATATTTTCTTTGTCACTCTTTCCTCATTTATTCTTTCCACATGACCAAACCGCCGAAGCATTCCTTTCTTAATCCTGGTCAGCGCATCATCTTGCAAACCACACTCTTTTTATCACACAGTTTCTCACCTTGTCACTCATATTCAGCCCTAACATACTCCTTAGCGACCGCATTTCTACTGCATTTATTCTATTCTCGTATTTCTTCTGCCACACCCAACTTTCACTACCATACGTTAAAGTAGGGACTGATACAGCATTGTGAATTGCTATACGTGCCATTTTTGACACATTCTGACTTTTCACAATAGAGTGTAGAGCCCCATTTGCTTTATTTCCTGCATTCACTCGTCGTTCAATATCCTTATCATATCTCCCATCCCTGCTGAATACACATCCCAAATATATAAATTCATCTACTTGCTCGACCATCTCCCCTTCTATTCTTATTTCACATATCGTTTTAAATATAGTTTAAAGAATACACTTTGATATTACTATATCAGCCAGGGGTACAGCCGGTCCATTACATACAGCCGGTCTATTTTTATGTACCCAGAAGAATTAACAATATAAATATAAAAATTTGTTGCAAGTCATCATCATCATCACAGCCTTTCACAAGTCCACTGCTGAACATAGGCTTCCCCCCAGGGGAACGCCACAAAGCACTTCCTGGATGTCTTACCAGGTCGTCACTCCATCTAGTGTGGGGTCGCCCTATACTTCGCCTACCGGTACGAGGCTGCCACTCGAGAACCTTTCTCCCCATCGGTAGTCGTTTCTTCGAGCTATATGGCCGGTCCATTGCCACTTCAGCTTACTAATCCGTTGGGCTATGTCGGTCACTCTAGTTCTACTGCGAGTATCCTCATTTCTAAGTTTATCACGCAGGAGAAATCCCGAGCATAGCCCCTCTCCATAGCTCACTGAGCTATGTGGCAGATAATTCAATTTTATTCTGTTTTAAAACACAAATATTTCGGAATTTATTTTAATTTTAAAACACAAACATAAATATATTATAATAAAATTGGTTTAAGCTAATTAATTCCCAGAACTAAACAATTGGCTTTGAAACTCTGTACAATGTTTTTTTTTTATAGGATAGGGTGACAAACGAGCACACAGTCCACCTGATGGTAAGTGGTTTCTGTGACTCATAGACATCTACATCTATCATCCATTACGAATCAAAATGCAGAAGCGTTGTCACCCGTGAGGTCTAAGATGGAATGCCTCGTTTCCAGTAAAAAGGGTCTCCGGTTCTCTACACTCACCATACGAAACACGGCAGCATTAAGCTACTATTTGACGCTGGTATTCTGTGAGGTATATGTTTGGATTTGACTGCCTCGTTGGTCTAGTGGTTGTAGTAGTGCTACTGCTGATCATGAGGTCCTGGGTTTTTCCGTCAAGAAATTCTCAATAGCTCAGTAGCTGCCTGGAGTCAGGAAGTTGGAGGTGTCTCACCCCCGTGCCTCGGAAAGCACGTAAAGCCGTTGGTCCTGCGCCTGATCTCTCTCCGGTCGTGTCAGTTTACCGTCCCGTCGGATTATGAGAGTGAGGGAATAGAGAGTGCACCTGTGCTTGCGCATACACTTGAGCACTATAATCCTGTCCGTCCCTCCGTTGAAGCAGGCCGCCGCGACCGAAATTCGATCTGTACGGCATTATTGTATGTTTGGATCAACATAAATTTGTGAAGGAACGTTTTCTAAGATGAACTCTCAAAACTAATTTCGATCTAGTGTTACTGTTACCGCCACTTGAAAATTGAAAGATTCCGCATTTTTGGCCAATCTTATTGACGAATCAGATTTCCTCTATAATACCTTTCATTCATTCATTCCATCTCATTCCCTTATGCAACCGGCAACAGAGTAGAAGGGTAGTCTAAGTAAGACCACGCCCGCACGCGGAAACACATTGTGTCACGCTCGCTATATCTGCTTAATTATCATAAACTTAAAATCACGGCCGTGAATTGTGTTAAATAAGTGTAAATTTCGCAAGAAAACTAAGAGTGCACCACGCGAGTGTCAACCTGAGGTACGAGAAGAAGCTGCCAGCATTCACCAGGTGCGTGCCTTAAGTTTTATGTGTCGGTTGCAAAGTTCAACGAAATCTAATTACAATTACCTATTACAGTCCACTTTAACGCGTCACCAGTTACCAATGACCATCTCCTGGGTTAATGACAATAACATGCACCAACTTAATTCCAGATTTCACACAGATTGTTCAGATTAAAAAAAAGCCATTTTTCGCCTTAATATTTGGTACTGAATTTGTTATTTCTTAATTACATGTATCCTTGATAAAAAATTGTGATTTCTTTTCTTTTTATTTCTCAATTTACATTTTGAACTTCGGTTCTCGGTAGTGATCCAGTAAACGGACCGTGACAGATATATAACTTAAATTTTACTCACCGTCTGGTGGTGACAAAGGAACAGTGTTTGCAGTTAAACCTCTGCATGTGGTTGTGGATGTGTTTGAGCAGTGCAACTCGCTTACTGAAGTGTATCTTACAGATATCGCAAACGTGGGGGCCGTATTTCTGAAAAGAAAGAAATTTAAACCCGTTGCAGGAGTCACATCACCTGTTGTTAGAGATATTCGTGTAAGTTTACCCGGTAGAGCCACGCTGCAGCACCATTATGGTGGCAGTACAAATCTCTCGACCGGGGTAGGACCGCGCTCTCACAGTATACTAGCGTAATATACCACCTTAACCTCCCAAACGGCAAGCGTCCAAATTTGACCGTTTCGATATTCTGTCAAAATTCAAGAGGTCAAATATGACAGCACCCACCCACAGCACTTTAACCAATCAGTACTTATGTTGAGAGACAATTTTTCTTTGAAGAAGTTTGTCATTACAGAATCCAATGAAATTTTCCATACTAGTTTATGTATGTATATTTATTTATAATCTACGTTCATTTCGTACGCCATTTTCGTGTGAATGTTATTGTGTTGATTTTTGGATTTTTCTAGTGTTTTATTATAAAATTATAATTAAAATTTTTGTGTTTTTACGTAAATAAATTCGAGTAATATATATAGAAATAAATGTGATTTTCACGCTGCCAACATCCGCTTGGTATATCTATTTTTTTTTGTTATCAAAATACAATAAAATGTTTTTGTAAAGAAGTAAAACCTGACTTTTGTTTAGACCACAGGATTGAGAATTTTGTATAGATTTTATAATGCCAAACTTCTTCATAGAAAAGTAGTCTCTAAATATAAGATTTAATGGTTTCAAGTGCTGTGGGTGGGTGCGGTCGTATGCGACCGCTCGGCATAATATGCCGGACGCATGCGACTGAAGGGATTGAAGGGTTAATGCTGTGTTTCGTATATAATAAGTGTAGAGAACCGGAGACCCTTTTTACTAGATACGAGGCATTCCATTTCAGCCCTCAGAGGTGACAACAAATCTGCTTTTTGATTCTTAATCGGAGGTAGATGTCTATGGGCCACAGCATCCACTTACATCAGGTTGGATGTGTGATCACTTGTTACCGTTATTCTATATAAAAAAGGTCTACACATTCCTAATTATTTTTCTTGCTTCGCTTGCACTTCGAGAAAGAGCTCCAGCTTGCGTATTCTTTACAGTTGAAATCATATTTTCGCTATTTATCAACTCCCTAACAATTTCAATAAGAATCACATCGGTTATTTAAGTTTTTATCTTAGTCAAGACCGTACACCTTTTCAGGCAATGTCATAAACCCCTAGGGATATGCGTACCATCAATAGGAATACATGGGCATAACAAGTCCTCTCATTTCCATCTTTCTTCTTCACGAGCCAGTAAAAATGTACTCCTTCGCAAAAGAATGGAGCTCTCCATTTCTTTTCTTTTTTCGTATAGAAACGAGCATGTGGCTCACCTGATGTTAAGTGACTACCACCGCCTATGATCAACCGCAACACCAGGGGAATTGCAGGTGCGTTGCCGGCGCTTTAGAAAGGAGTAAGCTCTTTTCTTAAAGGTCCCTAGGTCGTATCGGTCCGGAAAAATCGCCGGTGGTAAACTATTCCACAGAGTGGTCGTACGCGGAAGAAAACTCCTTGTGAAACGTAGTGGTGGACCGCCAGGCATCCAGATGGCGCGGAGGAATAAACATCTCATTTATATACAAAATCTGACTTGTTTCTGTTTCAAACAAGTCTTGAAACTGAAACAGGACCTTTTTATTCAATTATATATATGTATATATATACATATATATATATATATATATATATATATATATATATATATATATATATATATATATATATGTATTTATATTATAGATTATAATATGTTCTTTTTATTATAGGACATATTATAAGTAGAGCATGTAATACTCGTAAGAGTACCCTTAACCGACGAGCATGTATGCGTAGGTGGATGTGGATGAGGCGAGAGAGGTGTGTCAGGATCGTGCCAAATGGAAGGCTGTAGTCTCTGCCTACCCCTCTGGGTCACCCAGGCGTGAGTAGTTTTTTTAGATTATAATTTTTTTTCAATCCGTTTGTTTTTACACTAAATACAGAAAATTACTTTTAAAAATAATAGAAACATGAAAACAAGTGATTTTTCACGATATGTGTGCATTTTTATTATTCTAAAAGTGCAATAGTAAAAATTAAATACATTTTTAGCTCATAAAATTACTGGATTTCCATTAGGTGAGAGTAGAAATACAAACTTTACTCTTCGTTTATGAGGCGTGCAATAATACTTATTGAAAGTCACCTTTTTATTTACCACTGGTTAGAAAAAAAACCTCTGTCCTGGGGAAGAACCAGCAAGAAATCACACAAAACAAATTAGAAATAGCTTGGTAGCGATCACCCTTCCCAGGGGTTATTATCATCCATAAGTATCTTAATATTATAATAACCCTTCTTATACAAACTTAGTCTAATAAAATTTTTGAAAATTGTGAAGGTCAAATCTTGTATATTTTTTTAAAACTTTATTAAACAAAGATTATATTTATATAAAAAGGGTTATTAATATAATGTTAAGGGGAAATATAACCTCAAATGGCTTAGCAAGATCCTCCGTTGTGCCGAACATATTGCAGCATTAATTTTGAAATAAATATAGTAAACTTGTTTCCTGCCGCCCGGTTCCAAGCTTCAGGACGCCGATAATTTAGGTAATTTCTTTTTACATTGAAAATAATGGTAATTTAAAAAAATATATAAGCCCTGCTTTATAGTTAGTTCGGTTAGTATGCAAAGTTTCATAATCTTATTTAAAGTATTTTATGAATAACAGCGGTTTATTGTTTATTTTGGAGGTAACTTTGGATTTTTTTCTATCGAGAAAATTTTACGGAATCGTGTTTTCGTCTAACATAGTATCTAACATTAATCCTCAACTTTACCATATATTTATTTCAAAATTAGTGCTGCAATATTTTCGGCATAACGGAGGATCTTGCTAAGCCATTTGAGGTTATATTTCCCCTTAAGTAATTTATGAACGATAACAACCTCTGGGACTGAGGTGATTGCTACCAAGCTATTTCTAACTTGTTTTGTATTGCTAAATATTGTGCAACTAATAATTGTAAACCGTTCTTCGTTTTTAACCGACTCAGAAAGGAGGAGGTACTCAATTCGACTGTATGTTTATTTATATAATATTTTTATGTGTTATAAGCTTAGTCATAGTTAACATTACACATTAAAAATCATTCTAATTTAAATAGAAAAGATGGCCGGGTGCTACCATCTGCATGGGATCCTATAATTAATAAAATTAAATCCCAACCCCAAGCACACAACTGCAAGACTTCAAGATACTATAAGTTCATACTCTGTAGATCGGAACAAAAATTAATAATTTTAATCTGTGGGTAACCGCGTTTAACTATGACATTGAGACGTCGAACACTTCAGCCCCCCCCCCTCCCCCGTGACTATGGGTGCTGTAAAGTTCTCGAAACGTCAAAAGTGAATAATTTTTGTTACATTAAGACAGTGCGATTTACTTTCTAGTGCTATCACCACTTACCAATAGGTGGGATTATAGCCAAGTACTGGTTTGTAAAAAAAAGGTTATTATAATATTAAGGAATTTATGGATGATAATAACCCCTGGGAAGGGTGATCGCTACCAAGCTATTTCTAATTTGTCTTGTGTTGTTTATTGTAAACATGACTGTAAGCTATTATTGGAAAAAAAATCCCGCTGGGTTTCTTGCTGGTTCTTCCCAGGACAGGTGTTTTTTGCAAACCAGTGGTAAATGAAAAAAGTGACTTTCAATAAGTATTGTTATAATCTACATTAAATAGAAAAGTTTCTGTTTCTGTTTCGGTTTAAGTAAAAAAAAGGTCCAGAAGTTGAGTAAAGATAAATTAAAAATTTAAAAACTAGAAAACCCGAAACAAAAAGAGCTGATGATTTTCAAACGTATTAACAGATTTTCTTGGAACATAGCTAAGAACACTCTTGATTAAAACACCTTTTAAAAGAAAAAAACTTTTTTTTGGGTGACAAACGAGCACACAATCCACCTGACGGTAAGTGTATGCTGTGGCCCATAGGCATCAACATTTATCCTCGATTAAGAATCAAAATGCAGATGTGTTGTCACCCCTGAGGACTAAGAAAAAATGCCTCGTTTCCAGTAAAAAGGGTTTCCAGTTTTCTACACTCACCATATGAAACACAGCAGCATTAAGCTACTATTTCACACTGGTATTCTGTGAGAGCGTGGTCCTCCCCCAGTCGAGCCGACCCATTCGTGCTACAACCATAATATAACTGTAGCGTGGCTCTACCACGTGCAAAATCGATTAATCCATTCAGGAGCTATGACGCCACAGACAAACACAAATACACACTACATACTTATAAAACCTCTCTGTTTTCGTTAGGGAATAAAAAGCACAAAGGGGCAATCCATAAATTACATCAATTTTAATGGGGAGGGGGATTCCAACAAAATGCGACACTTTATGACAAGGGAGAAGGGGGGGGTTAAAAGCTATGTAACGTCACTTAATAAAATATAAAACACTAAACCGTGAAATTTATATGTAAACCCAAAACTTAAAAATAAGTATTACTAACTGGATCTAAATTTTAAAGGCTTATGTAGGTTTAAGTCGTCGGCGAGTGCATGAGAAAATATGTGATTTCACACCAGAGGGAGGGGGTATCACAAGGGTCAAAAAACTATAAAATTTGTGTGACGTAATTTATGGATGGCCCCAAAAGAAAGAAATAGTTACTTACATCTGAATGCCGTAACATATGAGCATTGAAAGTATCTTCGTCAATGAACCCTTTATAGCACTCCATACATTTATAATGAGAGAGTTTAAAGTTGTCACTCTCTTTTCTTTTCTCTATTTCATTAACTTGATCTCTGTACGACAAATTAGTGATACTAAACAGTGCGGGGTTCAGCACTTCTGAAGACTTCTTCTTTTTTCTGTCATTTTTAATCACTTTCACGTTTTTCTTCTGCATTTCATTAACTGCTTTCATTTCTTTACATTTGGTATGTACAGAGTCGTCTTCTTTTAGATCTGAAACAGCTTCATTCGTAGCCGTTTCATAATCCGTTAGAGATGAAAGTGAACCACTTTCTGACTGTCCAAGATTTGTCCAATCGTTTGATTCACCGATTACATCTTCTTTTACTTCAGTCTCTATTGGTATTTCTACATGTTTTACTCGATCAACAGAATAGTCTTCGTTTAATTCTATATTACTTTCCATCATATCCATTTCAAAATCAGTTAGGTACTCAGGTGAATGAGATTTGAATTGAACAAAATTTTCATGTTCATTTGCTTTATGGATAATTTCTTTTTTTGTATCAATTTCTATTGGATCTTTATAAGCGTCTTCGTTTGAATCTAAAACATTTTCATTAATTTCCATTTCGTAATTAATTAGAGATTTAGGTGAATATGTCTCAAACTGTCCAACATTTGGCTGTTCGTTTGGTACAGTGATACCTTCTTTTACTTCAGTATTCATCGGTATCTCTATGTTTGTATCTATATCTCTTAATGGTTCTATTTTTATGTTTGTTTGATCGTTCACATCTTTTAATAAACTAATTTCGAACACGTTTATGTCAAAGTCATTTGGCGGATGTATTATTTTTGTAAGGTTTGACTTTAAGTTCTCTTTTTGCGTGTCAATCGATTTCAGACTGTTGAAGCTGTACAACTGTAAAATAAGATAAATTGTTTATAAGGATTAAATTGTATTTAAGACAAGGTATGAATAGGTAAGATTATAAATGAGCTCCTAAAAACACATACACTAGAATGTTTTTACACAGCAGCACTAAGCTGCTATTTCATTTTTTTATAGGATAAGGGTGTCAAACGAGCACACAGTCCACCTGATGGTAAGTGGTTGCTGTGGCCCATAGACATACACCTACATTTATCTTCGATTATGAATCAAAATGCAGATGCGTTGTCACCGCTGAGAACTAAGATGAAATGCCTCTTTTCCAGTAAAACGGGTCTCCGGTTCTCTACACTCACCATACGAAACACAGCAGCGTTTAGCTGCTATTTCACGCTGGTATTCTGTGAGAGCGTGGTCCTTCCCCGGTCGAGCCGACCCATTCGTGCTACAACTATACTACTAATATAACTGCAGCATGGCTCTACCACGTAACACATGCTGGTATTGTAAGAGCGTGGACCTTCACCGCTCGAGTCGACATATTAATGATACAAATATAATATAGCTGCTGCGTGGCTTTACCACGTTTGTTGCACCAAAAGCAAAACCCACAAAAAAAAAAACAAACACCCCCCCCCAACAAAAAAAGAAAAAAACCCATAATAAAAAAGAAAAATATAATAAAACAAAATAATATATATATATATTATAAATCTATATTTCAAAAAACAAAACAAAAAAAAAAAAAAGAAAAAAACCCAACAACCCAAAAAATAAAAATTAAAAAAAAAAAAACGCAGACGCGTTGGCACCCCTGATGACTAAGATGGAATGCCTCGTTTCCAGTAAAAACGGGTCTCCGGTTCTCTACACTCACCATACGAAACACAGCAGTCTTAAGCTGCTATTTCACGCTGGTATTTTGTGAGAGCGTGGTCCTTCCCCGGTGGAGCCGACCCATTCGTATTACAACTATACTATTAATATGGCTGCAGTAAGGCTCTACCGCGTCAAATTGTAAAATTAAAAAATTTGTACAACCGACTTCACTATGACCGAATCAATGTATTCTAAGTTTATTATTAAATACGTATTATTTGAAGATAACTCAAAAACTATTTGTCAGATCTTGATCAAATTTATATGGGGTCACATGAGAAGCACCAGCTTTCAAATAAAAAGGAATCATCAAAAACGGTTCACTTAGAAAACATTTCTGAGGTAACACACATTTGAAACAGTCGAAGCGTACATCCTACTTTTTGAAGTCTGCAAGTGCAAGTTTGAAGTCTCGAAAAACTGCAAGAAATTCAGCTGCCTTACAAAGGTACGTGGTTCTACCCTGTAAACGAGGAGCATCCTAATCCGGCATTCCCTACCCTAACGCGTCATACGCGCCATACTTACATAGCATCCATCACCGATCAGCTTCCTCAGCAGCATTTCCGCGTGGTTCGCACGATCCACGAATTGTCTACACGAGGCAAGTCTATGCCTGCATTCCCAACAAAGCATTTTAGGCAGTCCATCTGTTAGGTTAACCTGTAATAAAAAATAAATTATAATAAATTAAAACATTATGAATAGATTATGAGCTGAATTACAACATTTCAGATTATGAACAGAATGGTAGGTTTTTGTCCCGAGTTGGGTAACTTCCAATGGATTCTGCCAGCGTCAAGTAATTCTAGAAGGCACAGTGTATTCGACTTTAGTACGTGAGGGTAATATGGTTACTTTCTTATAACTCAAAACTCTACAGCCTTGTTTGAATAGATGACTTTGTGATACGATAGCTCGTCAAATAATAAAGGGTCATAAGGGCGCTGCGTTATCGACGTCATTTTAACAGTCGACATTATAGTAAATATTTTAGTCGATTTTAGTATGGTGTAGTGCAGTTAGTTTTTTTAATTAAATTTTTCGAAGTGTTCCTGCTTATTGCCAAAGCCTGTTTGGTATTTTTTTCTTAACATATTAGTTATTGTGTACGACTTTGTGTTTTTGTTTCGCTCCTCCTAGTTTTGGCTTTATAGGACGGCAAAGCTTAGGGCGACCATATTACTCTCACGCACCTTAGTTTCCGTTTCCGTAGATAGACTTACGTAACTTTCTGTTACAAAGTTATGTATGTAATGAAGGCAGTTATCTTCGAATGAATTAACATATGTATAATTGTACAAAATTTTGCTAATGTAGTAAAATTTGATATAGATAAGTGGCAAAAGTTTTATAGTTTAATGTTATTAATGGACAATGAAGTATAATAAAATTTGTACAAAATTAGTGTAAAATAGATATAACAAAGATTTATAGGACGAGTGTTGAACATTAGGTTAGAGTCACCAAATCATTGTATTTTCATCGGATCTTATTTTTTTTTTCTCTTTATTAGGAACAGTAAACAATTACATAGTATATTGTAACACAAAATAACGTTAGCTAATGTACCTAATAATAAAAATAAATATGTACAATGATTTCTTATATTTACGCGAACACTACACATTTAAATAATACTAGTTTTTACGGATTTTATCGCATATATTTAACATTTTAAATATCGAGTCCCGCGCCTACGTCACAGTGAACGAGTGAAGCCGGCCACAGTCGAGCGTGTACCTGCTGTACTGCCATATGTTAGACGAGTCAGTGACAAGATTGGCTACATCCTGAAGCGCGCTTCCATTAAAATATACTTCAAGTCGCCGAAGAAGATTGATCAGTTTTTACCATCAGTGAAGTGTAACGTCCCTCTGCAAGATGCAGGAGTGTACAAGCTTGATTGTGAATGTGGTCTCTCCTACATAGGACAAACTAAAAGATCAATTAAAACCCGCGTTAAAGAACATAGCTGATGTGAAGAATCGACGCTCCGGGAAGTCTGCAGTCTGTGAACACGTACAGGATCGCCCCCGTCACTACATCCTAATTTCAATAGAAAAGATGGCCGGGTGCTACCATCTGCATGGGATCCTATAATTAATAAAATTAAATCCCAACCCAAGCATACAACTGCAAGACTTCAAGATAAGTTCATAGTGTGTAGATTGGAACAAAAATTAATAATTTAAATCTATGGTAACCGCGATTAACTATGACATCTGGACGTTGAACATCTCAGTCCCGCCCGTGACCATGAGTGCTGTAAAGCGCTCGAAACGTCGGGTATTTAAAAAGTTAAATATACGCGATAAAATCCGTAAAAACTAGTATTATTTAAATAAATATGTAGTCAAATACGCTATCCACATATTAACAAACAACATAACAGAACATAAACATAAATTATCGGACGCGATTAGATGCTAAGCAACAACGGTTGATCTTAAGTAGTTATAGTCACCAGCAAGAAAATGCAAACACCTACGTCTGACATTATTATAGTAATATACATGCCAGTGCCAGCGACTGCACGTAATACCAAAGTTAATTGTTATCAAAACTTATACCTTCTTCTCGTCGTCGTTTTCTATCGGATCTTATACTTGGCATTTTGGCATTATCTTAATATTTGGCAAACTTTTAGATTATTCAGACGTCCGAAAGTACGTGAAAACCATAGAATACTATAATACATACATAATAGAACGGGGGAGTGGGCGGAGCCCGTGTAACCACTAACATGTCAATTTACACGTGTAAATGTCGACACAATCAATCGTTTCCAATTTTCGTGTCAAGCGTCGCTTCATGCAAATTATTTTAAAAAATGGCAATTGCGCAATAATTACGTGTCGATAGAATAGCGGAAAATGGAATTTAAATAAAGGAGACATATTCTACAACCAGTAAGTCGAAACTATTTATATTTTGTGAATATTAGAAACAAAAATAAAGAAATATTGATGTGTCAAAAACATTAATCAAAAGTCTAAAATGTGTTTGCAGTAGTGATAACTGATAATACGACGTAATTGATTGTATGTGTGCTCCCGGCGACGCCGACTCTCGTACAAAATAAGGTTGACAGCCAGATTTATGGTGAAAACTAACATTCTATAAACAAATTATAGAATTTTAGTTTTTACCTTCTTTCGTTCGTCTGAATAATTTTCTTTACTTTGTTGTCTACAATTTTTTATAGAATTGGGTGACAAACGAGCACAGACCACCTGATGGTAAGTGGATGCTGTGGTTTATAGACATCTATTATCTTCAGTTGCTAATCAAAATATATTATAATTAATATATTGAAGAATAGTTTAATTGGCTATTTTTTAGATATTCTTCGAAATTGTAAAACAGCTTTGTATAATTTTTTTATTTCTTATTAATATACATAAACATTCATAATCAAAATCATAATTTCTTATTAAATGGAAGCTATTTTATTTTCCGTTTCTAATGTTCAGGGGTAATTCAAATTTTTTATTGCCTTATAGTATAGCCGATTATTTAGCATATTAATTTTGGATGACGATAAGAAAAGATTTTTTTATTTTGCATGTTGATACGCCGAAAAAAGGTATTTTTAAGTCCGTTACTTTTTAAATGTAATAGTAATCTCTCTCTAGTCGGTCCCTCATGACTGAGGATCGTGATCACCATCACGAAGAGTAAATTTATTGTTTATAATCTCTCTCCACCGGGTCCTATCGCTGGCCATACGGAGAGCGTCGTAGAAATTTCGCGCACCGACTTCTTTGACTTGGTCGGACCACCGGGTTGGAAATCTATCTCTGGGCCTTCTTCCCTCTACGTTTCCAACAACTATCAATTTTTCGATACTTTCGTCCCCGCGGCGAGAGATATGACCAAAATAGCTGAGGATGCGCTGAAGACATGTGGTGGAAAGACGCGTCTTGATCTTGAGTTGCGATAGGATTGACACGTTTGTGCGCTTCGCAGTCCACGGTATTCGCAGCATTCGCCGCCAGCACCACATTTCGAACGCATCAATTCTCTCCCTTTCTCTGACGCGTATAGTCCATGTTTCCACTCCATAGAGAAAAATTGGGAATATAAGAGTATATACTAGGCGTAATTTAGTATTATTTGTTATGCTTCTGTTTCTCCAGATGTTTGTCAGCCTGGTCATCGCATCCTTAGCTATTGCTATTCTACGCTTAATTTCGGGAACGCAAGTACCCTCATTTGAGATCAGAGATCCCAGGTATATATAACTCTCCACAACGTCGATCCCTTGAATGCTGCAAGTGTTGGAAAGTTTGCTAGCCCGGTCTATAACCATGAGTTTCGTTTTATTCCTGTTGATTGACAGACCTAGCTCTTCGCTTTCTAATTCTAGCTTATGCAGCAGCTCCTCCATGTCCTCATAAGATGTTGCAAAAAGCACAGTGTCGTCCGCATATCGCAAGTTAGCCACCCTTTTACCCCCAATATGAAACCCTTTATCCCATCCTTCCATGGTTTTCCGCATGATGTACTCCCCATATATATTAAAGAGCAACGGAGACAGTATACAACCTTGTCTCACGCCTTTCGTAGTCATAAACTCTTTGGAAAGACTGCCATCGAGTCTCACATAAGATCGGTTGTTATCATACAGGTTGGCAATTAGGCTGACTAGGTGTGTTGGTACTCCCATTTCGACCAATATTGACCATAGTTTATCCCAACGGACGCAGTCAAATGCCTTACTGTAATCGATGAAGCACAGTAACACTGGATTGGCAAACTCGCGACTCTTTTCAATAATCTGCCTGATATTTAAAATTTGTTCTCTTGTGCCCTTGCCCTTTACGAAGCCAGCTTGCTCGTTGGGAATCTGCCTGTTTAGGAAATTCTTAAGACGTTGATTTATTATATACAGCATGACTTTGCTGGCGTGCGAAATTAAGGAGATTGTCCTGTAGTTTGTACAATTACTTTTGGAACCTTTCTTATGCAAGGGCACAAAAACAGATTCAGTCCATTCTCTAGGCCATACGCCTGTATTCCAAATCGAGTTGCAGATGTTTACTATAATTTTCCGGCCTATTGGACCCATGGCTTTTAAAAGTTCTGCTGGAATGCTATCTTTACCAGGTGATTTGTTCGTTTTTAATGCCTTTATTGCTTGTTCTACTTCGGCGTCTAAAATACTAGGTTCTGGGTCATTCATAGTATTCCAATTATTGTTAACACGAGCAGGTGTGTCCTGTGTACAGTAAAGTTCGGCACAGTATTGTCTCCAGCGTTGCAACACTGTATCTAAGTCGCTCAGTAGGTTTCCGTTTTTGTCTTCTATGGCCCATGTTTGAACGATCTTGCTCTTGCTTAGTTCGCGCACCCTTTTAAAAAGTTCGTGGGTTTCCTTCTTTTCGGCGTGCCGTTCGAGTTCGCAGCAGATATTGTTGATGTAATCATTGGTGTCTTTTCGGCACCGCCTCTGTATCTCCTGACTCAATTCTGCGTAGCGTTTATGATCTTCTTCTGAAACGAAACCCTTTTCCTTAAGCATGCGCCTTTCCAATATTATTTTAGATGTCTCCATCCTAAAATGACCTTTCATGGTTGCTGCTGCGTGAATTTTATTTTTATTCGCTTGCTCTATAATTGCATCTCTTAACTCTTCCCACGATACTTTGCAGTCGTCTTTGTTGGTACTCTGTGCTGTCATCGCCGTAAGTGAGTTCTCCAACCCAGATCTAAAGTCGCTAATGTTAACCGTTTTAAAATTCTGCATAGACTTCTGTTTGTTAAGTTTCTTTAGTCTAAGTTTAAATGTACACATGAGAAGCTGGTGGTCGCTTCCGCAGTCTGCTCCTGGGTAGGTCTTGGAGTTAAGTATAGAGGATCTCCATCGTGACTGAATCATAATGTAGTCTATCTGGTTTCGAAAACGATCGCCGGGAGATATCCAGGTGTATAGTCGTCTAATATGCTGGCGAAAGCAGGTGTTCATCAGAGTGAGGTTTTCTTCGCTACAGAACTGTAACAATCTATCCCCTCTTTCGTTACGTTCTCCTATTCCAAATAGACCAACGTGCCGTCTTAAATGGTTATCATCTAATGTGACACCGACCTTTGCGTTGAGGTCACCTACAAACATAGTAATTTCTCGTTTTGGTATTGCTTTTATAGTTGCGGACAGATGACCATAGAAAGCCTCCATATCTTCTTCAGTACTTTGAGCTGTAGGGGCATAAACTTGGATGATGTTTAGTTTGCATGGTTTGGCGTTTAGCTTAAGAGTGAGTATTCTCTCGTTAATAGCTTTATATCCGAGAACGCATTTGTTAATTAGTGGTGGAACGATGAATGCGACTCCTCGGTTGCTTTCATTTTCAGGTCCAGAGAAGTATACTGTATTACCCAAGTCAGATGTAAAATAGCCAGAGCCTCTCCGGTGAGTTTCACTCAAACCAAGTATGTCAATTTTCTTTCTTTGCATTTCTGTTTCTATAATGCTTAGTTTCCCGTCTTGAATGAGGCCGCGAACGTTCCAAGTCCCGATGGAGTATATTTGCTTAGCTATGGGTGTTGAAGCTGTAGATGCACCAGAATAGTGAATTCCTTGCGGCGTCGCCTGGTGAGTCGCGATGGCAAGGCCGGTAGCACATTTCACACCACCTTGCCCGGAGAGGTGGCGCCGGGTGTTGGCCGGGTCGCATGACAAAACTTTACTCTTTTTCTGTGTGTCCATAGGTGATTTTCTTGGGAGATTAGTGCAGTGGTTTCCCATTGCCTTCTGCACCAGTCTTTTAGGGGGTATTTGGTCCCCAAGGCCTCTGAAGCCTCTTCCAGTTAGTTGCCAAACTGGGCGTATGGATATCCCGCCATTGTTCGGTCGCCATAGCCTCGTCAGTTTTCTAGCAGGGGGCACCACGACGTTTGGTCGTCGTCAGCTATTCGTATGAATCACTGGCGCGTGCAGGTGAGGTTGGCATTTGGGTCGGTTAAGATGTTGAACACCGTTCTCCCCTTACCCCCCGTAATAGTAATAGTAATAATGTAATAAGGTGCAAATATAAATGAGAGCAATTTACATGTTAAGCTTTGTATGTGGGGTTTCCAATTTAGATCTGTATATATTTTAATATCGATTAGTTTTGCAGAGTTGACCATATCAATCTTAAAGTTTTTGTAGTTATCTGGGGCACGGCTGTGCCCCCGCCAAGTCGAGCAAAAAAGCGTCACGGCCGTACCATATTTTTCTCGAAGCAGTTCAGGCCATTTTCGACCCCCTATAACTTCGTTATGGATAGAACTAGAAATCAAGCAGGCATTGTATAGACACGGTATATTTTAAATTTCACTCAATTTGAACCGGTAGTTTAGGAATTATAATTAGTCAAAGTTTATTGATTTTGTCACTCACTGACTACGATCATCAAAACTCTAAGGCACTTCTAGTAGACATAAAAGCGTCAAACTTAGAACATAATTAGTGTTTAGTGTATATATCAAGGAAAAACTAAAATATTTTTCAATTTCGGTCCAGTTTTCTAGATACAATGATTGCATAAATAACTAATTGTAATCAGTGTACCTGTGTAATGTATATGTATAATGTAATGGAATAAAAGGTGTAGATTGGTACCTACTTTGTTGGTAATCAAGAAGTAGAAGGTACCAGAAGGAAAAAAAGTAGGACAATCTACAAAAAGAAATAATATATAAATAGTTTTTACATACTAGAGCCACGCTGCGGCTATACTATGGTTGTAGCACGAATGGGTCGGTTCGACCGGGGAAGAACCGCACTCTCACAGAAAATTAATGCTGCTGTGTTTTGTTTGGTGAGTGTATAGAAAACCCAAGACTCCTTTTTAATGTTACTATTACAATTTTTGTACGTGGTAGAGCCATGCTGCAGTTATATTAGAAGTATAGTTGTAGCACGAATGGGTCGGCTCGACCGGGGAGGGACCACGCTCTCACAGAATACCAGCGTGAAATAGTAGCTTACCTAATGCTGCTGTGTTTCGTATGGTGAGTGTAGAGAACCGGAGACTCTTTTTACTGGAAACGAGGCATTCCATCTAGTCCAAAATCGAGGCTAGAAGATGTCTATGGGCCAGAAATTACCATAGGATGCACCCTATCCTATAAAAAAATGTAAATGAGACGTTCCATCTTAGTCCTCATGGGTGACAACATTTCTTTATAAAAGACTTGTGATGTGTATATTTTTAGGGGATATTGAGTACATTATTATATATTTCAATTACCAATGTACGGGGATCTGTTGTAAATAATTTTAATTTTGAGAATTTGACAATTCAATTTATTTTGAGTTCGATTATTTGTTTTGACAGTTAGTTAACAGGATCATATTTTTTTTATAGAACATGGGTGACAACGCGGAATCTGTCCACCTAATGGTAAGTGGAAACCGTGACCCATACATAACTACATTTTTTCTCATTCGTGGTAGAGCCACGCTGCAGCTATATTATGGTTGTAGCACGAATGGGTCGGCTCATATGGGGAAGGACCACGCTCTCAAAGAATACAAGCATAAAACAGCAGCTTAACGCTGCTGTTTCGTATGTTGAATGAAGAGAACCGCAGATCCTTTTTACTGGAAACGTAACATTCCATCTTAGTTCCCAGAGGCGACAACGCATCTGCGTTTTGATTTTTAATCGACGATAAATGTAGATGTCTATGGCCCACAGCATCCACTTACCATCAGATGGACTGTGCGCCCGTTTGCCACCTTTATTCTATCAAAAAAATCAAAATCAAAATATATTTATTTCATCAAAAAAACTTATATCCATACAATATTCATTATTGGAGCTGCCTAGTAAGCATATATATATATATACTTGTGGCAGGCATCTCCGCCCTTTCATGATGCTTACTTATTATACATTGGATGTTTCGAGCTTCCTTAAATCTAGAATTTAAATTTACAAAAAAAAAATATTGTTATAAATCATAATTCTTAAGATAAGGGAACTAGAGCTGAAAACATTTTAAATTAAGTTTTATAATATTTAAGAACAGAGGTAATATGAAAGAGATAATATAACATAAATATAATTACGGCAACATATCTTACACCCACACTACAATTCACAGTGAGAGAAGATTTTCTGTGTCAGTATAACTTAGTGGCTGCAACCAATTAAATAATTTATTTTTGCAATCTCTTAATTTTAAAGGGTATATTTCAATGATTTTATTAATTTTATTATATAGGTGAGCTGATTGTATTTTGTAGTGTTAAAATGTGTCTATAAAAAAATGCTTTGTCACCCCTGAGAACTAAGATGGAATGTTACGTTTCCAGTAAAAAGGGTCTGCAGTTCTTTTCAAATAACCTGCTTTTATGCTTGTATTCTTTGAGAGCGTGGTCCTTCCCCATATGAGCCGACCCATTCGTGCTACAACCATAATATAGCTGCAGCGTGCCCCTAGCATGTTAGAAAACGGCGCTCACATCAAACTACCACAACTGTGAAATCTGTATTTCTTGCAAATCACATCTCTGACCGTTGATCACTGAACTATTTACAAGCCTAAATAATACAAGTTTTTACCGATTTTATGGCGTACATTTACATTTTTATATACCCGATGTTTCGAGTACTTACGTACGGTACCATGGTAAAGACTTTCTGTAAAAACTTGTATTATTGCTGCCTTAAAAACTTGCATTATTGAAATATGTAGTGCTCGCATGAATATAAGAAATCACTATATTTAAATATCAATAAAGCAGTGAAAATATTCTTTAAAAAAAATGCCAACTGTACCCTTAAACCTGTGACGTCTTCATAAACCGTTCTGAGACTGCTCCGGCACAGACTATACATTTTTCTGTCAGTCGCTAAGCAGATTCTGCACACCTGGAACTGAACAGAAACATATATATGTCAAAATATAATTCCTAAGAACACCAACATAGCACACACATACACACATCAAAGTGTGCGCGTGGGTCTGGCCTAGTGAACTTAAAAAAATCTTTATTACAAAATCGTATTTTAGATATACATAAATAAAATTTAAGTATCTGTTTGTGATATCAATATAACAGCTTTTTACTAAATGCATATGAAAGTATACACGGTACTTATAACAAAAACACAATTTTTAAAAAAAATGTGTATCTGTTCGTTCCGGCTAACTGCGAAACGGCTGGACCGATGTTGACGGCACTTTCGCTGGCAGATAGCTTATGTATAACATAAGGAGGAGTAACTTAGGCTACTTATATTTTAGAAAAAAGGCAAAAAGATTAAAACCCATGAAATCAAATATTAAATTCTACACGGGCGCAGTCGCGGGTAACAGCTAGTTAATAAGTTTACAATAGAATAAGGCTAGGAAAGAGTATGGCCTTCTGGAACAAGTATTTTAAATACTTAAGGGGACAAATATCTTAGCAACATCCTTCGTTATGCCGAAAATATTGCAGCATTAATTTAGAAATATATATATGGTAAAGTTGAGGATTAATGTTAAAGATTATGTTAGACGAAAACACGATTTCATAAAATTTTCTCTATAGAAAAAAAATCCAAAGTTACCTCCAAAATAAACAATAAACTGCTGTTATTCGTAAAATACTTTAAATATGATCATGAAACTTTGCATACTAACTGAACTAACTATAAAGCAGTGCTTATGTTATTTACTTTTTTTTAAATACCATTATTTTCACTGTAAAAAGAAATTACCTAAACTATCGGCCGCTTGAAGCGTGATTCCTGCCGCACGGTCACTTCGCTTCGGCCTTTGAACGGGGAGGTTGTGTCGCTTACGATCAGATTATACATTACGCAACAGGACGACGTAAAATTAAAATGGCATATAACCGTAATAAAAATAAGAAGCGACTGGCTTGGCGTTAAGAAACAGGCATAAATATGATAAACCTAATGAAATAAGTGTCTAACGACCTATCTACTTACAGTATTAGTGATTACAAACATGTCGGTACATAGCATACGACGCGCGGGCAAGTGGGTACGAAATTAGAATTTGAGCTGACTTACTCTATCCCCTTAAAAGGAATCAACTATAACACTGTACCAGCTTACAATGTAAGGTGTCGCATCAATATATCCTTGTTACACAATGAAAAATATTTTAATTTTTAACAACCGCTGTCATGTTTTTTTTTTTTCAAAGACATATATAACAAAATGTGTCGCAACACTGATAATGTTCCAATAATTATTTCGTAAGAGCAGCTCTATATAATATATTACATCGCATCCATGCGGTCGGTCATATTCGGAAATACGAAATTAGCCGATGCACAATATTTAATCTGAAGAACTGTACATATAAAATACTAGCTCTTCCCCGCGATTTCGCCCGCGTGTTATTTAGGGTTTTAATTATTTTTCGCGGAACCCTAATTATTTTCCAATAATAAAAGTAGCCTAAATAATACTCCTTAAAACATCTGCCTGTGAAAATCCCGTCAAAATTGATCCAGCCATTTCGAAGATTAGCCGAAACAAACAGACAAAAATTTTAAAAATTGTGTTTTTGTTATAAGTAACGTATCATTAATTTCTTATACATTTAATAAAAAGCTGTTATTTTCTCATTACAAACAGACACTTAAATTTTATTTCTTTGTATAGATATAGATTATGTAAAAAAACACCCTGTTTGTTGTGTAACTCCTAAACAACGTAACCAATTAAAGTCAAATTTACTTAATATATATGTTTTGTCGATGCCAAGATTTATAGCTATACTAGAATACAATAGATGATGAATGAATGAAAGATGAATAGATGATTTAGATGTATGATTCAGTAAGTAAACGGTAATCTATTTATGAAACACTGAAGTTAAAATAATATTTATTTATTTTCAAGTTTTTTAAAATTTTGATCGCAAACAAAATTTACGTTTTATTATTGGAAATTTAAAACCGTACAAAGAGGTAGATACTTCATTAGATGATAGCCGCGATATCGTTCATGGAAATACGAATACATATTTCTTGACTAAATATTTACATTATTGTCATAGTGGACAGCACTGAGGAATATCACAAAGACTGTATATCCTTTGTCAATCATGTGCTCCAGTGCTCCCGACCCCGCCAAGGCCAGCAATCTTGGCTTTAGTTAGAGCATTAGTCAGCGCCATCTGTTTTTCGTATGATTGATTAGATTGACAAAGATTTTTTAGGTTAACATTTATAACTACAACTAATTCTTATTACGTCGTTTTATTTTATTCTGAATTGAAATTTTATCTTTATATTTGCACAAATGAATTAATTTTGTCGTATCAAAATGGCGCAGCAGTCAATGAGTCTCACTCATCAATAAACATGACGGGCATACGACCAATGATCGAAATGAAATGAAAATATCAAGTATGGTCGAGCTTTTAAAGCGAGATTTACATATTAAACAATATTATTGGTATTATTCCTGTAACTCTTTTTGGAAGGCTGTTAGATATACCACCTTTTCGATAAACGAAGCTTTATTTTACACAGTTTAAATACCAATAAATCCCTTACTTTAATCAAAGATACATAATTAGATACATATATAAATAAACTAGGTAGTATGATAGATATCTAAAATTACCATTACACCTACATGAATCGACTATCGGATTATTAAAAGGTTTTAATTGTAGTTTATAAAAGGATTTTTTTTATTTTTCGATTCATAATGAACACACCATAAATATATATATATTCATCATCATTCTCTAAACCATTTCCCATTATCTGGGGTCGGCGCAGTAAATCTTCTTGTTCCATTCCTCTCTATCAGCCGTCATTTCCATACTTACTCCTTTCATTCTCATATCACTCTTCACACAATCGATCCATCTTTTATTCGGCCTTCCTCTGCCCGTGTGTCCCTCCACATTCATATTCAACACTCGTTTTGTGACATGACTTTCATCCCTCCGCATCACATGCCCAAACCATGCCAATCTGCTTCCTCTCACCTTTTCTACCACTGGCGCTACTTTCAGGCTTCCTCTTATATACTCATTCCTTATCTTACCCAGGTTTACTGCATGGGATTTGGCAAAAGTTTTACAGTCGGCCGCCTGCCTGACACCAACCCTCTTTGGGTATGCTATTGTTGGTAGAGGAAGCTACCATTTTGGGAAAAGGAAAAAGAAGGTTGGGGGTAGGAGCGCAGGTGTAAGGAATATATATATATATATATATATAAATATATAAATATATATATATAATATATATGTATATATATATATACCATATAGAATTTGTTATACACTATTATAGACGTTGCTGTACGTGACGAAAAGATGTTGCACTCAGCAATTGGTATGGCGAACTACGGCAATAGTAATTCAGTGCGGGCCATTCCATCTCTTTCGAGTACTTTGAAAAGTTTGTAAGAATAGCTTGATAAATTTTAAATAACAGAAAATAGCGAATTTACAAAAATATACTCTACATTACAAGTGTTCCTATAGTTAAATCTAAACAACAATAACAGGACTACTATTACCTAAATACAATACATTTAAGTGGCTAGGAGTATGAATCATTCACAGAAATAAATTACGGCAAAAAAATTTCAAAGTTGGTTAAAGAACTTTGGTAAATTATTTCAGCATTTCGTAGCGGTATATTTGAAGGTACTTAAAGAGTTGTAACGCGATAAGATAAGCTATAGATAGAGGCTCTGAAGTATTAAAATATTTCCTACATTATAATTTATCGTGTAAGTAAATTGGAGACTAATTATGAAAATATCAAACATAAGTAAGTCAAAATAAAGTTGGCTACGACATTTTATTTTAAAGCATGACATGTGGGTTTGGTAGTATGTTATAATATGTATCTTACACATGCATTCTGAATGCGCTATATAAGATTCTGTGAGCGCGTCAAGAATTAAGGGCCTATCACAGGGTCCGTAAATTTAAGTTTTGAAATCACTAAATGCGCTATATAAGATTCTGTGAGCGCGTCAAGAATTAAGGGCCTATCACAGGGTCCGTAAATTTAAGTTTTGAAATCACTAAAATCAGATATGTACTACTCGTAAGAATGCAAGCAAGGTAGCTGTGCGTTTAGCTTCGAAGTTAAGGAACAAATCCTCAAGTTAAGGAAAAATCTTCTATAAAGAACAATTATTCGTTGATGTGTATTTTATGAATGTAAATCGCCTGTAATACAGCAGTAACTGTATTACAGGCGATAATATTTTTTTTGACGTTAATTGTTCATGTATTCGTATTTTAAATAAGTCAGGTGTAGATTATACCGCAGTCTCTCGATATATTTATGTCTGTTTATCCAGGTTGAGCTCTTATATTGTTAAATTATGCAAATACCCACTCTCTTACGTACTATGCTATGTATTCCCAATGTTTGTATTGTCAAGACAGCAAATCTTGTAAAAGGATCTTGACGATGTCACGGGATTACTGTGCTTTATAAAATGTAGCATGTGCAGTGAAACAAGCGAGGACAAACAATGGGGAGCCGAGGGTTCGACCGACGAAAGAATATATTATCAGCGGTATCAAGACTAACGAAATGACTTTATCTTGTTACGGAAAAATCCCCCCCTACGATCTGCTGTTCTAATTCGTTATCAGAATAAAACTACAACGACGTAGGTTTTTGTTGTCGCTAACCCTCGGCTTCCGAAATTTGAAAAAGAGGGAGAAAATCTAATAATAATTGACGTGCATCCGTCGCACGGATAATTGCATTAATCGATGATGTCTCGATTGATGCTGCGTTTTGCGCTTTAGTCAAATTATCAACAAATTCTATATTTATGTAGCATAATGACTCGTATTCAAAATATACAACATATTTTTTGTCACAAAAGAAAATTTTAACGAAGTCGAGGCGACTCTGTTCTGGAGTCATAATTGGTTTTATATTTACAACGTTAAAAGTCCAGTGAGAATTCGAAGTGAAACTGTTAGCGCCACCTAGCGAAAAGTGTAGAAAACCATCTATCGGGCCAGGTAGCTACTAGTTGCAATATATACTACCATTAATTCAAAGACATTTATGCTTTCAATTTACAAATTTCAATGATTTTGCCATATAAAGCGTGACCGCTTTATGTGGCAAAAATCTTTTTTTTTAATAGGATAGGGTTAAAAACGAGCACACAGTCCACTTGATAGTAAGTGAATGTTGTGACCTACAGACATCTACATTTATCCTCAATTAAGGATTAAAATGCAGATGCGTTTTCATCCCAGAGGACTAAGATGGAATGCCTCGTTTCCAGTAAAAAGTGTCTCCAGTTCTCTACACTCACTATATGAAACACAGCAGCATTAAGCTACTATTTTATGCTGGTATCCTATGAGAGCGTGGTCCTACTCCGGCCGAGCCAAAACATTCAAGCTACAACCATAATATAGCTATAGCGTGGCTCTACAACTTAAAGAATGAATACTGTATATAGTATATTAGCAATGACAATACTGTTGCGCACGCGTATTGATGAAAGTTCCACTTAGAATTTTCACTAGCGCCATCTGGTATCAAGTATCAGAAATAGGAGTGTCAAGATCTTTCTGGAACTCTCCCAACAGCGCCATCTAGTAACGAATAGAAGAACTAAGCTTTCTGGAAAGCTCCAAACTCGAAATTTCTGCACCTGGTCGATCGGGGGCCGGTATTTGCTTGAATATTTTGTATGAATCGGTGAAAAAGGCGTTGAAGCCCGCTACCGGGGCAGTATTCAATTTGGCGATACAAGCGAAGCTTCGGAGCGAAATAAAGTGAATCAGTGTGATTAATTATTAGTGTCTTTTAAGTTTTAATTGGTGTTCGGTAATTAAAGTGTTAATTTTGGTAATTCAATCGGCAGTTTTTACTGTCACTAACCCTAAGCTCGTAACAATACTATCTACAGTGTGGCTAAACTAATAGTAATTATGTGTTTATTCTATAATGTTGGCTTATTTATGCCAACATGTTGCAATTAAGTGTCAAAATAAGATAAAAATCATTATACTGGATGACCTTTTTCAACGTCTGGAAAAAAATAGGTTGTGACATGTGAACAGAGAATTTGAATTTAGATAGATTTTTAAATTAATTTATTTATTTAATTCAAAATTTTTGTTTTTATTTTTTGTAAGATATTACACATGTTACACTCTATTTTTTTCCAGGCCGTAAAAAAGGTCACCAGTATATAAATTAATATAAATATTTGTTTATACTTACTTCAAATTCTTTATCTTGTTGCGTTACATTGTTTGCAGTGATATAATTCCTGGGTTCAGTAAACCCCTCCACTTCAGATGTTTCCTTGAATAATATATACAATAAGTAAATAAATTTAATCAAATGAAGAAGAAAAGTACTAAATGCAGGTCCTCCCATTTCTTTCCTATTAATTTTCATTAATTAATTTCATTCGTAACAGAATATATCGACTATGTGTAGAAACTTCTCTCCCAGTTTCGCCACTCGATACTAGATGGCGCTAGTGAGAAAGTTCTAACGTGGAACTTTCTAGACAGTTCTCCTCGCTATGCTTCCTATTAATTTTCATTAATTAATTTCATTCGTAACAGAATATAGGCCTTCCTACGGAATGCTAACACACAACAAAAACACGCTCCTAGGCTATTTAAATTACAGCCTACATACGTCGAACAGCTGGGCAGTGGCCTCCTCTCACTTCTGAGATGGTATTAGGCCAAGGAAATGTCCGCCAGATGCCGCAATGCATGTTGGCGAACTTCAAAAATGTCTTAGATATTTTTTTTCATATTTCTCAGATATGTGGTAAATCAGCACTTAAAATTGCAATTAACAATTTCATTGGTTCCGGCGAGGATCGAACGCGCTTGCTCGCTTACTGTGAAATTTAAAGCGAGCTTTAGCCCCTGAGCTATATCTGTTATTTATGATGCAACTATAAGATTTCTGAATATCTTACAGGTCGCGACAACATCTATTAGGGTGCGCCCTACACTTCGTTTCACTTCAATTTTGTACATTAATCAAACATAACACATTGTTATTCGCGTATTTTGGTCTAATTATTAATAACAACAAATAGCCTATATTTTAATAGGATAGGGTGACAAACTATCACACAGTCCACCTGATGGTAAATGGTTTCTGTAGCCCATAGACATCTCCATCTATCCTCGATTACAAATCAAAATGCAGATGCGTTGTCACCCCTGAGGACTATGATGGAATGCCTCGTTTCCAGTAAAAAGGGTCTCCGGTTCTCTACACTCACCATACGCAACACAGCAGCATTAAGCTACTATTTTACGCCGGTACTCTGTGAGAGCGTGGTCCTTCCGCGGTCGAGCCGACCCATTCGTGCTACAACTATACTACTAATATAACTGCAGCATGGCTCTACCACATATATATGAGTACCACACATACATAGAGCTATGAGTAAAGGGCAAACAATATTAGCTAAGCTATTAATATCAGCTATTAAGCGGTGAACGAACAAATCAAAGAAGCGTAAATACATATAAAAAAATATTCGATAACCAGTACACTTCAAAGAAACAGCATCTTAATATGGCACTATAAATACAAAATGTATTAAGTAAAATTTATTTTATGCCTTTTACATTATAACAATAATACATCTTTTTGTTCAATCACTAAAGTCCTTTATGGCCCTTTAAAGAAAGAAAGAAAAAAGAAAAAAAATAAAAAAAAAAAAAAACTAAAAAAAAAAAAAAAAAAAGGTTTAAAGAATCAATAATGTCATTGACGAAATATAACATAGAGTTTGGTTGATAAAATTATATTTCTGCACAATTTGTGTTCCAAATAAGTCTTATTTTTTGTTGTTAAAAGATTAAATTTAGCTTTTTCAATCACATTAACTTATTTGTTTTAATAAATGGCTTTTTTATTTTGGTATTTTTTTTTTAGAAAAAGGAACACCACACCACCAGGGGGGGCTCCACCGCCTCCCTCTTAAAAAAAAAAGACCCCCACCGGAGGAAGAGATCCAAAAGGTATGGTCATAACAATTATGAAAATATCTGGACTTTAGTTTATAGCGTCTTAACTTGAAGCTTCTCGGCAAGAAAGAGGTTTGGAAACACGCGACCCAAGCTAGGCAAGGGTAACGCCACCCTTGTCTCATGCTGGCTCACCTTTGGCTCTAACTATGTATAACTAATTCTTTGATTCTGGTAGACACGCGGCAGTTTTTGCTGTCGCACGGATGATCCACCAGCTCAGACCGGGGTGGTACCAAGACCTCACAGAATACCAGCATCAAGTAGAGGTTTACCTTCTGCGTTTCGCTTGGTGGCCCAATTCCCCCCCCCCCCCTTTAACATGATAGCGGAATCAAATAAAAAACTACCCTAGGAGAGGTTCGGCACCCCTGGTGACGGAGAATCCCTCAATGAGCATCCACGACCAAGCTATCCTGCTCTTCCTGATCTAGGAGCTCAGACTGCCCTGCGTATTCTGGTAGGTGCGAAATTTCGCTCGCGACTAAAACTGCTCGGGGCAAGCAGAGCAATATGTCCAAGGCAACCCCTTTTTTATAGGATAAAAGTGACAAACGAGCACACAGTCCACCTGATGGTAAGTGGATGCTGTGGCCCATAGACATATATATTTACCCTCGATTAAGAATCAAAACGCAGATGCGTTGTCACCGTTGAGGACTAAGATGAAATGCCTCGATTCCAGTATAACGGGTCTCCGGTTCTCAACACTCACCATACGAAACACAGCAGCATTAAGCTGCTATTTTGTGAGAGCGTGGTCCTTCCCCGGTCCACCAAAAATACTGTTTCATAAATAATTCAATTTTAAAACTACAAAGTGTGGGACATACATAACAAACGTACATACGTCCTACACCTGAACGCAAGGCTCCTCTTATTTTTCATGGCATGTCTGCCACACTTCCCAAATACGTGTTGACAGATTTTCACATGGCTTCCAAATGTTTATAATTACTCAGCAAAGAATGTGACAAAATACGTGCTTAGCACATGGGCCGTGATGCCATTAATAGCTAATTATTATGTACTAGCGCTCCGACCCGGCCTCGCACGGGTGGTTTCTAGAGCTCGACAACAGCGCCACCAAGCGGGTTCAATTGAGTTTTTAAACCACCTAGGGAACTACTCAAACACACATCATCACAAAATATATAAAAATAATGACCTCCAGACCGAATTCCGGCCACGGTGGCCTGCCTCAACGGAGGCTAGCCATCGGCGCAGGACAGGATTATAGTGCCCAAGTGCGCAAGCACAGGTGCACTCTCTATTCCCTCACTCTCGTAATCCGATGGGACGGTAAACCGACACGACCGGAGAGAGATCAGGTGCAGGACCAACAGCTTTATGTGCTTCCCGAGGCACGGGGGTGAGACACCGCCAACTTCCTGACTCCGGGCAACTACTGAGTATTTCTTGACGGAAAAACTCAATAGTTAATTTTTTGGCCCGACCCGGGATTTGAACCCAGGACCTCATGATCAGCAGTCGCACTACTACAACAACTAGACCAACGAGGCGGTCGCAAAATATATAATACTTACACTACATATAAACTATAAAAAAGCAATTGATTTTTATATTAAAGAAGAAAGGAAAAAGAAAATAAGAAAAAGATAAGAATATTGATTATACATTGAGTCGATTGAAATCGAGTGACTGCCTTCATCATGAGATCTCGGATTCGAATCCCGAGTCTAGCAAACAAACAAACAAACCAAAGAGTTTTTTCTGTCAATAAATTTGGGCAACAACCGCCGCTTTTGGTGCCATGACCTCAATTTGGTCTGGGGGACATTACCATTGTGTGGAGGACTGAAATCATACCTGCAGTTTGGACAAAGAATTTGAAATACAAAACGATTTTAAATCATTGCCATAGAAAGTGTAGGAATGAGAGCTCTATAGCACCTGGGTCGTTTTGGACATAATTTAAATAATTCAGTTAAAAATCGCAAAAACATGTGAAAATTGTCTGTTTTATACATAAAACATAGACACTCACGCCTGTCACCAAGAGGGGTAGACTCTCACCTCCACATTCATATACCCACGCATTCATGCTTGTCGGTTAAGGGTACCCCTAATTTGGCGAATTTTCAATATATCGCCAATTTGGTCGATAAACTTTCGCCTAGAACGTTCCTTTCCGACTCTGCCGTTCACTTCTGCAGTATAAATTTGCTTTGTCACTCTTTCCACATTCATTCTTTCTACATGACCAAACCACCGAAGCATTCCTTTCTTAATCCAGATCACAACATCATCTTGCAAACCACACTTTTCTCTAATCACAATTTGTCACCCTGTCACTCAGAAAAAAGTGACCAAAAGCGTCTAAAAAGATAATGAGATAGAATACAGTGTAGTAAGCGACAGCAGGCCAATGGCATGGTACCAACCGTGAAATCAAAACGTTATGGGTTCGAATCCATCATTCGATTATTTTTAAGCTTACCAATAGTGGTTAAAGGCAATTTTGGTAATGTTAACAGCATTGCTAGTAGTTTTTAAAAAGAAGTATGTGTTTCCTATTTTATCGGTTTCCTCTTTTTACTGAGCTATAAAGATGGTTAATATAGATTTTAAATTATTTTTTAAAATTTTAATAAACAGTTTTTTTAAAACTCTTAGAACGAACTCTACAGCGTTAAAAGTTCTAAAATTAGAGATGAACTTTATAGAAGACTTTTATTAAGAAAAGGCTTTCACCGACTTTTAATAAGAAAATGAGTTTAGGGATGGAACTTTTGACTCAAGCAAGCCCTGGTTGATACCAACCTATGCTACACAACTATAAGGAATACATAATTATAATTTAGTTATTTTCATAAAAATTTGTGTATGCAAAAGCAACATACCAATCAGAGTTTACTTTGACATAATGGACTTACCGTGGTTTCCTCCTCATTTACGTGATGATCACCCTGAGAACTTGACAAACTTATGGGTTTGGGGTTTAAGTTCTTTTTGACGGCAGACATAAATATTTGTTGATTGTCAGACAAATGCAACTTTTTCAAACTGGAAAACACCATCTGTAATATTTTTGAATCTCTATCATCTAATTTCTGTTCTATGGTGTTTTTGACAACAAAACAAAATTTATCATTTACATTATTTTTAACACTGTGGTGAATGAGTATGTCTAAATAGTTTTTTTTTTATAGAATAAGAGTAACAAACAAGCACATAGTCCAACTGATGGTAAGTGGATGCTGTGGTCCATAACTCCATAGTCATCTACATTTACCCCCAATTAAGAATCAAAACGCAGATACGTTGCCACCCGTGAGGACTAAGATGTAATGCCTCATTTCCAGTAAAAAAGAATCTCTGGATCTCTACACTCATCACATGAAACACTACAGTACAGTATCCTGAGTTCAATTCCCGCTGGAAACAAAAGTATTGTTTTGTATTTGGGCATGATTTATTGTGTTGTTGTTGAATCCGACCCATAATAACGAGCATATTAATATGGGTGTTTTGTGACATTAAAAAATATACATATTCAAAAATCGTACAGAAAAATAGATTATTACATAATACTTATTGAGAATAATTTTTTTATTTACCACTGGTTTGGCAAATACCTGTATGGGGAAGAACCAGCAATAAACCTAGCGGGATTCCTTTTAAACATATCACTACAATAATTTTGTACATTTTTATATGGATTTTAACAGAACCAGCATAGCGGCAATCATCTCATTCCCAGGAGTTATTTTCATTCATTTTTCTTATAATGGGTTTTTCAACAAGAACTTTGTTTTTCAATTGGGGCAACACCAACAACATGACAGTTTTGACATATAGTTTTTTGACCTATTCATAGTAGATGCTTTGGCAATTGCTACAATGAATTCAATTTCGCTCGAAAATCGCATTAAAATAATTAAAATCCACTATGAAAATGGTGGTTCTGTTAAAGTTACGTTTCGTAAAATTCGTGATATTTTCGGACAACATAATCGTCCTTCTGAGACCGCTATTAAGAATTTGGTCGCTAAATTTGAATCGACAGGCTCGGTACAAAATGTGCCAACACCAACGCGTGTTCGACCGAGTCGTTCAACCGTAAACATCGCAGCCGTGAGCCACAGTGTTGAAGAAGATCCAAATTTGTCAATTCCTCGACATTCTCAACAATTGGGGTTATCCACAACCACCACATGGCAAATTTTGCGTAAGGATTTGGCTTTTAAGCCTTACAAGGTTCAACTGGTGCAGGAATTGAAGCTGACCGACCATTCACATCGCCGTAGATTCGCTCAATTCATTCAGGAACAGCCCGCTGGTTTTTTTTAATTAATTGAAGAAGCCTTTGCATGCTCAACGTGTCACTGTATGGTGCGCTATGTGGTCTGGAGGCGTGATTGGGCCGTTTTTTTTTTCGAAGATGAGGCTGGAAATGCGGTAACGGTCAATGGATCACGCTATCGCGAGATGTTAACATCTCAATTTTGGCCTATTATTGATGACATCGATATCACAAACATGTGGTTTCAACAGGACTGTGCCACATGTCACACAGCCAACGAAACGATCAATTTATTGCAAACCAAATTTCCCGATCGCATAATTTCACGAAATTCAGCTGTTAAATGGCCAGCCAGATCGTGTGATTTAACACCACTGGATTATTTTTTGTGGGGCTATGTTAAGGACAGAGTCTATACGGAGCCAATCGAATCGATCGCGGCCTTAAAACTCAAAATCCGTGACGTGATTAACGAAATAGACCCGCCATTTTGCCAAAAAGTGATTAAAAACTTTGATGAAAGAATCGACATCTGTCAGCGTGGTTGTGGTGGACATTTGCCAGATATCATTTTTCATTAATAATTGCCAAACTTTTCTCTTCGTAATACAATAAAAATTTGAATCATCTTCATCTAAACTCTTTGTTTTATTTTGTTTTAGAAAACAAAGTTCTTGTTGAAAAACCCTTTAGAATAAGGGTGCCAAACGAGCATACAGTTCACCTGATGGTAAGTGGATACTGTGGCCCATAGACATCTACATTTATCCTCGATTAAGAATTAAGACGTAGGTTTTTTGCAAACCAGTTGTAAATGGTAAATAAAAAAAATTACTTTCACTAAGTATTATACAATAATCTATATTGAATAAGATAAAAAGATGACAACACAACTGCATTTCTTAATTAATAATTCATAATTAATGATAAATTAAGGTATCTATGGGCCACAGCATTAACTTTCCATTAGGTGGACGTTGTATTCCTTTGCAATCTTACTTCTACATAAAATAAGTTTTTGTATAAACGATGGGTGCGTGTGGCAGAAAAAAGCGCTAGCAAGCGCTTGTAAGCAAAATGGCGATCGTAAGCGGTAAGCGCTGTCAAATCGTAAGTAGCTATTTTCTTCTAGGACACGAAGTTAGTTTTAACTGGGGAACCTAACCTAATTTAAATATATGTTTGTAAAGTATTCATGTTAAAAACTTACCAATTATGAATGTTTAATAACATGAATAATATGTTTATTCATGTCATTATGTTACTTAAAACTAATATTGCACAAAACAACTTATAAACTCTACTTCAAAACAAACAGATTAAATAAGCAAAATGGAGGATTGTGTCAGCGCTACTGAAGTTAGCAAACGTGTCCTGGCCGAAAACAGTTTAGTTTCGCCATTTTGCTTACAAGCGCTTGCTAGCGCTTTTTTCTGTATTAGAGCTAAAAACAAAAGCATACATAATGCTTAACTTACCATACAATTGGGTACTGCTGATTGTTTCAGAAAATGATATCCATTTGCTGATGTATAAAAGTCATCCTCTTTGAAATGTATAGAACATATTTTGGAATACATGTTTGGATTCCAATTGCATTGCTGTCTTTGCAAACGAACTGCTTTTGTCCATCGTTCTCTAAGAATAGTATTTTGTGGAAATCTAAAACCGAAAATACTTATTAAATGTTAGATATTAATGCACTATTCGTCATTGTAATTAAAATAATTTAAAAAAAAAAGAATATTAACAATGCTATAAACATTACTAATATTCCTCTTAACCACTCGTGGTAAGCTTAAATTGCTTGTGTTACGAGTGGTTCACGCCAGTAGTCGAATGGCGGATTCGAACCCACGACCTTTTTGAGTTCGCGGTCCGCGCCCTGCCATTAGGCTACTGTCGCTTCAAAATTTCAAATTCAAAATCATTATAATTAAGTAAACATTTATGATGAATATTCATTTGACTAGCGACCCGGCTTCGCACGGGTGATTTCTGGATTTCGACAACAGCGCCACCTACTCAGTTCAAATGTAAATCTTAACCATCTAAGGACCAATTCAAATACACACAAAAAATTTCATCAAAATTGGTCGAGCCGTGTTTGGGTTTCAGCGAGACGAATGGACAGCACTGATTTTTATGTACAGAGATGATGAATTGCAAACATGATAATTGCATAACAAAATCACTATGCCAATGTGCCTGCCAAGCATGGCAACTATGACCAAATCCCCCGATGAGGCAATCTATGGAGAAGGCCTATGTTCGCCAGTGGTCTTTTATAGTCTATTATGATTGGACGGTTGTGTGGATCTACTTTATAAAATGTCAGTACAGTAGAATCCTGATTATCTGAATCGAATAAAACCAAGGGTATTCCGTATAATTGATTTCAAAGTCAAATCAAACAAAATTTAAATTTTTATTAATTTTTTAATTTTTTTTATAATATAAGGGTGACAAACGAGCACACAGTCCACCTGGTAAGTGAATGGTGTGGCCCATAGACATCTTTAACCTTGCTTAAAAAAAAATTGCAGACGCGTTGTCACCCTTGGAATGCCTCGATTCCAGTAAAACAGGTCTCCAGTTCTCTACACTCACCATACGAAACACAGCAGCATTACGCTGCATTTTACGCTGGTATTCCGTGAGAGCGTGGTCCTTCCCCAGTCGAGCCAACCCATTCATGCTACAACCATAATAGCTGCAGTGTGGCTCTACCACATTGAAATGTAATGGGTTTTACATACATTGTTTAGATAGTAAGATATAAAAAATTACGAGCTATAACGATAATGAAGTACATGATATGTACCTACATATGTAATTTAAAATTTTGATTGGAAATAACTTATTATTGATCTTTGATGTAATGAATCACATCTTTTCATTGCAGCTAAGTCCATGATACGCTTCAGTTGTAACAACTGTATGGGATCCGAATTGTCCTGTCTTTCAATCCACTTAAAAGCAACATCTAGGGCTTCAAAAGCTTCTGCGTGAGATGGTACTTGACATACATCCCCAGTTTCATTGTCGTCGTCATTTTCTCTCTCGTTACTATTCAAATCGTCAATGATTTCCTCATCAGTTAAACTTGGAATCCTGGGTCTCCACTACCGCAGTTCAGCCACTCTTTGATATTCTCTTCATCATACCCTTCACCAATGCTAAGAATTTTCATGCTTCTGTTATTTATTTGAAATCCTTGTATATCCCGGTATAATTGAAGAATTAGATGGGGGTTAATTTAAATAATTTATGTGGCAATCGATGTGTTCCTTTAGCATTCACGCAAACCATAATTGTAACTCTATCCTTACTCACTTTGTGCCCCGGTGCTGCATTTTCACGACGCGATGCAAATGATCTGCTTGGTAAAACTTTCCAAATAATACTTGTTTTCTCCGCATTGTATATGAAATCTTAATTGTATTCCTTTCCATTTAGAAATTCTTTTAATTTATCTACAAAAAAATCGGCTGAAGCAATGTTAGCAAACAGTCTTTCTCCTTGAATCTCCTGTTCTCGAATTCCATCCCACCTATACGCAGATGATCTTCAAATATATACTCATGTTTCTCCTAGTGAATTAGATGTAGCTATCAGCAACATAAATAGCGATCTTGAGCAAATATCAGATTGGGTAAAAACATATGGCTTGAAGATTAACCCCCCAAAAGACTCAGGTAATTGTTATCGGAAGTTCGTATATGATTGGAAAATCTGACATATCTCAAGCACCTCAAGTTGTTTTTAATGGAAATTTTATCCCTGTTAGTGAAAAAGTCAAGGACTTGGGATTTTATATTGACAGGAACCTATGATGGGGTCCTCAAATACAGGAGGTTAGTCTTTTGCAGCTGCTCGATCGTTGAACAGATTAAGGAACTTTCTACCTACTGCCACTAAAATTGCGCTTGCTCAATCTCTTCTTCTCCCAACTGTGGACTATGCAAATGTCAGCTATCTTGATCTCACTGAGAAGCAACTTGGTAAACTTGAGTGTCTTCAAAACTTTTGTATGTCTTCAAAACTTATGTATCATGTTTTCGTAATAAGCTCAAGTGGCTTCCTACCCGTCTTCGCTGGAATGCTCATATTCTGTCACTTCTTTACAATGTTCTCTTTAATCCTTCCTATCCTTCTTATCTTAAGGATCGTTTTGAATTCCTTCACTATTCTCATTCGAAAGTTTTGAGATCATCAGAAAATTTGACTTAAAAAATGCCTGCCCATAATAGCAAATTTATGGACAGGTCATTTAGTATCCAAGCAGTCCATCTACGGAATGCCGTATCTCTGTCAGTGAGACGCGCCCAGTCTTTACCTGTTTTTCAGAAACTTGTACACAGTCACTATCATAATTGTTGAATTCGTGCCATCTATATATGTATACATTCGTATTTTTTTTTGTATTGTCCTGTCCACCCAAAGGTTGTCTGGAAGAAATAGCTTTTAGCGAAAGACATTGTGACACTATTTTTTTTTTCTTCTTCTTTCGTTTATGTATTGATTTGGTGTACAATAAAGAATTAATCTATCTATCCATGCCTAGATTTACATTACCACCAAGCTTTTGACTAAAATCTAATGCTTTTTCGTATAAAAGAGGTCCAAATATGGGCTGACCGCATGCTCTCTTGTGTAACAACTAATTAAAAGCTGCATTCTCCAGAATTTCATTTTGAAATTTTTTCATGACTTTACCTTGCAAGCTTCCATCTTCTTTCTCAAGCGCGCAGGTGAACTTCATCATCGTAGAAGTTCCTACACCATATATTTACGCCAACTTACTGTCAGGTTCACCATTTTTATCCTCCTAATTATATTCACTTCCTCTTTAAGAGAACAACTCTACTATTTTATGCTTAGACATTTTTAAATTTCCAATGCAAAACGTATACAAAAATAAAAGACAATCTATCCGTTTAATGATATCAAAGAAAATGAAACAATAACAAATACTATCGCGCAAACAAATGATAGTGTCGGAGGCGGGAATAAACTAGTGCTAACATATCTCATTGCAAACATTTTTAAATTGGCAATTAAACATTTTTAAATTGGCAATTAAAGCCGTGACCTACGAGTTTGGATAATTGGATGTTCGGATAATCTATATTCTGATAATCGGGATTCTACTGTATTGTAAAATTGAAAATTATTTATGTATCTATACAAATAAGTAAAATTAAAGTGTCTGTGTGTAATGTCAAAATAACAGCTTTTTACTAAATGCTTATAACAGCATATACAGTACTTCTGTAAGTCTGCTGGACAAATTTTGATGGGGCTTTCACTGACAGATAACTGACGTTAAAACATGTATCAGGTTGGGTTTACAATTAAGTCCCCTGAATTCGAGGATTCTATCACTGTGGGCGGTCAAGGAGTTAAGAACTATAAAATTATTTACATTAGTTGAGTGTACCCAGGCTCATAAAACATCACAGTTTTTCAATTCAATCATTCAATGTTATCTGTACTTTATTGTATCTTTTGATATTGTAAATATAAATTTTTAATGCAAATAAAAAAAGATCAATTTTTGCGAAATTGATCTTTAAGACTTCGATTCTTTGTGAACCGATTCATCCAATTTTGATACGAATCGATTTAAAAATGTGTAAAATTAATTGCTACGCCAGCCATTTTGTTGACAGTGACAGACATACTTTACATCATTCTGTTGCTTCCGAGTTTCAGAATTTTGGTGAATAATGGAATATTTATGGCGGCGGAATACTACTAAATATCACAAAGATCCCTTCTTACAATTGTTGGAAGTCATAAATTATGTTTATAAATTAAAGTAGTTATAAAAGTTAATATGTTGGTGTTATATTGAGTGCAATAGCATGCAAAGCGAGCCTGGGACTTCGGGCACCCTGACTCGGACAGGTTAGGTTAGAAGAGGATGACGGGGTCGAGTGAGCGAGCAAAGAGAGCGAACAGACCCCGGCATCCCCTTAGTGGTAATTTTTTTATAAACCATTTAGAAGTAAGAGCCCTACGAAGCGGGGATCCGTCGATCAGGCTTCCCTTGACTGCACCACGTTGAGTGGCGCGAGGCTTCCGTCCACCAACTCCCCCCCCCCCCAACCCCTAATTCAGGCGACTTAATTGTAAACCAAAGTAACTAAGGCTACCTTTATTTTAGAAAAAGAATAAGAGTCCCATGCTTAAAAAAATAAGAACCCATGAAATTCCGCACGGATAAAGTCATGGGGAACAGCTAGTTCTATTATAATACGATATTATACTTACGAGTGGAAAGTGATTCCAGCAGTTTTATTGCACGAACTGGAATTATTCTTACACCATTTCACAACACAAGAAGGCATTTTCTAAGCTAAAGTTAACGACACTGTAAAAATTTCATATGCAGAATCCTATTCTCCTAAAAATATTCCTACTTCGGACGGCAGCCAACGATGACGGTGAAGCAATACCGGCCGCGTCTTAGTTTTGAAGCCCCCCGTAGCGCGTCTAGGCACAATAAACTTTAATGACCTGTGAATTAGGGTGTCTCACATTTTCGTCTGAAGTTTCTATTTTTTCCCAAATTGCTAAATCTATGCAGTAGCGTAAATAAATAATGTAGTAGATAATTTACGCTGTATTCATTAACGAAGTAACTTCGCACAAACTAAACGTTTTTGCACATAAATCTCAACTTTAGGAAGATAGTAGCTCGTCGCAAAGCAGTGGTTAACGCAAGGTGGTTTTTATTGTAAATCAAATTATTATAGCAAGCAAAGATTTATTTTATTCCTACCTACATATACATAATAAAAACACAAAAAAAACTATACTATAACCAAACCAATACATCAATACATCATAGATAAATAAATATGTAGCAAGTTACAATTTACAATACATTATTGTTGTTTTCATTAATCGCTCGAGAGAGCAGGCAAAGGAACTAAACCATACAGCCTTAACCAATACATTGACAATGACATTTTAACATTTGACGATTTGAACTTTTTTATTAACTGGCTTTACGACTCTGGGTTCTAGTCTTTCTGAGCCTATCACTTCTTGCGGAATCTTCATTTCATTTTATTCTTTTTCTTAACAATATGCTAATGCGTCACATTGCGAAGCCCTTGTGAAATTTTGACGACAGCTCAACCTAGCGAACGGTTGATGACGACAACCACTCAAGTTCGTGAGGCACCCAAGCAATCAAAATAACTAGAGGTTTATATCGACATCAAAGCACTTGTTTCGTCGTTTTCTCCAATAGTTCACACGCCCGGACACTTAATTTACAAAATAGCATCACTATTACGAATCAAAATCCACTTCAAATCATTATTCAAGCGATAAAACAGGAGTGACATTCCATCTATGGCCAAGCTCCCGCCAAAACTCCCAATTTCAACTTGTTACTTGTAATATATATCCGTTCTCAGCCGCGTTTACGTGCTGTTTTTGAGAGTCATTACGAATCGTCTCGCACGCAGACTCGACGATATCCAGCCTCCCGAACAAGCCGGTTTCCGAAAATGCTTTAGTACCATAGATCACATACATACCCTTCGGAAAATTGTACAGAAGTCCGCAGAGTACAATCTGCCACTTTGCCTGGCGTATGTGGACTATAAGAAAGCCTTTGATTCCGTTGAAATTCGAGCGGTGCTACAGTCTCTTCAGCGGTGCCAAGTTGACTGTCGGTATATCGAAGTGCTGGGGTGTTTGTACAGTAGGACTACGATGGCTATCCGAGTACAGAACTAGAGTACGAAACCTATCCAACTGCAGAGAGGTGTAAGACAGGGTGACGTTATTTCCCCGAAATTCTTTACCGCTGCATTGGAAGACGTTTTCAATCTACTGGACTGGAAAGAATACGGTATTAACATCAATGGCGAGTACATCACTCACCTTCGATTTGTCGACGATATAGTCCTTACGGCAGAATCGCTGTAGGACTTAAGCACTATGCTCAATGACTTCAATAGTGCCTCCCAACGGATAGGTCTTAAGATGAACATGGACAAAACAAAGATCATGTTTAATGTCCATGTCACACCTATGCTGGTATTTGTTGGGAGCACTAAGCTCGAAGTTGTTGACGAGTACGTTTACCTGGGACAAATAGTCCGACTAGGTAAGTCGAACTTCGACCGAGAGGTCAATCGACGGATTCAACTCGGCTGGGCAGCGTTCGGGAAATTACGACACATCTTCTCGTCAGGTATACCTCAAAACCTGAAAACTAAGTTGTACAACCAGTGCGTGTTGCCAGTGATGATTTACGGAACCGAGACGTGGTCCTTCACTGCTAGCCGTATGAGGATGCTCAAAGTCGCTCAACGCGCTATGGAGAGGGTTATGCTTGGAGTTTCTCGGCGTGATAAACTTAGAAATGAGGATATCCGCAGTAGAACCAGAGTGACCGACATAGCCCCAATGATTTCAAAAGGAAGGATAGGCCCATCTAAATATTTTACTCATAACTTTTCGTACAAGAAAAAGTAGCGCATCTGTCATAAACTCATAATACAAATGTCATATCGAAACACGACGTAACCGGAGTCGGATTTCGTAGTATAATTATCCTAATTGTATCATAATTTTATAGTTTGTAGTATATAGTATCGTAATAATACAAAGCGAAAATACCATAATTTTACCTAAAGGTCGACTTGTAGTATTATTGGGTCCTTTTACATTTAAATATTAACCCCACGATATCGAGAATTTTTATATTGTACATGAGTTTTTTTTTATAGGAGGGGGGGCAAACGAGCATGCGGCTCACCTGATGTTAAGTGATTACCGCCGCCCATGATCAACCGCAACACCAGGGGAATTGCAGGTGCGTTGCCGGCCCTTTAGGAAGGAACTCTTTTCTTGAAGGTCCCCAGGTCGTATCGGTCCGGAAAAATCGCCGGTGGTAAACTATTCCACAGAAAGGTTGTACGCGGAAGAAAACTCCTTTTGAAACGTACAGTGGTGGACCGCCAAGCATCCAGATGGTGTGGATGGTATCGGGACGTTTGCCGCGTAGTGCGTTCACGAAATTTGGCGGCTGGGATTAATCCGAACAATTCCTCAGAGGACTCTCCATGGTATATGCGAAAGAAAATGCAAAGAGATGCAACATCTCTTCGCAATGCCAGTAAATCGAGCCGATCGGAAAGCACTCGGTCGTCGACGATTCGAGCCGCTCTGCGCTGGATGCGGTCAAGTGGAAGGAGCTGGTACTGGGGAGCCCCAGCCCAGAGATGGGAACAGTATTCCATGTGCGGCCGAACCTGCGCCTTGTAAAGTTGCAGGCGGTGTGCCGGTATGAAATACTGTCCCGCTCTGCTGAGCACGCCAAGCTTTTTAGAGGCCAATTTGGCCTTCCCTTCCAAGTGACCACGAAACTGCACGTCACTCGATATGTCGACGCTGAGGATTCCAAGTGGCTGAGGAAACAAGGGGAGTGCCTTGAAACTGAGGGGATATGACAAAGGGTTCTTGCGCTTAACGCGCAAACTTGTGTCTTCTGGGGGTTAAACTGGACTAGATTTAGTCGCCCCCAATCCAAGACTCTGTTCAGCAAAGACTCGACTTCAGACACAAAATTATTCCGGCACTCGGAGACGTTTTCCCGAGAAATATTGGCTCGACCGATGTAAAGAGCATCACCAGTGCTGTCATCTGCATAGCAATGAATGTTACGGGTTTGCAACATATCATTGATATGCAGAAGAAACAGCGTTGGCGATAGCACGCAGCCCTGTGGAACACCAGCATTAATAGGCTTGCAATCGGAGCTTGCACCGTCAACAACGACCTTGATGCTCCGATCTGCAAGAAAGCTGGTGATCCAATCGCACAATTTCTCGGGAAGCCCATAGGAAGGGAGCTTCGAAAGAAGCGCTTTGTGCCAAACCCAATCGAAGGCCTTCGCAATGTCCAAACTAACGGCCAATGCCTCCCCCTTGGACTCTACTGCCTCCGCCCATCTGTGAGTTAGGTAGACCAGAAGATCACCAGCTGACCGACCACGGCGAAAACCGTATTGGCGGTCACTAATCAGCTGGTGATCCTCAAGGTACCTCATGAGCTGGCAGTTTACAATGGACTCCATTGTTTTAGAGAACAAGGAGGTGATGGCGATAGGCCGGTAGTTGGACGGGTCTGAGCGGTCGCCTTTTTTAGGGATCGGGTGGACGAAAGCCGTCTTCCATGATTTTGGGACTACGCCAAGGGAGTAGGAGTACCGGAAAAGACGCGTTAAAGCCGGTGCCAACTCTAGATGAGTACCGCGTTTTTTAATAAAATTAGAATTAGCTCTCTTTCTGGTCAATCGATGCTCGATCAATGCATTTATGTTGTATCCTTGATGTAACTTTAATGAGGGGCTACCACGATAAAAACTATATGCTCCAGAAGCAATCGGTTTGAAAATAGAATTTCAAAATATTTTATGAATCAGATTTTCAGATTCAATTAAGCAGATATGATTTCTTTTGTACTCTTTTCGTTTTACCCTTATTGAATATAAAATATATTAGGTACCAATATTCAAAATTTTACTTACACTAAGTTCTTTAGACAAAAATGAAACAGAAATAAAAATAAAATCGTCAAAAAACGAAACGTATAGATAAACTAGTCGCATTACGCCAAAATCCCGGCACATGGGGAAAAAGAAACAAGAAACGTCAAACGTGATATAACTTTAAAAAAGTATAATTTTAATTTCCATGTACAATATTTTTGAGGGTCTGAATCCAACCCTGGCCTAATATTGGTAACGTGACTAAACTAACTGTAAAATAAAACTTTAAAAATGCGTTTATATAATAATTTAATTGTACAAAATTGATATAAGGTTATTTACCGATGATAAGATATCCCATGTTTTTTTTTAATTCTTAGTTTCGTGATTTTTGCATTCTTTTACCACGCAACTAGACATATTTATGACAGGCAAATCTCTCACTACTGTCGACCGATTCGCGTTGGCCCTAAACTATAATTTTAGGGCCAGCGCACTGATCCGTTTTAGTTGTTCGGTCGGCCCGGTCCTTACGCTAGTAATATATAAGTCAATGCATAGCCCAACGGATTAGTAAGCTGAAGTGGTAATGGGCCGGCCATATAACTCGAAGAACCGACAACCGTTGGGGAAAAAAGGTTCTCGAGTGGCAGCCTCGTACCGGTAGGCGAAGTGTAGGGCGACCCCCCACTAGATGGATTGACGACCTGGTAAGACATGCAGGAAGTCGATGGATGCAGGTGGCTCAGGACCGTGCTTTGTGGCACACCTTGGGGGAGACCTATGTTCAGCAGTGGACTTGTGAAGGGCTGTAATGATGATGATGATGATGAT